GATACGAGTCAGTCTTCACGGAATTTCTAGAGCTTGTGGATTTGAATACATTTGCACGATGCATATAGTCGCGCGCTGGGCGGATTATCAGTCGTAGGTTATGTTTATTCAATTCTTCAAGGAGTATCCGCACCAACATCGCATATTGCACCTATGTGTCGGATTTGATTTATGTCCGCCGGCTGAACCTCCAATGAGAGATTGAAAAACTCACTGCATACAATCTGAATTGAACTCTACATTAGAAGGAAGCAGACAGCGTGAACAGAAACGAAGTACTTCGGCACGACGATAAGGGCAAGTAGCTGCCCATGGCCCTGGACGACGAAAGACCATGTAATCTGCCATATTCATAACCTCGCTTAGCATCCGACAGGCCATTAAGATGTCTGGAGACCACATACGCCGACGTCCGAGATGGTTATGGCCGTGTCGAGTGCCCTTATCGACCTAGTCAGTCCCGTGCTACCGAGTGTCAAGCCCTCGCACCAACAAAGTTGAAAAAACCTAGAGGGTCCACTTAGGTTAAAATCAGGGTTATACTACGTCGTGACAAATACAAAACGCACGAGTATCTTCACGAGTAGTCTGTCGCGGCGCAGATAGTTCCAGGAATAATACGCAACTTGAGCCAATGTCGAGCCGTAGAACCTGCCAGTGCAACGAATCAGTTCGAGTCCCTGACAAGGCAGTACCAGAGAAAGACTCACAATGCGGAGAACAGCGCGCCAATGAATACACTACCCACAGTAGGGTTCAAATCGAGTTGTAGGGTAGACATACTCCGCGGAATGGTTGAGGCTGAAGCAGGATGAACAACTCAAAAGCGCAACTTCGGGATATCACATACACAAAGATACGATGTCCAAGCTTTATAACACAAGTTGACTTTTTTTCTCGCCATCACGAATTACACCCAACGACCTGCCACCAGACTGGCCGGTCGTACTTACCACGACTCGGACAAAGTACTACGATACCATTGAGGCACTCCGACGGGAATCCATGCTCTTCTGCGCAGTCCAGTCTCATCAATGTTGCGATTGAGAAGCTCAGGATGTCTGAGAATCAGATAGTGAAGCCTCAAGTATCAATGATGGTACGTCGTGGAGGAGGAGGGGATCATTCAGTCCGGTGGGCAATTCAGAGAATCATCCATAATGACGGGCGTGACCGAGCCTCGGAGTTACCATATGAGGCAAATCATTTAGACGCCGATGCTCGAGGAAGGTCGAGCGCTGGTGGAGCTAGTGGTCTATTATTGATGTTTCTACTGATCTTACGCACACCGTCCTGGGATTCGTCAAGTTCTCTCTCACAGCTAGAGTCCTGAGGCATCCGGGAGAATATTCCAGCTGAAATGCTCAATTTTCACCGTCATAAGCAAGTCATGTACCGAGTCTCGTAACTCCGAGTCGGTGGTCTCAGGCATGTCGTTGACAGAAGCCAAACACCCTCAGAATTCGATGTCTGGTGAGCACATACTCAATGAAAAACATCCGGTGTCTCATAACGCCTTATCAAACCGGACTGCTGTGCCATCTTCTGCATCATCGTACCCTGCCAGTGGAGCTCGCTGGACCCTCCTCACGCGGAAGCTGTCCGAGTCGCAGTCTGGGAGGATGGCCGTCGATGACATGATCGACAGTATCGCCGATTGTTATACTGCGGCCTCAGCTTATCACCACTGCCTTCTATCATCATATTTCCTATCTCTTCGATGGCAGTTGGAGAGGTCCGTGAACAATAGTCACTGCCACCGAGGGTCTCGTTCCGCGAGACCCTGGGAGGGCTCTCCGAGCTTTCCGGACCTGTTACATAACGGTCAGGATAATCCCCGGGTAGTGAGTTCATCCTGTGAATCGCATCATTGAACGCTTTGACCCAAATGCAGGGTCCTAGGGTGTATCGGAACGTTGCTCGCTGCATTGTACTGGCGATCTCAGGCTACAAGGCACTATCAGCGTACTATGATCAAGGCCCGACATGCTGACATGGTCCCATGATATGCATTGCGATCGCCCACGCTATAGAAGGTCAGCGCAGTCATTCGACTTCATAATTCTTGGCTATGCCCTTTGCCCGCATCTACTCATCCATCACCATTCTCAGGAGGTTTGAAGGCATCACCGTCAAATCATCAACTGGAGTCGCTATCATCTCCTAACGTGTATGTAACGTTTCACATACCTGAGCATCCTCCAGGTACATGTTGAAGTCTGCGTTGGCTCAGGATATCATAGTCCCGAGCCTGGGTGAACACACCGCAGGATAACAATCGGAGCAGCGTGTTGACTGCCAACTTGCCGACGAACTTGCCGTGAATGCGCCGCCATCTTATGCCAGAAGTCAAGGTGGTTGAGACCTGGCCGCGGGAAGGCATGCGCAGCCAATACTATATGCCACTGCCTTACAGGCTGTTCGGCGGTGTACTCAGGGTCCGTCTATTCGTTCTTTTTCATTCATTCCGGAATGATAGATGTGTGCATCAATCTTCAGGCTTCGCAGTGCTTTGGAAAACCCACCACGCTGTCGCGGTGAGTGTCAGGCAGAACATCCATGACGTTGACGTGTACAGATTCTCACCGAATATACGATGGTCTGCAGAACGGAGTCTTAAGCTGGGCCATTCATGATTCAATTAACAAGGACCCAGATTTTGTGCAGACGGCCGACGTGTTGTCTGCGATCAAAACAGTCCGCGATCTAAACAGCCTGACATTCATCAAGCTTCACAAGTCGGGTCGAACATTTTGTTGTGACCCGGGAACCCGTGATAGCGACACCCTTGTCCGGTGAGTCTGTTCATACCTCTCGGGCCGCCTGATGAAGAGGACGCCGTGGAGCGTCTGCGCTCATCCGTACTGACTATTTTTACGATACTTATCGGCTGCTTGAAAAACCAGTAGGCACGGAGAAGCGCCTCGCTCACTGACAGGATAATCACGATGTCCGTACAGCGCTGCGTCTCAAGGATACGAGGATACTCGTACAATGTCAGTTCAGTCGCTCGCTGTCACTTCGTCTCATCACTGCATCACTCATTATCTCTTCTTTCTGCCTCTGAACCTTGGTATCGTGTTCCCCGCGACCCTGATAAGTTCCACAATCGATCTCAGCTCAGCACGTCGAGTGTGAAGTTGTATGGGCCGCACCAGTCTTTCATTACCGTCGTAATCCTGATTCCCGAAAAACGGCCGACGAGCGATGGGCGCTCAACTTCTATTCTGTTCTGCAGATGCAGGGATCGACTGTCGCGGATTGAGTGTCTGAAGATGTCCCATCGAAGGCTGTCACTGAGTCAAGGACGCCAGTGTGTATAGAGTCGGTTCTCAATAAGTACCACGCTATTTTTGATCCTGTCGCTACGTAAGCTCCATGCGCGCCGGAACAGCGTGTGTCACCAATGCGAGGTGTATTCATTCTGTGTACTGTGTGTGCGTTCTGCGATCACTGATCTTGCAAAGCAGTATGAATGCGCTTCCTGCAGGCCTGTGAGAGGATACCTGAGATCACAGTACACGTCAGGCTCGGGCTTCACGGCCCTTCACCTATTTACTTACTGTGACACGAGGATGTGGCCCGTCACACTGAGTCTTGCGAATCGGATCCGAACCCTGATTTGATTCAGCATGGTCTAAGGATGCTACTCTGTGAATGACATAAATCTGATCTTATCAGTATCCCGCATGCGCTTCTACGTCTGCCTGGGGAGACTAGCATCTACTCTACAAGAGGCGTCGATAATTTTCACACGGCAGACAATTGGACGAGACAAAGATGACATCTCATTGGCTGAGAGACGAACACCGAGCGCTGCCCGACCTCTTGAGTCTGACGCGGCGCCCTCAGCCACTGCGCGTTCCTCCTCTGCAAGCTCGGAGGCCCTCGCTCCACATGTTCTGCACAGCGGACACTTTTTCCATATCCCATATCCATGCAGATGGCTTGAATTTACTTATGCCGCTACACTGCCGTCCTTTGCCCGCCTTCGCCACAATAACTCGGCACAAATGGCAGCTATACCACCGCCTGTCAATACTCCATGGAGTGCGCGTCGGCGTGAGGATCGTCAAGCGCAGGAGATGATGAGCCCGACTAGGGATTGCAGTGAAGGCCAAGGTATGCCAGTCATATTCTCACACTGTACTATCCTCTTAGTGAGCGCTTGAGCGACCGGATGACAGGACACACAAGCAGGCTAGGTCATCCGAGATGCAGGCTCCCACATACAGATTAGAGGAAGTAGGCAGAATGTACGTCTTTCTTCCCAGTGGTCTGAAGCACCGGAGTTGACCTTCCCAGGGTGCAGTCGCCGTGGTGACATGAAACGCGATGCGCACGCCGAGCGCGAGCGCGCCGGGCGAATGCCCAGCACGCAGACACGGCCGACGAACGCGCATGGAGCCAGTGGACAGGCGGGCGAGCTGGTGCGCAGGTGGGCACACGTGGACGGGCAATCGGATGTGCAAGCAAGTGGATGGGCGGGAGAGCGAGCGGGCGGGCGGGAGAGCGGGCGGGCGAGAGAGCGGGCGGGCGGCAGGCGACAGCGCACACGTCCACCGCCGCCCGTGAGCGTGGTGGCGAACACCCAGTGCACGCAGACGCGGCCGACGAAGGCGAACGCAGGCATGCGAGCGGGCAGACAAGTGGGCCACGACATGCACAGCGAGGGCGAGAGCGAGGGGCTGGCGGGCGTGACGTGCAGCAACACAAACTTCAACAGTACAGGCACAAGACGCACAACGACCACGAGCATGCAGGGCCAATGCCCTGCGTGCAGACACAGCCGACGAACGGATGGTGTGCGCGAGAGCTAAAGAAGGGCATCGGGGAAAGGTGAGTGCAGACGCACGCGAGCGAGCGCGCTGACTGCAGTCACAGGGCGCGGCGACGTGAAGCACGGCGGGTGACGGCGCGCACGTCAGAGCGCACCGGGCGAATGCACGTCACGCAAACACGACCGATGAACGGACCACCCGCCGCGTGTGAGCGAAGAACGCGCAAGGGCGAGTAGACGGTGGGCGCACGGCAACACCACCAACCACTAGCGCGCAGGGCAGAGGTCCCCTGTGCATGCGCGGCCGATGAGCGGACCACAGGTGCGAGCATAGCGGCGAGCAGGAGGAGAATGGGTGGAGGGTGAGTGCGGAACCGAGTGGGTGTGGACGCGAGCGAGCGGATGGTGGGCAGACCCCACGCGCTGAGCAAAAGACCAGCAACGGCGACGTTGTTGGGCAGGCCGGCGCACGCGCAGCACACCGACCGCGAGCATGGAGGGCGAATGCCCAGTACGCAGACACGGCCGATGAACGCGCACGCAGGCAGACGAGTGGACGGGCGAGCGGGCACACGACCGGACGATGACACACGCATGGCGACCGCGAACTCGCAGGGCGAGCACGCAAGCCCCGCCGACGAAGGGACTGCGCGAGCGTGAGCGAATGGCAGGGTCGGGGCATGCGCAATGCGCCGACTGCGAACGCACAGGGTGCCCCGCATGCCAACACAGCCGACGAGGGCGCCGTGGGTACAGCGAGCAGGCGGGAGTGCGTGAGGATGGCGCGTGAGGGGCGAAGACGGAGGACGGGGAGGACGGCGGGTGCAGGCAACAAGCCCAAACCCGCGCAGATACTGCCGAGGTAAGTCAACCAGCGGTCCACTGTCGACACCGGCGGTGAACCCGGGCAGGGTATGGGTGCGTAGGTCGCGGGTCGCGGGTGCGGTATGCGCCCTGCGCTCCCGCGGTGCTACCCGTGCCCATCCTGGCCCCGTTCACTAGCACTAGCCATAGTTTGGATAAAAGACGACTTGATCGTAAACGTGCTATGGAATCCGTACTTACATCAATGTTGACTAAACTATTGCAAGCAGAAAAATGCTCGATGAGGCCACGAAGCCGACTCCCGAAGGGAGGTGGCTGAGTGGCCTTTGCGTACAACGTATACGTCTTCGCGCACAGCAGTACTGGCATATGACTGTTGTGTAGTATAGCTTTGAAGCTGACTCCCCGTGCGGCCGAAGGAGGCGGCTGACTTGGAGTGGCCTTCGTACCTCTTCAGCGCGCATAGCACTACTGGCATGCAATCATTGATAACCTCCAGTCCGTAGCGGAGCACGGGTTTCCGCTAGTGCGCGCAAACATGCCGACAGTAACCTCCCTGGTGCTACGACGGACCGCTTCAAGATATTGTAAAACATTGCGAATTTAGCTGGACGTAGACACATCCTTCACTTTCCGCAGGTTCCCCGCACATCTGACGCCCCGGTCATCTCTACCCAATTCAAGATCGTGAATATTATTGTCAGGTCAGGATCCAGATCACAAATGGTAAACGATCTTCTCCGCACTAACTTTCCCTTCCCTCATGTACTGCAAACCTTCGGGTATCGCCTGCAGCCCGCCCTCCCACAGCTTTATGCGATTCGTCACGATACAATCATCGCGCAGGAGCTGGGGCATCTTCTTCATGAATGCCGCGATTTGCGCCTTGTCATTGGGCTGCACGGCGTACTTCGCCTGCGGACCGAGCGAAAAAGGGCGGCCGAACGCGGTATACAACAAAGTGTCTACCCCATTGGATGTCAGTCGGCGTGCTTCAGTCACCGCCTAATCAACTGAGATACGCACGGATGAATTCCACGTCTTTGCGGAGCTTCTTAGCCTTGAACGTCGGCGGGAACATTAGGATGAGCTTCCCTCCGTTGGCTCCCATGCAGCGTGCACAGAGCTCTTGGGTCTCCTTCGTGCTCTGAGTGTCAACCGCATAGCGCACGCCATTTTCCGTCACCTTTTTTATGGCGTCGACGACGTCGGCGCTCTTGTAGTCATACACCGCATCTGCCCCAGAGCCTTGACGAGGTCGAAGTTTTTGGGAGACGCAGTCGTGACAACCTTGTATCCTGAGAGGCGTGCAAGCTGAATGGTATATTGGCCCACCGAAGCTTGACAAAACATAGTCAGGAATGTACTGGGATAGAACGATTTAACCAGTCAGACGCACAACTTCCCCATGCACGAATACCCATTCGGTGCCGTCCGCCTTCTCCGGTGGCTCTACGAGCGCTAGACGCTGTGGATGGTACAAGCATTGTACTGCCGTGAAAAGCCTGAAATTGCGTAATCACACCGGGGATGATGAACTACAGACGACATACCCCACGCTGACGGTTGCAGCCTGTTCATGGCTCAGAGTCCCCTCCGGAACGATCCACGCAAGCACCGCGGGGGTCTTGACGTACTCCGAGTACGCGCCGCCGTCGACATAAGTACCTCCCATCGCGAAACCGGCGACGTGCATGCCGAGCTCCGGAAATGTGACGTTCTTGCCCTGCTGCACGACGTGCCCAGACCAGTCGCACCCGAGGACCGTCCCCGCATTCTGCACAACGTCGACGACTGGCGACGGATGAGATTCCGATCAGCGACGGACATGCAGGTAGAGGACTGAAGACTTACATCTCCAGTCTGCCGGATTTTGTGCGACAGCGACAACCTTCACGAGGATGTCATCGTCGCCGAGGGTGGGGACCGGGTGGTCCTGCACAACGGCCTTCTTTCCCTGGCGGTGTTACGGGGTTGAGCTTTTTTCGAGACGACATTCGACAGAATGGGGACTTGCCTTCTGGACAACAACGGCCTTCATCGTGGCTGGGATGGGAGTATGTCCGTCCATTGCCTGAGATACGGGCTACCACTTGGCTGCGTCCCGCGCCATAAAAGCACTAATCCGTCCTGAACAATGTATCAGTGTTGGCAGATCCATGATTGGGCTCATCCCTCCCCCGCCGCTGTACACACCGTTGTAAGCTTACAGTATTACTAGGTACTGCGTGTGACAACGCACGGATATCGCATCTAGCCCTGAGCCTGTGACATACCATTACTTCAAATCCCTTGGACCGCGGCGGGTGGCTTAGTCAGTCACAAGTCGATATCTCGGACTGGCGATAGTGTGGAGGAAGCCGGAGGAGGTCAGATTCACCACACGAACTCCCACTGCGCCGAGGAGTGACAGCGTGGACGAATGCACAGTTGGGAACATGTTCGGCACATCCGGGGGCCCGCACAACCTGAACCGCGCACCAGTACTTCACACACGAAGCCAGGTGTCAATCTGTTACGTTGTCTCTTCGTCAATTCGACCCAGAGGTGTATACGTAGCGACAACTTACTGCGCCTTTAAGCTTTAACCTTGAGTATGGCCAAAGTATGGTACTATTAGGTTGTTACGCTCGTGTAAGTCATGATGACAGTTAGATTATATAAGGAAACTTGACATCCGGTATCTGCCGGTGTGGCTGAGGACAGCGTTAACGTTGAACTCGAGCTTGCCTTGAACCTCAATCGACCACAAATTTTGGTTCACTTCCAGCAGCAGCCAGCATTGCCATTCGGGTCCTTCTTGGCTGCTGCACTCACGGTGACACGAATCAAATGGCAGTGGAATAGATCGGCCTTATGATGATCATAGAATACGTCCTGGTGAGTGTTTGGAACTTCCCCAAATCTGACAGACGTACCGGGTCCAGATATGGACTACTGATTCGTGCTTTGCTTGAGGGCATAGTTGAATCACTGACACACAAGCCAGATGCAAGGACACAGAACCACGCTGCGGACTTGAGGCTGCATCGACTCATCAGCGGAGGTCTTGGCTGCCACTCTCAAGAATACCACTCTGCCGAGTGTGTGCAAGCGTGTCTTTGGCGTGGAACTGGTGAGTGTCTTCTGTGTATGGTACCGCATGCGCGATACTGATGTGCTTGATACGTTCCTGGCACCCTGCAGAGATCTACTGGACAGCCTCATCCGCGCTTCAATTCTTCCGTAATGTCGGCATGTCTCGGTCACAGTCTCCTGTCACAAATTCCTGAAGACTTAGTTGAGCAACCGCATTGTCGAACCTTAAGTTAAGGGTTCGAGTACTCTCCGTTGCAGGCCATACAAGCCGGCAAGCGTCTTGTATTTGCACAGCGTCCGGCGTTCCCGGTCCACTTCTGCTCGAGCCTCGTTCGACTTATGTGTTGTATAAATCGTGCGCACGCCTCAAGTGGTCCTATCTACTACCGTCACGCATCATACCTACGCAGCTTAGACCAATGTCTGACAGGCCCATGGGTCCACTGTCTGAGGTTGAACTAGCAACGAAAGACGAATCTACGCCACCCGGTTCGGTCGTCATCGAAGTTGTAGCTGCGCCACCAGCGATTAACATCCCGGATGGCGGTCTTCAGGCATGGCTCTCTGTCCTCGGAGGGTACGTTTTCTGTCTTTATAGTGCACGTCTTCTATCGCTGACCATTGTGAAGGTTCCTGATTGCACAACCACCTTCGGCTACTCCAACTCGTTCGGGGTGTTTCAGGACTATATGTAGGCGCATCGTCTGCGTCGAACATCAGCTGGATTGGGTCTTTACAGGTGCGCGCGCAATGGCCTTACTGTCATTGAGACGCTTGATTTTCATGTCGTCGTCGTGGGCCTTCCTGCGGGTAAACTCTTCTTCGATCAAGGTTACTTCCATTATGTCGTAGGCTCCGGCAGCATTCTCTACGTATTCTGGTACGTCTGGTAGTCTGACGCGCCTATCCCAGTCTCTTTTCCGAGGATTACGTACTCATAATTCGAGAACTTGGCAGCATGTTCATGCTCTCACTCGCGAATCCGCACAAATACTATCAACTCGTGCTCTCCCAGGGCATTGGCATGGGCATCGGGAGCGGCTTGATGCTTGTCCCGGCTATGTCTGTGCAAACGCATCACTGGCGCGTGCGCCGCTCGCTCGCAATGGGCATTGTCATGACCGGTGAGCCGTTTGCGTTCCTCGAGCACTTTCGCCTCTCCCCGGCGAACTCTTTACTCTCCTACGTTCAAAGGTCACTGATGCAGGGCATTCTTCCCTAGGCTCTGGCGTCGGCGGTCTAATCTACCCTATCATGCTGAACAAGCTTGTGAATGGCAGTGCTGGTTTCGCGTGGGGAGTACGTGCGACCGCGTTCCTTACTCTCGGCCTGCTCGCCATAGCAAATGCGGTAATGACGACTCGCTTACCGAGCGCTAGGAAGCGTGGACCAGGGCCCAAACCTGACATGAAAGCAATTAGACGGACGGGCCGTACTGGTTATTTGCGTTCGGGTACGTGTCCCTGTGTGGCCCTCACTTGTGCGTGCAGACTAGAGTACTGAGAGGTGCCGGCTACGCAGGTTGTTTCTCGTACTTTGGGGGATGTTCTTCCCGTGTGAGTAGGCACGACCTCTGCGGTGTCCTCAATTGACCGACCCTTGGTATTCCAGATTTCTACCTCCAGCTATGGGTGAACCTGCACAGGCTCTCGGGACGCTGGCGTTCTATACCGTAAGTTCGGTTTGGCCCCATATGTCCGCTTCCCAGAAGTGACTGTCATACAGATCGCCATTCTCAATGCTGCCTCGATCTTCGGGCGCACCCTTCCGAACATGCTTGCAGACCGCGTCGGCCCGTTCAACGTTCTCGCGCCTGTGGCAGTCATCACAAGCGCGCTCGTACTCGCCATGTTCGGCGTCACATCCACCGGGGCTGTCATCGTGTTCTCGATTCTGTATGGGTTCTTCTCGGGAGCAAGTGCGTCCATTCCTCCTTTTCTTCTGACCCTACTCTCATCCTCTTTCGCAGTGATCTCACTTATGCTCCGGCGCGGCGACGCTTGCCAAGGGTCTGCATGAGATCGGGTGCGTCATCTTAACCATGCTCTCTTTCACGGGCTCGGCTGATCTCAGAACAGGATCCGTCTTGGACTCGGGTATTTTGTAACGTCGTTTGCCATGTTGACTGGGACACCCATCGCTGGCGCGCTCTTCGACGAGGGCGGCCGGTGGTACAAGCCAATCGTGTTCAATTCGGTGAGTGCCCTTGTATTGAGCTTCTGACAGGCAGCTGGTTCCGCTGGACACGGGTGTTGAGCGCTGATCACGGCCTACAGGTTATCATGTTTGCCGGGGCGTCGTGCTTAATCGTAGCGCGGAGCCTGGTCGCCCGAGCAAAAGGGTCGCAGCACGTGTAGTCGGATGTCGCTCCTTGAGATGTTGTGGGTAGACCGACTGCAAGAGTGTGGCTTATGCACAGGGTTGATTTCCGCCGCCTGTGAATCGAGATTCCAGTCCCTGATCCGAGTATGTGCATTGCTAACTATCATGCCAGTGGATTGTGTCCAGGCTTTCCCATACCTGTGCCGCTTCTGCCACCTACTGAGGGTGCCTCGGCGCATGCGAAATTGGCACATAAACCAGCGGGATCACATATGTCATCTTGACATGCGTACTCACGCCCCTGGCCCGCGAACCGCGGGGGACTTATGCTCGTACTGCGCGTATTGCGAGCGGTACGCACGCCATAAACAACTGTCACGTCGGTGACACTGAATGTCGGCCTGTGTGCAGTGTTCTATCAAACGAAGTGACTGACAAACTGTTCTGCTTCTATCATCTTTTGCTTTCCGCCATCAATAATCATTTGATTGTGGTCTTCTCATTTATCTCACGTTGCTTGACGGTCGATCTTTGATACTGATACAGCGAGACCTGCGTCAACAATGTACACTTCGTCAGCACACCCTGCAGTACATGATCCTCACACCAAGAGTATAAGTATACTCGACTCATTGGCATTCAGCACTGCTCACGAGCATTCTCTGCAGTGATACTCCACATAGACCAGAGATCGCATCGGAAATTGCTGTTAGGATGTTTTCGAACAAATCGCCTCCTATCGCCATTGTGAGTGATCACAAAGATACTTTGATCTCGAAGTCCCACTGAGGCAAATCCTTGCTCTATGTACAGGTTGGAATTGCTGCAGAACTCCCGAGTGGTGACTGGAGCGAGTCGAACTTGGACTACAACTCGTTTTATGACTTCCTATTGCAAGGCGGAGAGGCGTACGAGAAGATGCCTGCAGACCGCTTCAACATGCACACGTGAGCTTGTCAATCATATTTTGTTTGGCACTTATATTCATAATGCTTCAGTCTCAAGGGAACCGCTTCCGGCCAGGTGGGCGCCGATACAGGCGCATTCCTCAAGGACATAGGCCTCTTCGATCCGATCGAGTTCGGTATCACGAGCAAGGATGCCAGGCTGATGAGCCTGGGCACAAGAAAGCTCATAGAAACGACGTTCCTAGCCTTACTTGACTCGAGTATCGACTACAGAGGTCGGGATGTCGGCTGCTACATGTCTGCTGTGGCTCATGACATGTTTTCCGTATCCGGACATGTGAGTGATTTAGTGTGAGAGGTTCTCGCTACTCTCTGAATCCCACTCTACCAGGATGACGTGGAAGCTCGCGGGGCGTTTTCAGGCGGCCCAGCGATGGTCGCGAACCGTGTCTCGTATCATCTCGATCTCCGCGGTCCAACTATGCCTCTTGATACGGCATGTAGCTCAACCTTATATGCCACCCACCTCGGGGTTCAAGCGTTACGGAATGGCGAGTGCGAAGCGGCAGTTGTGGGCGGCTGTCAGCTCAACCACAGGTCAGCATGCACAGGGACATTCTTCCTCGAATCTGACAGGACATTTGACCTGTATTGCGTAGGTTCACGGAGTGGCTGTTGTACACACAGGGCGGCATTCTGTCTCCCGACGGGAAATGCAAACCTTTCGATGCAACTGCCAACGGGTGAAGCTCATTCTTTCAGTTATGAATGTCTCCTCACATGAGGTTACCCTATAGATTCGGGCGAGGTGAGGGTGCCGTCTCTATCGTGCTCAAGCCTCTCGACGCGGCGCTCCGTGATCGAGACAGGATTTATGCTACAGTGCGTCACTCCGCCGGTAGACTCGGACTTTGACTTCCACTGACATCATAAATACATAGATTCTCGGAACCTGCATCAATTCTTCCGGCTCGCTGGCCCCCGTGAATGCACCAGTCGCATTGGCGCAGCAGAATGCTATGTTACGTGCGTTCGCTCAGGCGCAGCGGTCTCCGCGAGAAATAGACTTTGTCGAGCTACACGCAACAGGTATATCTGCCGTATTTTTCACTGAATTTGTTTCGTGACACGCGCTCTCTCGCCTAGGTACTGCGTCTGGGGACCCCACGGAGGCGAACTGGGTCGGTGTACAGTTTGGGAGAGATGATGAGCTGCTTGTTGGCAGCGTAAAGGGCAATATTGGGTACGTCTCGTATTGACATGCACATCATCAAGGTACTCACCATTGCTGTAGCCACACGGAGATCACTGCATTCCTATCGTCTCTATGCAAGGTTTGCCACATCATCGAGCATGGTGTGATCCCGCCCACTGTCAACTGCACCATCCCGAACCCTGCCATCAAGTGGACGGAGCATAACATGCGCGTTCCTGTAACTCCGGAGAAGCTTAGCATCCGCTCTCCTTCTGGCCGTGCGCTCATCGCGATGTCGAGCTCCGGTATTGGCGGCGCCAACGGCCACTGCGTTATTGAAGCTCACGCGCCCGACGTTGATGGCACTCCGCAGTTGTGGGCGTATCAGAGTTCGGTGATCCCGTCGCTCTTGATCATAGGCGGCCTATCACCACGGTCCGCTTCTGCTGTCGGCGAATCACTCAAGGCCCTCACGGCGGAGCAGGACCACAAGGACATGGACCGTGCACTCGGTCGGCGAGCGCGGTCAATGCTCTGGAAAGCGTATGCTGTTACTCCAGACGGACAAACCCCTCGCTTCTCGGAGCCGGCTCTCACCCCGAAAACAGCACCGGAGATCGTGTTTGTGTTCCCTGGGCAGGGCCCCCAACACTGGAACAGTAAGTTCATTGAATTATGCCACCGACCAAGCTGATTATTGTACAGTGGGTCGCGAGCTATTCAGGACATGCGTTCCATTCCATGATACTGTGGTGGAGCTCGACGCAGTCTACGCAAGCGTGACTGGCAAGTCGCTTATCGCAGACGTGGGCCTCTTCGGCGAATCCGATGTACCTGACACCTTGGGAGACGTCTGGCCAATCTCCATTACCTTACCTGCGCTAACGATCCTGCAAATTGCGCTCATGGAAGCTCTAGCTTTCATCGGCGTCAAGCCGGATGTAGTGATCGGACACTCTGCAGGCGAGACGGCCGTCGTGTATGCGTCGGGTGCGGCATCCAAGGCAATGACAGTCGAGCTCTCAATTGCAAGGGGCCGAGCGATGGAGGCACTGGAGGGACACGATGGAGCTATGGCAGCTGTAGCATGCTCTGCAGCGCTGGCTGAGGAAACCATCGCTGACGTCGTCGCGGAGCTGGGACCCGCTGCCCTGGAGGTTGGCTGTTACAACGCTCCGAACGCCATCACACTGTCCGGTTCTGCAAAGCACATCGCGTCTGCAGTGGCGCGGGCAAAGGCGGCTGGTATTCTGGCGACCCAGCTACGAACGCGGATACCCGTACACTCGTCAATGATGGCTATCTGCCAGGCAGATTACGAGGAGCGGGTTGGGGAGGTGTTCAAGAAGTACGCAGTCGTACCGACGAAAGTGGAGACGTTCTCGTCTCTTACTGGCGGCATATTGAACACGCCCTACGACGCCCGCTACTTCTGGGATAATACGCTTGGGCCGGTAATGTTCGAGCCCGCTATAAACGCCATTCACACTAGGCACCCGCAGTCGATTTTCGTGGAGCTGGGCCCCCATCCCGTCCTGTCGGGGTATATCACCGCGATCTCGGGGCACGGTACGACAGTACTGAGCCCGATGAAACGATCCAGGACTGCAGGCGTCGGCGAGCCGATGCAGCTCTTGGACTGTGTCGGGCGACTAGTCTGCGCGGGCTACTCGCGAGTGAATATGGATGTGCTGTTTGGTATGGCAGAGAACGCAAGTGCAAACATACCTCCATATCCATTCGCGCGGAAGGAGGTCCCATATACAGCTTCGACATTTGAGATCACCCGCCAAAGACAGATGCGTCATGGCCCATTGAACTACCCTCAACTGCGAATCAACACACAGACGCATCCTGGGCTAGCGGACCACATCATACAGAATGAACCTATCATGCCCGCAGCGGGATTCCTGGAAATGGTATGCGCATTCTGTATCGCTCGGGAAGATCGGCTGACTGGTACCCCACAGGCACTCGAATTTGGCGCGAAGAAGCTCTGGAACATACAATTCCACTCGGTCCTGTCGCTTTCGTCCGAACGTCCGACGCCCATTGACGTGAGACTTGAAGATTCGCAGTGGAGCGTCCACAGTGCACCTGCGGCAGATTTTGTCAATACGTGGCCACCGACTGTGAGTCCGTCATTTCTCATCATCCCCAGAGAAGTTCACATTTCTCGGTAGTACGATCGTGTACATGCGACAGGCTATCTCTCGATGGAAAGCGAACTCGATGGAGATGCGTCTCCAGTGGCCATCAACGACATACGTGCACGCCTGAAGATGATGGAGACGAAGAGTTTTTATGATAATCTTCGTTCATTTGCCAACTACGGGACCACGTACAGGAGAGTGCTATCCTGCTATCATGGGGTTGACGCATCTGGGCTGGAGGAATTTCTGATAGAAATTCGCGGTGCAGGAGACGATCTCGACAAGTAGGTGGACGGCGTCTGGTGCCTGCTCATCAAATTCTTACACCTTGTCTTCAGTCTCTCGGACTACCGACTGCATCCTGCAATTTTAGATGCTGCGCTGCAGGTTGCAGTGCATCCGTTGATTACTGGGGCCGTCGCTCACGGTCACTACTATCTGCCATCAAAGTTGGGGACGCTAGTTATCCATGACGCGCTTGCTCAAGGGATGCCTGAGAAGATCTACGCTCATGCAGTCTTTGTCAAATGGATGCCTGGTAAGACGCCTTCATACCGCAATTTGATGCTTGCGTCCTGACACTGCTTTAGAGTCGCTCACTTACGACTTCAAGCTCATGAACGAACGCGGCCAGACGCTATGCACCATAGATGCCCTCGAGGTAGCAGCTCACGGGCGAACACCATTGATAGTCCAACATCGATATGATATGGCCCATCGCCAACTCGATATACATCTCTCCATTTCTTCAGAGTCGGGCGACAACGGGTCAAATATGAAGACGACCATGATCGTCGACGGGGTATGTAATTGCGTCCTCGCCTCTTGTGCTATACTCATAGGGGAACCGCCACAGTTATCCAAGGACGGGAGCACTGAGCTTCTAATCCTAATCTTCCAGTACCACCGAGGACATGAGATGAGACTTCAGCAAAAAATCCTCTCTTTGAACCCGTCCTACAGAGAGTCCCTCTGCTTCATCGCATCCAAAGGTACGGACGGCGACGCGGTTCTCGGCTTCACTAGGTCTCTCCGTAAGGAATACCGATCGTGGCAGGTGTTCTGCGTCATTTTCCCCGCGACATGGCCTCTTGGAGAATACGAGGAGACAGCACAGTCTCTCTGTGCTCATCCGCTGGCAGAGGAAGAAATGTCGGTACATGAGGATGGCTCAGTGCGTGCTCCCATGGTCGTATCATCGCCCGCGCCGAGGAAACTCGTGTCTTTTGACCCCGGAGCGCTATGGACGTATCAGCACTCTACCCTCTCGCAGGTTTCTCACCCGATGGTACCTCCAGGCCATGTTCTGGTCCGTGTCCTAGGCTGGTCGTCCAATATCTCCTCATGCCGAGCGTTCATCGGACGCGTGGACGGCTTACCAAATGTCTATGTTGGAATTACACTTGGGCCCCTCTCCAACTTCCTCATTGCTCACCGCGGGAGCCTCTTGCAGATGTCGGACATTCCCGATGTCACTCGGGGTCCTCATGTGCTCGGCGCAGCTCTAGCTGTGCTTGCCATCGGGTCCGCCAGATTCAGCGACCCCTCGCGTCTGGAGGGCGAATGCATCCTCGTAACGCACTCGGACACAGGGCTCGGGCGCGTTCTGTGCCAGCTATACGAGAGCCGCGGACTGCACGTCGTACGCTTGCCGTCGCAGGCCGGCATCTCGGAGACCAGGAGCGCACTATCTCGGCAGCCGAAATACATGGTTTCGGGGAGAGAGGAAGCGAATGCCAGCGACATCGACAGGACGGTGCACCGGCTGCAACCAGGCAAGGTATTCCAATGGGATGACCGCAGCACTGGGGTCGGGAGAATTCTGGCCGAGGACCCGTGGGCTATAGGGGATGCGTTGAAGCTCGCGTTGTCGAACCCTACTAGCTTCACAGAAGTCTTCACTCCTCCCATCGATGCGCTGGACATAGTACGACCAACAGACGTATGCTTTGTGGACACCATCTTCGCTCCTGACAAGGTGTATATTTTGATCGGAGGCATCGGAGGATTGGGGCTACCCGTTGCGTATTGGATGTATCAGGTATGTGAACATACACAAACTCAAATGTGAGACTAACGTACGTCGTAGAACGGGGCGCGTGAGATCGTCCTCACCTCTCGCTCAGGGACGGCCAAACTCGCGACGAAAGACGAATTCATCGCTTTGAGGGTTCTCGCTTACCTGCGATCACGGGATGACTTGGTGCTACGTACGGAGGCCATCGACGCATCGTCGGTCGAGGAAACAAGGAAGTTAGTAAAGTCGATCCAGAAACCGCTTGGTGGGTGCATGCTCATGACGACCAACCTGATCGACCGTACATTCGCCACACAAACGTCGGATACATTTGAAGCCTCTTTCACCGCAAAATTGGGTGCCTTCCATGCCTTGGAGAAGGTCATCGATATTGATTCGCTGGACTTCGTGCTCGCCTTCTCGTCTGTCGCGGGGCTGTTGGGAAATGCTGGGCAAACCAATTACGCCAGGTATGTTAGCAGCTTCGTGACTCGGTCGCGTTGCGAAACCATACTGACCTCGTCACTGCAGCGCAAATACCGCTTTGACAGGGTTGACGAGGCAATACAAGAACGCTGCGACCATCGTTCCACCAATGATCAACGATACCGGGGGGTCCCTCACCCTGGCCGCTACCGACAGTACAAAATGGTCGCGTTTTAGGCACCTCAGCGCCTGGGCCATGACGTGCGAAGGCAAGTTACATCGTCTAACATTGACAATGACCTAGGCCAAATCTGACGAGAAACTCATAGCACTCTGCGAGTGCATCGGCGACGCATTGCTGAAAATGCGTGAAGGACCTGTCTGGCAATACATCCCAGATTGTGACTGGAGCCTCGTCCAGAGCAAGAATGGGTCTTCCCCACTTTACGACCACCTCGTGGTCAAAGAATCCCAGTCAGACACCGACCAGAACTCCTCTAAAGACTTGGAGCGCGATTTGGGCAACATCATTTGTGATGCGCTTGACATAGACCACGAGGACTTGTCTTCTGACGTGCCTCTCACGTCTTACGGCTTAGACTCTCTGTCGGCGATGGCCCTGTCCCATGCTCTGGAACCATACCTAGCCATCTCGCAGCTTCAGCTTCTGGCCGACGTCACGCTTGCTGATCTCGAGCAGCTCCGTGAAGAATCACAGAGTGCAACCACTCCCGACCCCGAGTCTGCAAGCGTCGTGACCGAGATGGCCGATTGCTGAGCGCTGAACCCGTAGTAGGCCTAAAGCGGCTGGTAACTTGCTGAGAATTCGGAGCTCCACAACGCCTCGGGAAAGGTAGAGGTAGTTACTGTGGTCCTTGAGCATGTTTGAACTGATGTCGTGGTATGGACGAATGTACGACTCACATTGTTTGTAGTACGCGTACATGTTTCCTGAGTACTACTTACTAGTCATTGTCAGTATACACATTATCGACAGACGTACATAGATAGATTGAGAAACCGGTGCACCGTCCCGTTTTGTCAGGGAGGCACTGCTGATGGCCGCAAGAATCAGATTCACATAAGTACTCGGGTCCCTCGGATATTGCCGATCGGACTCGGGCGACCTTCAAGTTCGTGCGTCCGCGTCCGAAACTCCTCATCGACATCTTTCTCGTCTTCGTCTTCGTCGTCGTTAGCGGGGGCGGCCCATACGCGCACCTAACATACTACTTCTTGCCCATTTTCCTGCTTTCGAACATACGCTTGTTGCTGTAATCGCCACCTATTTCTAGCAAGGTCTTCACGAGGACACGACCCCATTCTAATTCAGCTCGTTCTCAGGACCTGTCTTAATAACCCCCGGCAGTCGACGCCTGCACCTCAGCACCTATACTTCCCAATCATGAAGATGCTCTCGTCCACCTCGACGCCAGCAATGTCCCCCGAGACGTGGCGGCGCGTGCCTACGACGCTCGCTGCCATCTTCGGGATCACGATCCCGTACCGCCCGCCAACGAACACTGTCAGCGCGTTCCTCTGGCGGAAGCGCATGCTCTTGGAGACGACGCTGGGGCTCTGTCTGCTCGAGACGTGGGAGAAGATACTGATGAGTGAGCCTCCATCTGCTTTCGCCCGACGTATATATACCCGGGGTCGCTGACAAGACGAAACTGACGGAGGCTTGCGACAGTCATCATCCTGTACTCGATTGCGGTCCTCGCCCTGACGGGCCTGTACAAGTACGCGCCCCAGTCGGCGGTGTATGTGACGCAGCGTACCACGTACTATTTCTTGGGGCAGGAGTCCGACCCCAGCACGGTCGCAGGATGGGCGACGCGGAATCTGACAGGCGAGCTGTGAGGTAGCGGTTCGCAAGGGGAGGGGGGGATGTTGGCGGATGTTGGATGGAGATCTGGTCGTATGTTATTGATATCGGTGAGTGGAGCTGCTGTGGATTCGGTTCTGCGCTTATGCACGCACAGATAGCTTCTTGGTTTATGTACCCGTTCAGACTTCAATCGGTCTCCGGGCACACGGTCGTATTATATGCTCTGCATCTCGCATGATAATTTATGGCTTTCGGGTTCTCAATTTGTCTACATCCTTTAGCCATGCTTGTTAGAGTCACAGGATTCGCCAATCGCAAATTTTGGCCTTGGCGATCGTCGTTCGACGAGTATGTCTGAGGTCAGACAGATTTGTACAAAGGCCCAACGACCTCTGCCCGTTTTCAGCAAAGTCTCAGATCTCAGGCATTGACGTGTGGCCTGGCCGACAAAGAAGACCTCGTATGTAACGAGTCTACTGCCCAACCACACGCTGTGCAAGACGACATGGGTCGGGTGGTGCCGATGATTCCTCCAACAGCCCACACACCCAGTGGACCTGCTTACGTATGTACTGCTACAGTCCGCGCTCCGTGCCACCCGCTGACATACCCGGAATATCACAACAGGAATACCCTCGGTCATATGTTATTATGTACCCCAAGTTCAACTTGAACTAGGCCCCAATCCCGACTCTACTGTACTGCCGTATGGAGGTTATTGAGAGTTGAGTGAGAGTACGGACTCGGAGTGGATGAGTACAAGGTTAGTCCCCTCCGATAAACAGGATCTTCTGGTTGTCCTCTGGTGCCTTCTGGTGCTAACCTTCGCGCCACACGGAGCACAGACGGAGCGCCAAGCCTCGCAAAGCTATGATACGACACCAATATGAGACCGGTAAGTATGAGATCATGCTGAGGCTGTTATGCCATGTATGATGTTAGTAACAATGTTGTTAATATGGAACGGAGACTGCGCATGCCGGTTCGTGTGAATGTTTGAATCGTCTTCCGCGCACAATCTCCAGCTCATTAGAGGGCTTCGTCATAAATTGAAACGACGATGTAATAGTCTAAGTGACGACCAAGTGCTGGCCCTATTTGCTGTGTTGTACAGGCATGAAATTGACGTTGAAGCTTGAAGCTTGAAGAACAAGAGGCACGAGCTCAGGGTGAATCCTCCGAACCGCTCGTGCCCCTATCGCAGTCGACTCGGTCAATCGCATAGGTTCAAATCGTCCGTTGTAGGTATCAGGGACTGTCCGCTGCGCTTTCAGACTGCGTCTGATGCGGCAGCGACTGGGTACGAACACTGCGCTGATATGGACGTTGCGCTTGGCGTTGCGGTAGTCTGATTCTGCCTCGTCCCCTCTGAATCCCTTTGAGTCCCCTCTGAACCCCCCTGGTAATCTTCTCTCACTTCACCATACCCCGTATTGCCTGCGTTCCTGTGGCCGCATAAACGTACAGCGAGCGCGCAGCCCATCGCAGTGCCGGCCAAGCGAGAAGGTCCCGATCACCGAGTTCTCTACTAGGGACACGCCTGACACTGACAGCGACCTCCACCTCGTATTCTTTGCCCTGTCCTCCATCTCTCCCGAACTTCCAGGATGGTACGAAAGCATGCTCAATCGCCCGTGCGCATTGTCGACTTTGATCTCGCGCCCGACGTTTCGCGCGACGCAGCGCCAAGCGTGGACCTGGCGCCACAAGCGCCATCGCTTCGCTCCCCGCAAATTGCCCCTCGTCCCCGTCCGCCACGCACGGACTCGCCGCCCTCCCCAAAGTCTGTGACCCCGACGACGCCATCCACGGCGATGTCGGCGATGTCGTATGCAGAGTGGCAGCGGGAGCCAAGCACTTGGGACGTCGCCTTCAGGTTGCATATGCCATACCGCGCGCCGCGCAGCAGGCTCGCAAAGTTCGTCTGGCGCCGCCGCCTCTGGCTCGAAACGACCTTCGCGTTGTCGATGATGCAGCCATGGGAGAAGGTCGTCGTCAGTGCGTGCCCCTTCATCTGCCCTTATTCTCTCATATTGATAGCGTCCGCGACAGTGTGCGCAGTTTGGTTGTTGCTCGGCTTGTTCGTGACGACCGCGTACCTCTACTTCCCCCAACACGTCCGCTACCTGTGCGGGCGCGCGCGGTACTACCTCGACGGCGAACTCAGTGTTCCCGCTGCGCTGAAGTGGAGTGCGAGCTACCTCGGCAACGCGTCCAGCCCGTTCGCCTACGCGGTAAACGCGCTGAGCGCGCATGAAGACCTGTAGCGGGGAGTCTGTCCGGTGAAGGTGTGGATATGAAGCCGAAGGAAATGCTGTGTGGTTCTCAGGGCCTATATGTGGAATTATGGAGAGGTAGAATGCGGCGCGCCCCGTGAGTATTTGAGCTTGGTTCCCTATGCCCACGCTGATCTAATGTGCCGGTGAAGATAGAATCACGTCATGACCTTCGTTGCGGGCGACGATGCTATAACAAGATACCCATCGTCTGGACCACCTCAGGTCCTCAGCCCCGCCCTATAACCTACCATACGCCTCGACGCTCGCACGCTCTCCTTGCGTATTGAACACGTGATCACGGACTCTAGCTATGTCTCCAAGCATCCTGTGCATCGTTGTTGTTCGACTGGTCGTTGTATGCCATCGAGAGCGTGAACGGACTCGACTTGGGGTCGGTACCTACTGTAGCAATGTTATGAATCGTTAATCCTCAATCCCTCCTACTTCGAATAATCGGATGGTTCTGTCTTTCTCTGCGGTCGGCAATTGGGATCCTGGTCTGCGTGGCGTTATGAGTGACAACAAGCTTCAGTCTCATTCGAGTGACGAGACACAACACCCGATGATCCGTATAAGTCCCTATCGGAGGCCCACATTACAACATGACAAGATGCGTCACAGCACCATATATAATAGTGTTTTACAATACACAATGACAACCGACCCGAATAGATAGCAACACAACGAACGAACACAGCAAAGTACACGTAGCCTAGCAGTCCCATCCAAGCACGAACTGATCGTCTTGCGTTTTCGCAGCGGCAGCCTCTTCGTCGGCTGTATCAGCAGCCGGACAGATGCTGGCGTCGAACTCGTCATGCAGGAGGAGGTCGACGACGTTGCGCGAGGCGATCGTTTCTGTCTCCATGGTCGAGATGAAGCTGCGAAATCAAAAACGTCGTGAGGTCACGGGCAGGGCGTTAAGTATAGGAAATATGCTTACGGCTCGAAGGCGTTGACGTAATACAGGCCCTTCGCCAGCTTGATAGGCGGGAAGGACACCGTCGGAGGCAAGACAGGATATGCATCCCACTAAGACGGCAGCCTATCGTTCAATCGCATGACGGCGAATGGAAGCACATCACTGACCTCCTTCCTCAAGACCCAGCCCACATTTCCCGCACCGAACATGTTCTTCAACCACTCGTCCTCCACCCGCTGCTTCGAGAAGATCTTACGACCCACTCGTCGTGCTCGATCGGCGACCCATCCACCTTCTTGATTTTCCCGTGGTAGGTCATCGAGTTGAACTCCGGCTCAGGCCCGAGGCCCTCCCGCACGCGGTTGTGCGTCGTCAGCACCTCCGTCGGCGCGCTCTCGCCGCTCAGCCCGAAGTACGCAGGGCTCGGCGTGCGCGCGGTCGTGCTCAGGAGCGTGACGTGCAGGTGCACGTACGGCTGCTCCGGCACAGGCGCGAGCAGCGCAGGTGGTGACACCTCGATCGCGGCACTGTAGAACGGCGCTGCCAGGATGACTCCGCGATACGCCCGTGAACGCGTCGTACCACCCGTGCCGACGAGCCACGCCCCGCTCGCTGCGTCCTGGATCAGGCTCGTCACCTCCGTTTTCAGGTGCACCGTCGCGTTGCTCCTCGCGAGGAACTGTTCAAAGACCTGGAAGTTCCCGCCCTTGACGCTCGCAGCGTTCTCCGCCGCGAGCGAGCACATGCCCTCGAGTGCGTGCAGCGAGTCGACATCCTGCCCGTAGTTGACCCGCGTCACCGCGTCCACGAGCTCGCGCGTGAACAGCCGCCCGATGCCCTGTGTGTCGAAATACTCTGCGGTAGTGCTCGCTATGGCGGGCGTCCAGCCGAGGCTCGATGCGAGCGCCGTGATATTGGAGAAGCGCGGCGCGGAGGGGGTGTACAGTGTGAGGAATTGGGTGAACATGGATTTGACGATAGCCTGAGCGCGGCGAGGAGCGGTGATGCCGTACCGCCAGATGACCTTCAGCGTGTCCATCCAGCTCCCGAGGAAGCTACCGCCACCAGTCTGTGTGTAAGACACGAGTCAGCCATCGAACTACATGGCATGTCCAGAGACGAGAATCTAGTAATATGTTGCGCGATGAGGTCCCGTTCGCCCTGCTATCCGCTTCATGTGACATCGAGTTCACTTCACTATCCAGCGCACTCCGCAAGCAGAGAACCTCAAGCCCATAGCCCACAGGCGTCAATAACCAGAACGGTACGCACCGTCAACACAAACTCCTGGCCGTCCCAAATCCCCATCACGTTGTTGTCGTCTCCAAAGCCGATTCGTTCCAATCCAAATTCTTCCGTGGCTCGCCAAATGTTCCGATTTACCTTCACGAAGATTGACGCGCCCAGCTCGACCGCCTCGTACTCTGTGTTATTGTACGGGTACACGACCGTGCTTCCTGGTCGCAGAACACATCAGTATTGGGTCTGAGTGCATACGATACAAAGTGATGCAACATACGTCCGCCGATGTAGTCATTCTTCTCATACACGTCCACTTCGATGTCCAGGCCGAACCGCTCCTTCGCCTTTGCGATCCAGAATGCCGCAGAGGAACCACCAGCTCCTGCTCCTATAATGGCAACACGGTTCGGCGGCGTCGAGGCGGGCAGAAGGGCATCGATGTCTATGAGAGGGGCCTGGTCGTTTGAGAAGAAGGGGATGTTGAACGGTAGTCTCAGCGCAGCTGCCTGTGCAGTCAGTGCAGCACCCAGGCAGAATAAGAGCTCTGGTCGCATTCTCAAGGAAGCACTATACGTTCCCGAGTTATTGATTGGTAGAGAGGAAGCCTTTGTCTCAATGTCTTGTTGCACGTCGTGGTCGCAGGCAAGGACCAGATCACGGTGGCGCGAGGAGGCCATGGCGTGTAGAAGCGCGCCAATCACACTATTGTGACTGTGTCTGCCTCAGAGTCTGACGTCTGCTACTGCCATGTCTACGCTCCTTCTCGCCCTCCTCCCGATGAGTAGCAGTATATTGTCTAGAAAGTACGTGCCAGAAATGCCGCCAAACGTTTAACTTTAAAAACTTGAGTTAAAGCATACTGAGATTGTATGTAGCTGTCATGTCCAAGTCATGTCGGACCGAAGTCGAATTTCCCTCGCGTGGTGGCATCGTACCCATCCGATGGGAGTAGTCGCACCCCACCACCGCGGGAGGTGTGCGGTGGTAGGGTGCGACATCGTCCCATCGGATGGGTACGAGACCATCGCGTGAGCACTAGCAAGAAAGGCCCGCGGTGAGCGCTGCTCGGAGCACTAGTCACGTACAGGTACGTACATACCTTTGACTTTCGAGCCTTCCTGCACGTTTGGCTCGCCCTCGCCCCATCATCTCCCCGTCACATCATATGTGCTGAGTTCACCCCGGGCCAGAGCATGGGATAGCGCAAGCTTTTCGCTGCCACCGCATCGTTGATATATGATGTAACGAGTACTTACGTGTCGGAATTCCCAAACACAGCCCACTGTCCTCCTGTTCTTCCTCCTCTTCTCAAGTCCAGTCGGTTCTTGGTTGGTTCCACTATTTGACACTGGTACTGTACAGGACGGTGCTGCTACTTCTTTGGAATCCACGTTACACAGTTGCTAGCTCATGATGACGACTCTGACTACTTATGTCTGAGACAATCATTAGCAGTTGATAATTCGAGCAGCCATTTGGCAGATGGTCAAGTCCGTACTATGACATGACTTACCGGTGCTGGAGCTCGCGAAACCCGGACAGGTGCCAATGGGGTACGGGCCCTTGGTGGGAAACCGTCTGCCTAGCCCCATCCCAATTGCGTGACAACCATCTTTACACAGCCTCCCATTGAAACCTAATTAAATAGACGGTTGACCTCAGGGACCTGTCTTGCAGCCTTTCGCTAGACGGCCTGAAGTACAACCTGTTATGGAGCCCGAGGTATGCACCAAGCCCTTGCTTACGGTGTGAACGCTGATCGCGCTGTCTTTGCTCGCAATTTATTACCAGGAAACGGCTGAGGTCTCTGCTGCGTCGTATTTTCCGCAAGAAGCCATAGCTTCTAGCCCAGCTGTCCCCGATGCAGGAGTCAAAGACGGAAAGGCCGATGAAACTACCGATGCGCCAGGTGGTCAGGATCCAGAGATCGGAATCTCTCCGGCCTGGTCGCAGCTGGCAAAGGAAGTGTGGACGTATGAAGAATCGCGGGTAAAGCGATGGCGAAACGAGATTCACACGTTGCTTGTCTTTGTACGTACTCCTCTCGGTACATCTTGGAAATACTGAAGATTGGGTTGCTAGGCTGGTCTATTCTCAGCGGTCGTGACTGCATTCGTCGTGCAGTATTATGCTGTCTTACAGCCGGAGGCGCCCAATTTTAACACGATTATTCTGGAGCAGCATACAGTAATCCTGGAACGTACAGCATGTATTCTTGAGCGAATTTCGTCGCAGCTTGGCGACATCCCCGTGGAATCAATCCATACAGCATTGACAGCAACGGCTGCTACAGCGACTCACCCGAAATCGGAGCCATTTACAAGGCCACCCCCTCCCTCTCCACCCCAGTGGATTGCTACACTGTGGTTCGCCTCTCTGGTCTGCAGCGTTGCCGCGGCGTCCATGGCTTTGGCTGTCAATCAGTGGCTCAACTTCCACGCGGAACAGGCCGGCTTACGGAGCGCACCCCAGAAGCTTTGGACCTGGCGCCTCCGTAGAGATGCGCTCAACAAGTGGAAAGTCGAGTTCATCGTTGGCCTCCTTCCCTGCCTACTGCAGATCGCCCTCGTTCTCTTTCTGCTGGGGATTGCAGGTTATCTGAAAGCGATTAGCGCTGGCGTTGCTCTTCCAAGCATGGTCCTCATGTGCTTCTTGTTCTTGTTCCTCATCATCACGACCTGCATACCGGCATTCGTCGAGTACAGTCCCTACAAGTCACCACAAGCTTGGTGGATATGCCGAATCGTGAGGTGGATTCACTGGGCAATCTGCTGGGTTATGTGGAGGATATGCCTATGGTTACGCCCCGTCGTGCTGTTTGCTATGTGCAAACGCTTGGGCGAACTCGAATCTTCCATCCACTCCGGCGACAGCTTGTTCAGCCATGCGGGGATACCCTCCCGCTGGATAATGGACAGCCTCTGCAGCTTCGCAGACACCATAATGGCAGCTTATCGCGCACTTGACACGCACCAAGCCTATCTCCACAAGGTCATGGAGACATCTAACTGGGTGGGACATGAACAACTCCGTCTACACGGCATCACTTCCAGGCGCGCAGAATCAACGTTGTTCTCAGACATATACTCCATTGCACTCGACGTAGATGTCCTTCGATCAATGGAGACCTGTCTCAAAGAGATATCCCCGTCTCTCGCATTCGAGAACGTGTTGGCGATCGGCAAAGCCAGGGGGATGGTCTTGTCAAGTCGGGAGGATGCGTATTCGCCGCAGCCGCTGCAATACGACAAGCTCGATAACATCGTGACTGTCATGACGGGTCGCATGGTGCTCAACACGTGTCTCGAAGGGGACATGACAGTGTCGAATGCCTTACTAGAGTCTTTCAAGTCGGATTCGAACCGTGACGCACTGGCCGGCCTTATCCGCGCTATGCCTTACAACGATGCGACACAACTGTGTATCGCTTTATTTGAGCATCTGCAGATGCCGAGTACTAGTAGGCCTATCGGCGACGACAGGACCAGGGCCATATTGGACGTCATACAAAACATCTACGTCCCTGTTAATTCCCATTTGAACGTGAAGGACAGGGGCTACCGTCTGATCCCCGGAGTCGCCATGAGGCACTGTGAGCCCCATGCCACGCTGCGACGTTTACGCAACACTCAAGGCAAGTACTAAGGTTCTCGTCACGCATGCACCCATCGCTAACTGACGCTCGGTATAGATTGGGAGTGCATACAGAATGCCCTTTCAGCAGCATATGCCAGCCGCGATAGCGTTGTCGTTGTCCAAATCACCACGATCGCTCTGATCATATGCGAGATGTATGTCCACGACGGACAAATGCTCCCCGGCGAACTGTCATCAGGAAGCTATCTGCTCCACACGCTCGGACTATACGAAGAGTTCCTGGCCAGTTGCTCCCGCAAGAAGATGCAGGAAGTCGAAGATGGACTTCCACGCGCGGCCGTCATCAGGTTGGCTTGGGCACTACAATTCGTCATGACAGTCATCGTGGACAATTCAGATGTATTATTCGCCAGCTTCAGCTGGCCTTTGTGGTTGAGCACCTCCGAGTCTGATGTTCCTCGGCCTCACCACCGCGTCAAGAGGGACACTTTGAGAAACATCATTCAATCTACCAATCACATCGCGCGAAGGCTCCAGTGGCTATTCAAACGCGATACACCGAGGCTCAGAGACGCGTCCCTCGCATTAGATTTCGTCGTCAGAGTGACCGGGCACTACATGCAAGGAGACCCTTTCGTAACGCGGTCAGTCGTTATTCCATCGCTCATAATGACAGGAAGGTGACTCACACTCTTCAAAGACGAGGCTGGATTGAGTGCATACCAGATGAGCACGTCGAACAAAGCCATGGGAGTGTTTTTGAACGGCATGGCGACAACGTGACCAGCGGTTCGAGCTGGCAGCGTACACCATCGAGCATATTATCGGCTGTCCACAACGTGGTGTAAGCAGCTCCTATTGTTGAACAAGTCACACTGACCGACGCTGTACGGAAAGGCACAGAAGGTCCGCATCAGAAACTGGTGATATCGAATTGCAGCTCCCGAGAACTGCCACTGTTCCAGCCGATCATACGTCCAATGAAGAAGAGGATGCTCGTCGACATACGGCGTCGCGACCGATGTCTAGTGTCATGCCTGGGCAAGCTCAAACCGGAGGCGAGCTACCGCGGGCACCGGACGTAAGTTAGCTGCATACTCACGCCAGCAATAGACGGGCAAACACATGTAAATGTGATTCAGGACGAAGCAGTGGATCGAGGTATACGTCGGAATGAAAGAATGGATAACAGAAACGGAGTGGGAATAGTCAGAGCTCAGCATATCAACCCGGACAAGCATCAAAGGGGAGGTACAGAGGAAACACGGCTCAACAAAGACTATGCAGTCAGACACCAGATGGTCCTAGTAGCGGCTAAATCGTCCAGGATCTCCGAATGCGGCCTTAACATCGCGCGAACGATGCCATACTCTGTCACAGACTCCAGGATATCGAAGAAATGTGTGATAGTAGATAGACTTGATGTCGCTTGCCTGCTAGACGAAGTCACCGATAGCATGCCCTGCTATTCATCGCGCGTCATACTGTCCTGACCCCTCGTAAAGCCTGCACTCGCCTGAGTAGCATGTCATGGTTCGTGGGAACCCGTTGACAGCGTCATATCACGACAGACTTCATGAGCAGAGCGCGGAGAAAGTCGAGCCAGATGCTTGAGATATTCAAGGCTAATATATACCCTATGTGGTTGCCTTAATACTGTTGAGCCGTACAACGAGGGGCAGTAGCGAAACGTTCTCGCTAGACGCGTAGAATTGAACACAGTCGAGGTGTACCTGCCAGAGACGTCGTCAGGTCAATACAGCAGCATACGTATGCACCAAGTCCACGAACCTTGAACCTACAGAGGCCGAAAAGGTCAGTAAAGCGCGAGAGACAGGAATCACTGCGTTCTTACCAGTGATTGAAGTTGTCTCGAATTTGCTAAGAAGTCCCACTCTTCGCCATGGCTTTGTCTCCATCCGCAGCGTCAGCGGCGGCCAGAGCTAAGCTGACTAGCCGATTTGGTGAATGAAGACGTGTAAAGGGCGAAAGTTGAGCAAGTCACTATCAACTTTGAGTATGCCTGAAGGCAAATCGTCAGTCCGATGCGATCGAGCATTCGATCATCTGCTTACCTTGAGCAGCTTCGAGCTGGTAAGCATGCACTCCTTCAAGCACGTATCAAGGAAATCCACGTGGTCACGCAACAGCTGGTCCACCGTCTCACCTTGCCGGCTTCCAGCTTGTCTCAAGCTTGCGCCATTCGGTTCCAGTACCTCGAAGGTGGCAACGCAAGAATTGCTGCACAACGCGAGCATCCTCGCCCTAAGTAGGAACACACGCTTGCGCCAGTTCTGGAAATCAGCCTGCCAGTCGGCGGGCGACGGCGCAGCAGCGCCGGGAGGATGTGTAGGTGCTCGCCAAGGTGTAGTCTTGTGTTCAATCCACATAGATGACAAGGACTGCTCAACATGCTTGAGGTGCAGCAGGAAACGGAAGACCAGTTGATAGCGGAGGATCGTCTTGCGCGAGATCACGAGCGAGAGGGGAAACTTCACAGTATAGTCGAGAGTCAATGCGTCAATGGCTAAATGATTGACAGCGCGAATCGTCAGACCAATATACCGAGGAGCAACGCGGACATACCGAGAATCTGCTTCTTGTCATCTTTTTCTTTCTCCCGCTCCTTCCTGGTCTCTCATGGGCATGTCCATCAACAGCATCGCCTCCTCGTTTCCCAGCACACCGCTCACGCTCACAACCTTCAGCAGCCACTCGTATAACCCGCTGTTTGACATGGTCACACGCAGGTCCTCTCGGAACATTGCATCTTCACCCTGAGTGTCTGTATTCAGCGCGAGATCAAGCAGACTCTGTAGCTTCACCAAAGACGCCGACTTGGCTGACTTTCGTAGTTCGGAATGCGAGAGGTCAAGGAGATGCGTGAGGAACGAGGATTGGGAGAGGAAGAAGAACCGCTTCAATGACCGCAAACGTGGTATGAGTTGCTGATCACGTAGCAGAAGCTCCAGTAGAGTCTTGTTCGCATGCGCGTATGCATCGTCGATAGACTTGAAGAACCTACACAGAGGTGATGAGAATCCGTTCCACGACTGAATGGTACACACGTACTTGTCGTCCTGAAGGGACAGATCGTCGTCGTCCCCGTCCGCTGCCGCTCGTCGTATCTCAATTCCGCATTCCTGGATGACGTTCAAATACTTCCCGGCAAGCAGCATCTTCGATTTCCATCGTTCCAACATCGGTGGCACGCAGGCACCTCCGGGCAGATGTCCGCCGACACTCCTGGGCGGAGGCACGCCGGTTTGGTGGCGTTTGGACGAGCCGCCGGGCACTGTCCCATCGCGCAGCTATCGAACTGTTGTAAGTGCAACGCCGGTGATCAAGCACAATTCACGGACAGTATACCGTCGCTCCCAGTACTCGTCCGTGTAGTCCACGTCGAGCGTCCCGCGATCTATGAATTTGCTCTCTTTGATGCACAGCTCCTCATACGGATCGACCAGTCGGCCCGTCCGGATCCACTTCTGCACCATCTCGACGTACGGCTTGCCCGCCGCGCGCATGAGTGCCCCGTACAGCGCCCGGGCAGCGGGGTCACCAGACATGTTCTGCATCCGCTCGTGAAGGATCGCGAGCACCTCGCCGCCCTTCACGGGTATGCCGCTCGCGCCGCCATCCATACCCTTGTTGATGTCAGAGAGGACCGCCTTGAGATTCGCGCCTCCAAGACCGAGAGCCTCGTTGCGCGCGTCTTCCTCTGCGTCGGAGGAGCCGCCAGACTCGGAGTCGGACAATGTCGCTGAAGGGTCGTCGGCCGTGGCGAGCTCGGTGATCAGGAGGTAGAGCAGTGAAAGCGTGTGCAGAGTGGGATGGACATAGAACCAGAGCTTCTGGAGCGTGAACTGGGCAGACGTAGCAAAGGCGTGCTCGAGCTGGGAAGCAAGACCTGGTAGTCCTTGAGCATGTCGCGCATCGCGGCACATAGGGCGTGGTTGACGAGACCGAAGTCAAGGAGACTTCTCTGCTCAATGAACGCCGTGACAGCCGTGTAGTATGTCGCCAGTGGCAAAATGCGCTCCACGAGATCGCGCAGAGACGCGTCTGCCTGCAGCGGTCAGAAAACCGCTTACTGAGACAGCGGCGCACATACCGAGTGAAGGCGCCACGACAATCGCACGCCCTGCAGGGGTCGTCGTCTCCACGGAGTAGTCCGGTGGTAGGCTATGTGGGTGCCCTCGATTCCCTGTTGCGCGAACTTGAGATTGCACACGAAGCGCGTGCAGACTCGGTACGACCATCAACACGAAGAGGAGATCTTCCAGGATGAGAGCCTCCTGGATCTCCACCGGAACGCCATCCAGCTGTCCTTCGCCCTGCCCTTCCCTTGTGTTTATCGCGTGGGCCGCCGATCCCGAGACACGCGTGAGTTGAGCGGTGCGCGAACGAATGAGGTTTCGGCGATGAAAGACGGCTCTCTATCTGAAGTCGAGTTTCAGCCTCGTAGCCTCGTATCTCGCACGCGGAGTTATACCTAGGACGAGACTTCCGCGCAACGGTGGTAGCGCATCGTTTGCCGGTTCGACTAGGCCCTCCTCGAGATACTGGCGGGTTCGTCTGACGGATGCAATAGTACCTGTCACCTATTCAGAAGATCAGACAATCGGTGTGCCATTGTTCAAGCGCGACACACCTTGTTGTACTCCTTTGTCGACAATGTCAAGTTCTTTTTGCGCGAGCTTGGCCGACCATGTGGAGTATACGGATCCATGTGAACCGCGAACCGAGAGAGTCAACCTGAAGGGGTTGATACAGTTATATCTATAGTGTTCCGATTAACTTGAAGAACAGAGTCGCTCCGTAGTCAGTTTTCGTACATTATTACACAGAAAGCTGGCACAACTTTGTCTGAAGATAGACCCGTATGCAACTGCCACCCGAGAGCGAGACGAGGACGAGGACGAGGACGAGGACGAGGACGATGAGTGTCATTGAGAACGCGTTGACCGACGAACGCGGTAGCTCAATGCACGTGACCTTGTTATCCCAGGTTTAGGCGCTCCCCGGCCGCTTTTGACTAGCTTCCGTTGCAGACCATAAAGCCCCGACGTCGTCTAGGACGACGAGCACGCCTGGCGATGCGCGACGCCAATGTATACCATCTCAAAAGGGCGCTGCCCCGAATGGTCAGTGGAAGAATAAATCCTGATGCGTGGGTCACTGATGTTTGGTTGCAGAGCTGGCATCCGCGCAACCTCTACAACCTTTGGTGTCGGTCTGCTGGCGTGAAGGCGAAGGAAATTGACTTCAGAAACACGAATTTGACCCTATTTGCCCAACGTTGGAGGGCAAAGTCTTTGCTCCGCGCATACCACGGCGACTACATCAAGGAGACGATATTCAAGCGGTGGTACCTACCGGAAACACTCCCGGACGTTCGTCGGCAGTCTGAAAAGACGAGTGCCGACGCAGCGTCGCTGAACAAGTGGGCCAAGCGCGAGGAGACGGCTGCTAAGGAGATGAAGCGGCTCGAGGAGGAGCATCAGAAGGGTCTGGCTCCCGTCGGCAGTCTGATGTTCAGGGAGGTGGAGAGGCGGATAGACGTGCTCGTCTTTCGGAGCTGCCTGCGCAGAGTGTGTACGAGGCTCGGAGACTGGTGGTGCACGGCGACGTGATGCTCAATGGGAAGAAGGTGTGTAGCGCACTGTCTCAGTGTTCGCTGCGCTAATCAACCTTGCAGCACACGAACCCCAATACAAGGCTCGCGCCTGGGGATATGATCTCTGTGGATCCTCGGGCCATCAGATTCCTTCAAGCAAAGGCCGCCCCAAAGGAAAAAGTAAATGAGATCAGCGAAAAGGACGAGGCGGCGGACGAAGCATATGCAGACGCGGAGTCTGCCGACGAGGAGTCGCACTCCGACGCAGCGTCAGATACACCTGAGGCTCCGAGCAATGCGCCTCCCTCTCGTAGGGCGGCCTCTGAAGCAAAATCCGCCTCCGACGCCAAATCCGGCGCCATGGACAAGTGGACGACCATGAAGGACAAAAAGAACTTGACGCCCTTCCACCTCCCCCCGTATGCGTCGCCCTTCATCTTCATTCCGGCGTACATAGAGCCCTCGTTTGCGACGTGCTCGGCGATCTACCTGCGGCACCCGACCGCGCGCCCGGGCTACTCGGAAATCCCGACGCCGTATGACGCGGACGGCGAGCTTATGCGTATGGGCTGGGAGTGGTACTCGAAGCGGCGCTCACGGATTCGCAGCAAGAGTCAGCTGGCGAGGATGCCGGAGAACAGGTTGCAGGGTAAATTGACGTCGGGGTCATTCTAGGGTATGTTCGTTTATTGCGCTAGATAATGTGACGTGCTAGAGTTCATCTCACACTGCTCGTTGGCGCTGCAAACGTCTGGTCACCGAATCATCGAGACATGCCTTCATAGGTAAGAGTGGTATGACAAATGGGCTGAGCTAGAAGTATCTCATGATACGTGAGACGTGCGTATTGACCTCCTGACATGCTGTTGAAGCAGGCTACGCCAATTCACTTGTCGCATAGTCGAGAGGCTAGACTTACAACCTACAAAAATGGTGTCGATTCTCTCAAGTCAGTGAGCTTCAACACGACCTTCGCAATACGTCACGGCCCCGTGGTCGATCAACTGATATAACTAACCTGGACTTCGTCGGATGAACAAATACACCAGAATGCCACGGATACCAAAGCCTCGTGGGCAACTACCCTGTGCTTGTTGGTCGCCCTTGGTCACGGATAACGGTCAGCCCATTGATATCGATTCCAAGGCCGTTCACTCTCGTCTCCTGCCTCCACTGCTGAAGGGGTCCAAGAATATGACTTCGATCGAGGCGATTCCAGCAACAACTCGAGCCGCTATAACGCGGGAGTTCAGTATGGTTGCGGATGTGGCTGATTACCCGCTGAAGCAGCCATCTGAGTTGGCGCCCGGAGAGTGTATACTCAAGCTCGAATGCACAGGGTGCGCTTCTTCGCCCTTGTTCCTCGACCAGCTCATGTTGAATCACCCCTTTTCTTTGTTATCAGAGTATGCCATACGGACCTACACTTCATGAACGGGGAGTGGCGCATCTTTCCCCGCCTGCCGAGTGTAGGTGGCCACGAAGGGGTCGGCCACGTCGTGGCGATCGGCGCGCACTCAAGGAGTGGCGTCATTAAGCTCGGAGATAGAGTGGGGACGAAGTACGTAGTCGACAGCTGCCTGCAGTGTGAGATGTGCCGGAGGGGCTTCGAGCAGAGTGAGCACGTCGAGAACATGACAACGGCATGCGCTTATCACTGACTGATGTGCAGACTGTGCGGACAGAGTGATATCCGGATATCACGTCGACGGGACCTTTGCTCAGTACATGGTATGATGCCTCGTGTAGAGAGTCCTCGTCATCCACTGCTGAGCGCTGAGGGCATGATGGTAGGTGGCGTACCTCGATCACTTGATACCTATTCCAAAGGAATTGCCAAGTGTGGAGGCCGCACCTATTCTTTGCGCGGTGAGGCAAACTTGACAAACTATGTTTGCCAACCCTCGCTCAAAGCCAACGTTAGGGAGTGACTGTGTACAACATTTTGAAACAACTCACGGATACGCCACCGGGTGGCTGGGTCGTGGTCCACGGGGCTGGGGGCGGGCTTGGCCACTTGGGCATCCAATACGCCAAAGCATTCGGGTATCGTGTCCTTGCAATTGGTAAGGCTTCGCACCTCGTGCAGATTCGAGATATTAACGAGCGCGATCCGTAGACAGCGGTGTGGAGAAGCGGGACCTATGCCTTTCCGTCGGCGCTGAGAAGTTCCTCGACTTCAAGGACACAACAGACCTCGTTGCAGACGTCAAGAGGCTGACTGACCCTCTCGGGGCACACGCGGCCCTAATCACAACCCATGCCGTCAGTGGGACAGTCTTCATAAGCCTCTAGGCAGAGCGCGAGGTAACTCACATGTGCATGCAGGGCGGTGCATATGTCCAAGCTGCATTCTACATCCGAGCGCACGGCACCGTGATGTGCCTCGGGGCGGCACAGGAGGTTTCTGGCCTTCCGATGGCCCTGATCATTGACCAAGCAAGCATTCCGTTCATGATACCGCGGTAGGAACACTCATCATGGGCCTTTATCAGGGCATCAAATACATTGCATCACAGACAGGGTAAGTGCACGGTCGTGCTGCCGGCTCGAGTATACTCGACACCGGATCTCGTTCTGTTTTCAGAGGTCGTCAAGCTGTATACGAGGCGCTCGCCCTCGCGGCGCAAGGCAGAGTCCGCTGCCATGTTGTCCAACGCCCCTTGGAGGAAATAAACAGGTACGTCATTAGTGACCTGGCCAAAGGCAGTGCCCCTCACACTTACGCATACGCCGCGGTCAGTGTCTTTGAGGATATGTGCAAGGGCAAGTTGGCTGGGCGTGTCGTCGTCACATTCTGAAGTAAGACGTCACACGCACCGGTTATACTGGACGAGCATGTCGTATCTTAGCGTACAGCGTGTCGCCGCACCGGAAACGCTTTATTGTGCCGTTTGCAGCCAGGCCCGATTTTCTCGGCAATCGACCTGCGCTCAGTACACGGCCCGTCAAGAGCTGCGTCAGGACATGATGTTCTGGCCCAAACAGGCCTATAGTGCCTCGCCGTCGTGGCGCATCAGATCGACATGCGAAGCTCAGGTCCTATATCACCTTTGTGGCGCCGAGAAGGCGTCGTGTCGGAAACGGAAGTCTTCTTCGGTTGCGTACCTCGTCACTGTTCCGGCGGCACCTCTGCGTCAGCGCGGTGCCCGGAGACAGGCGGGTTTAGAGCCATCTACTGCAGCGCGTGTGAGTTATGACATTGACCTAAGCACTTTATCGATAGAGCGCAATGCTTACAGCAGAAGTAAACATGAGGTTGCTGCTCGACCATATATCGGCTCCTGGAATGCTCCGTTGGAATTTGTCATGACATGATATAACCAGAAAGACACCAGTCGTGAGCTGACTTACGTCAGGGATAACTCACCAGCATCCTCACCGCGTCCTAGTCACGATATGCTGCCTGCGCTCTCTTGTCTGCTGTCAGGTACAAACTCGCATGTTCTACGAAAGTTCAGATTGCGGAAGCGGACAACTCTGAAGAGAACTATCGTTATCGCCGCGGGTCGGGTGGTAGTACTTCTCTCCCGATTGCCAATTAGAGCAAGCAAGACATCTTCGTAAGTGTTAGTGCCTTTCATGGAGAGCGGTAGTATCTCTTTTTGGTCAGCTACGGAGACTAACAAAAATCATAATGCACCTCCGATTAGCCCATGGTCAGAATATCGCAATGCACGCAGGCTTTCCGAGCCGGCACAGAAGCTCAGCATTAGATTGGCTCACAGTCACTCCAAGGGTAAACACTGGCAGATGCCACACATCGTCGACAATTCGGGAGAAAAGCTCGTCACTGCACTCGGGCCTCGAGGCATGTAACCCTCATGCGCTGCGCACTATCCTCTTGCACAGCAGGTAGTGAGAACGACGCAGCAACGCTCATCACCAGCATGTGGGCCATGCGGACATGCACTGGTACATCCGATGTCGAAAGCCAAAGCTACCGCGAGCCTGACCTTAGCTTCAGCCCGTATTCAATGGAAACGTCGGATGCCTCGGCGTTCGTGTGCCTACTCGCCGAGATGCGTTGACACCGTGGTAAGGCTAGTGAAGCTCCCAGGACCCACTAGGAAGGCCTAGAGACAAACCTTGTCGTATTTCCTTGGGATGAGTAGAACGACTCGGATGCTGTGCCCGCCGGTCCCTTCAACCTTCGCGTCTTCCGTGCTGTAGGGATTACTAGCCGTAACGCCGCCCACATCATGCGATGTAAATATGTTTAGATATGGTCTCCAAATTGTGCTTCACGTCATTCTTCGAGAAGAAGGGCAATCGAAGGAAACAGACTGGGACGAAGGTCGTTCCGCTGAGTTCTGTTCTAACCGAAGGCACTCCGCCTCGACTGTTTGAGAGCCATGTACGTGACTTTATGTTTTAATTTTCTGGCATAACCAACGCGCAGTCGAGCAGACTTTCAATGTCCTTGCATAATACATTCGTCATTGTCCGAGAACTGCACAACTCAAAGAGCGGTGATACAATTTTTCGAGTCAGGATGTCGTTGAGAATCTGAGATTAGATCCATGCTCTATAGTAATACACCGTTCGTAGTACTAATGCTACTACTAGTCCGCTACATTCAGTACATACACTACGCTATACTACATACACAGTCACATGCGACGTTCCACACTCCAACCAGCCATGTAACCAACTACACGCCATATCCAGTGTCCAGATATCCGCACTGGTCTCGCCTCAGAACACGCCCGGGAGCAGCCGCCACCGCGTCCGCTCCGCATACTCGTCCCACACCTCGCCGAACGCCCTGCGCAGCTCCGTGTCCTCCGTCCTGAGCCGCTTGTTCGTGCACTGCAGCGCATACGCGACCTTCCCAGCCCAGAACGCGAGCACGAGCCACGCCAGCGCCGCCCCGACGCCCAGGCCGCTGACGTGCACGCACGGCGCCGCAGGGATCGCGGAGAACATGACCTCCGGCGCGGCCGACGCGCTCGAGGGCAGGGACACCGGGTACGCGCTCCAGTCTGCGCATGCGATGGTGATGTTCGCGCTCCCGGCGATCGGGGAGGCGCACGTCCCGAGGCGCAGCGCGCACTCGCGGAGCCAGGCGCCGGGCGCGAGCCCGACCGCGCTCGCGCCGAGCAGGGTCAAGTAGATCCCGGTGTAGCTCGGATGCCGCACCCATGCGTATGGGCCAGTCGTGACGAGCGAGTGGCTCGGTGTGATGGCGAGCTCGAAGGTGAAGAGGGGACCGAGCGCGCGAAAGCATGCGAGGCGGAGGACAGCGCCAAAGAGAGTAGCGAGCGCACCGAGGATGAGCAGGGGCGATGCGTTGAGGAGAGGCGAATGTGATGAGGATGCGTGAGATGGGCTGAGGATCGACGAGAGGATATGAACGGTTGGGAGAGAGGGGAATGCGATTGAGGTGGTAGCCAAGATGTCGAGCATGGTGCCGATCCACACCATCATCTGTCGCGAAGAACGTGCGCGTCAGCAAATCGGCTCTAGGACTTCCTCGCTCTCACGGCACGCAGAGGTGGAAGCAGACAGTAGCACATCGTATAATGAAAGACGTTCTATTTGACGAATGCCCAGCCAGTTAACGGAGCAAGAATAGCTTACTCCCTGGGCTGAGAACATCCGCCACAGAATTGTGGCGGATCGACGGAGAAAGCACTTGCCATATGCGGGGTGCCCCGTCAGGCAAAGAAACACTTGTGGAATCGGCGAGCTAGGTACGACCGGACGGCCTGCTCACCTTACTGCAGAAAGTAACCCATCGAACGCAGCGCTCAAAAAATGTTTTCCGTGCAGCAGCAAGTCGCACCTTCGGAGGCGCGGGTGGGTTGGGTGGCGAGAGCGATACGTGCACCGAGAGACCGGTGACGATGAGGGCGGCAATTTTGACGAGGGCTTGGATGGTGGATGGATCGACATCCACGAATGGAGCCAAGGGCCATGCTGGGGTCGAGAGCTGCATGACAGACACTGTGTCCGCGGGTGTGAAGAGCGGAGTGCGGCGAAACGGGAAGGCGTGATCCCGCAATTCGGGGATGCGGGAAGCCACGAAGTCGGGATGAACCCAGGCAGGTGATTGACGGGGAGCTGGGAGAGACAGAGGGCGGAGGACGAGGAGGGATATAAGTAGTGAACAGAACGGGGCGCGAAGGGGAGCGGTTCTGTCGAAGAAGAGGCAGCATGGCCGGACGCAGACTGGACAGATGCGGACGGTCCTTGGCAGAAAGCAAGCCTGTGAATCAACACTGAGAGCGCGGGGAAGCCGTTGAATCGCAGATTGCCTCGCATACGGCCTGCCAGAGTGGGTCTGGGCTGCCTGTCTCCCACCGTGCTGCCGTGTGCAAGCGTTACGTGCTGCCGAAGTGGTCCGTGCCATAGTTTGTCCGAGCCCACATTCGCTGTCGGACGCTCGCAGATACAGGGCCTGCGCGCTCCGGAACACATTTAGTAGGCCAGGAATGCGGCGCGAGGATGACAGCAACAGTGTTCATGAAGCCTGTTCGATCTCCCTTGCACGCGTGACGCATCGATCGAGCGAACAGAGTGTGCCGACATCCTGTTTGAATTTGAACCGTCAGATGGAGATTCCCAGGTCGATGCGCGAGATTTGGGCGCACCTCACCCGTCAATGATCTCATCACTGCCATAACAACAAGGGATTGGGTGAGTATGCTTTGAGACCCGCGTCATGTCCAGTAGGCTTCTTTGTGATCTTGCTGGTCTTCGGAATGTAGAACCGGCTCATCCACCGGCAGTCTTGTAAGTACATAGATATGTTGTGTATAATCCTGTCTGGGTGCGCGTGTGCACTCCCTACACGCGTGGGTCAATGTGCGGTGCTCTTCGTGTACGTCGACTTAGTCTTGTCTTTACGATGTTAACGTCCGTGTCAAGGACTCGGACGTTTGGCGCTGGACGGTGCTTCGAATATAACGTTAACCGTAATTATAACTTAGTAGAAATATTGCCATTTATGGATCTCAGTTCACCAGGGCCCTTCTGAGTCTGCGTCTGCGATCTTGTTGAACTCGTCTCAAAGGACACTTCTGGCGAGTCTTCCGTGCACACGGGGATCATCCTATTCCATCATCCGCCTGGTTGGGTAGCAGGACTCATCTGATGACATCTGCCCGGTTGAGATAGGCCCGGGCGTAATGGACCAAACGAGGAAGCCCTGGTCCACCAGTGAGCGACGAATCAATTAAAGCAGTAGTGAATCGTACAGGAAGCATTCTTTTGCGGGCAGCAATCAACTAGCCGTCTCTGGCGAGAAGACTCCATCGCGCAATGGCGGCTCATCATCCAGATTCCAGACTCGAAGCCCCACAGACCAACATCCAATGCATGTCTTTGTATTTGCCAGATGATGATGCTGCAACCAACGGAACACGATACAGCATTCCCTTCTCGCTTACGGAGCAGAAACGAGGCGCATCCCGGATTGCGTGGCACTGCCGAAGTACGCGCATACAGACAATACGCCACAACGCTGCTGACTTACCTTCTAGCTAGATCTGGCTCCGAGCCATATCAGGCGACTCAATGCGTCTCCCGTGTCCAGGTGGCCTTTCTTCTGCAGTGTGCACCCTCGTCTGATAAGTCCGTGATTCGCCGGTGAGACGTCTTCTCTCGGTATGATGCCCGTACGAACTTCAAGCCTGCCTTTCGCCGCTCATCGCCGCAGCCCAAGCCCCGACGTGACATCGTTCGTCCAGCAAGGAGAACGCTTAGTGCCTGCCTCTCTTGCTCATGAACGCTAGGCAGGATGCTGTGTGTGGAGTACGCAGGACCATACCGCAGCTCACTGAGGCGTTGCGCCGATCGTGCTGACGGAGACAAAGACGTACGTCCTGCCCTTCGTATCCGCAGTCCATTCCCACACCAACCCACTCAGGATGGTTCCCTTTCCACGCAGCCGTAGTGCAGCTGTCCACTGAATGCGGCGTTCTCCGCCATACAAGCGCAGCTCGGTCCTAAGTCTCGTATCCCGCCACTCGGGACCGGACACTTGCATTGAATCACTAGCCTCCGAAGCCCCGGGCATACTCTAGCCGAAAACCTTGAGCAGACTCGAAACTCAATCCATACGCGCGTCCACCAAACGCGCGCAGGACGGTTCAGGCACACTTCTCCCAGGCGGCACCTCTCCGGGAGTCTTCTTCGCGAACGTGCCCCCCACCACATATTCCATGCCGACATTCAAATCGCCGACTCGTCGTATGGTGAAGCTATGAAGACTGGGAAGGCCGAACGAGTGAGTTCGCCGGAGCGGGTGCTCTGGATCGCCGGTCACCCCCAGTTCTATTCCTGGCTGGTCCAATGGATCATCACAACGTTCCACACAACAGCGGCATTTGACACGACGATCTGCCTAGCGCGCCCTCTCGCACTCACGGAGATAAATGCGGGTGCTTACGCTTGAGCCGTCTGTTCTACTTATGCGGCCAACTGGAGGTAAGTGTGCTGTCGTCATGATGCTCGCGCGTCAAGCTTCGTTATTGAAATAAAGTCGCTTCCTAGATACCGGGCTCACAGTTGACCGGCGCTGACGTTCCCTGGCTAGGGTACACGCACCTTTTGTGTGTACGAGTGTACCTATCCTGGTGCACTCCACTACATGCGTCGCAGGGCTGGTCGGGATATGCTTGCCGAGTCAAGTCACGCTGCCAGTGTTCGGTCGCAGTGTCTAAGTTGTAAACCTAGGAGCGCAGATGCACACTTCGGAGCGGGCCGCTGGGTCACGGTGGGTTGACAGGATAGGGATAGGGTTCTCCTCATCGAAGGCAGCGTTCATGTGCGCTGTTTACAGGAGACATTTTTGACGTGCAGTGCCTTCTCACGTATATTAGAAGCTAGACGGGCTCCCGGTTCACCCAGGGTATACGGACTTCGGTTACTTTCCAGCACAACGGCCACCCGTAGCTTTGCGATGCGCACGTCTAGAAGTCGTTTGCTCCGTGAGGACTGCGACATCCTTCGGTGTTATTTGATTGAGTAATTAACAGTGTTCTCTGGAGTCTGGACCCGAGTGCGTAATTCCTACTTTCATTAACAGCTCTGTTTCCTCTACTCCCGAGACTCCACTGAGTATCTCACTTCATCTAGGCCCGTCTAAGGAATTATCATCGCACCACCATTGCTATCCCAGACACTGCGTCTAGTGGGGCAAAATAACCACTCTTCCTGATCCATGTGTTCGAGAAACGCAAGTACACAGTCGCGGATCGTCTGTTCATAGTCGATGTTATATTTTCGGCGCTGTCGTGGTAAGAGGTTCCATGGCGTGCGCATAATCTGGGCCCTCCCTTCGGGTGCAGCAGGTCCATGCGGTGCGCATCTCACGTTGGGGTCTCCACGACCGTTCTTCACGCAGTAACGCACGTTTTTCGACCGTGAGCCTGTTTCAGTCGGGTGGCCTCCGCAAACCACCGACATTGCAAATGAGAAGACCATTCATCCATCTTCAACACAGTGTCCTGTATCATGCTGCCGCTTTTGCGTAAGTTCGAGCCGTCACAGTGCGATCCTTGGCTGATTGCAACGCACAAATTCTAGCTGTCATAGGCACCTCTGCACATGGCTTGTCCGGACAAACATTTGAGCCTTTACTTCATGAACGCGGCGTTCATGGTTTGATGTGAGTATGAATGGAATCCTCGTGAAGGACGCCGCGGAGTCGCCACTGTCATCCGTCTCCTGGGAGGTACGGATGCGGACGCCCATACGCTGTTCCGAGGAGGGAGAACCTTCAAAGGTTTTCTATGTCGGACCGAACGCTTTCTATTATTATTACACGACATCGAAGGTTTGGTATCCGGAGGGCTACACCTCTGAGATGTTATGAGCATCTTCGCTGCATCCGGGTCCCCCGTGCCATTGCTTTCTTCTATCTTGAAATTGAGGCATCCGCAGAGTGGTGGATCGTATTGCCGACTTCAATGAATGCCTATTGCCTGCGGACCTGCGCAAGGTGAGTGTCACGTTGAAGGTTATAACATAATATGCTGTGCTACCTATAGAAGACGACGGTGCTCTCGGTTTGTGCGACCTGCGGCAGTAAGCAGGGCAACTCGCAACTCTTGACTGTCCGGTGTTCAAACGCGGTTTTCGCATGCACATGGGCCGGTGCTGTCACTACTTATGCGCGTGTAACCAACGCACCTGCTTCAGTCAGGGCAGATCCGTTCGCAAAGTCCGAGTCGGTCTGAGAAAATCGACTACTCTGAGAGCGCGGCCATCGTCAAGACCCCGGCTGGCGCGCATGCGTGAAGAGGGCGTCGAGAACTTGATGTCTTCTGGATCCCCTCCAAGTCCTCCCCCTCCTCTTGACCCCTCCTCCTGACTGAAGTACTTAGTCAACTGATAGAAAATGCTGCGTCGGCCCCAAGGGCTCGGCCCGTTATCCACATGCAACGTGGCACCTTCGAGTCGAGCGACCCAACAGCAACCAGGTATTCCATCGTCAGCGTGTCGCAGGGCTCGCTGTCTATTGTGACTGGTCAGCGTCGTCCTTACGGATAAATCCAGAGTCCTGTAACTGCGCTCAACCTCCGCTGGTACCTTCCCTTCCGGGCCGATGCAGAACCCGCATGCTTCCGCACTGCTGCTTCGAAGCAGATTCGAATTCCGAGTATAAGTTCCTATGTATGCCGAGATTCTGAGAAACATTCTGAGCATCACTGATCTGTCAAGGGAACCGCTCGCAAGACAGGGCCAGTCACTTATCAGAAATCCGGCATTTGTACTTACGAATGGCAACCGGCCAGATCCACGCCGAGGCTACTGGTAACTTACAATGTGGTTGGATTCTTCATGCTTCACTCTGATGGCCGGGCTTTCGCGGTCCTGTGGTCGACAGTGCAATCCGAGTGAGGTTTGGACCATCGGTGTCTATCTGACGCGAGGTGCAACTTGCAGGGTATCCGGGTTGACCCCAAGACACCAAGAAGAACGAAAGGCTCGACTATACAAGGCTGGACAAGTGTTTTAGTTGTTCACAGTGTATACTGACCCACAATACATACCGTGGATGCCACCATGAGCAGTCCGTTTGTCGAGATTTTGCACAAGGGTTTGACTTTTCAACAATATGCAATCGTCACCATCAGTCCCGCGGGTGCAGCGCCAATCTAGTCAAAGCCAACCTCAACTCAGGACAAGATGAGTAAAACGACACTCACGACTAAGACTGTAGTGGCAGAATCCGCCATCGCATCTCAGTACGGATGTCTAGGAACAAAACATGACCTCGACAGATGAAGAGACGCTAGTACAAGGCTCGGGTTCGCGACCTTGAGTGCGGTCAGAACCTGGCCGCAGCTGACAACAGGAAGATTTGTATCTGACCAGCTTCACCCGCTCTTCCCATGACATTGAAACCCGAGACAAGAAGACAGTGCACCGGCTCGGGACGGCGTCAGCATCACCAGCGCGAAGACATATGAAGTCGCCGATCAAAGTGAGCGGCGGCAAGTGCGGGGTGAGGTCGAGCACACTGAGTCGATACTACAACTAAAAGCTCACCCAGTATACATACAAGTTGATGCTACAGATCATGCTTACCCATGAGTCGCATGATGAAACAAACTCTACGAAGGATTTGTACGACAAAGAGCTAACGCGGACGCTCCGCGGTTTCAATGATACGGCCTCCGCTCTCTAAACCCGGGGTAAAGTTGATGAAACAAACGCTCCCATTTTCCGCTATTCATTGACGATTGTCAGCACTTCCGAGTGAGCATAAGACTCGAACAGTACGCTTACAAGGCATCAGAACCCCTCCTCCACGCTCCCTATCCCGTGATCCGTTTCTTTGTCCTGTACGCCTCTGTTGTGAGACGGCCCGCCGAAGGAGTGCGAGATCCCAGATCATCCAGAGCATCGTCCGAGTGAGTTGTACGCCGCTGAATGCCACTCCGCGCGCACGGGCCCAGCCCAGATCGGGGTTACTAAAGTCAGTGAGGTGGTACACTGTCATGTTCGCGAAGGGGTCCAAACTTTCCATCCTTCCCGGCGGCGTGGGGTGCAAGTAATGATGGGAGCTGTCGAGGTTAATGAGGTATATCTCTTCGGATGCCTGGCAACAAACAGGTCAGCAGTGTCAAGGGAGTCCGAAGGAGGGACATACAGTCTGTACTGCCAGTCTTCTTGACTGGCCTTCCCACTCGAGGTCACGTAACCATTCGCCCATGTACACACGCCTTGCAATTTCTTCAAATGACGCAGTTCCTCTTGCCACTCTCGCGAAGTCGGGTACAACATACAGCAGTCCAAACACCGTAACCGCAGCGAAATGTCGCCCGTCTGGCGAAAACCGAGCTACACAGCGGTCAGTTGAGATCTGGACGCAGAGACAATCAACATACCTGCCACAAAACACTGCGGAACATGTCTACCGCCAACGGGGACCAACGCTTGGTTGTTGGCAAGCTGGACGCTCTCTGAAGGTGGGACGACTTTGAACTTCTGCATAGCATCTACACCCGGGACACACGCAAGGCTGCCGCTGGACGCCTGCGGCATGTAGAGCGAGCCGGTATATTCCTGTACGTCCACAACCTTCTCAAGTTGCATAGCCGTGTCCTGGAGGAGCTGCGGGGGATCGTCCTCCGCGAGTACCAACGTTGGTGGCGTCTGTTCGTCATTGCTGACCGCTCCACTCCTCGGCACGATGATGACAGCCGAATGCAAACACACCGTGATCCACGCGTCCGACACGTCGATGTCCATGACCACCCTGTCGCTGACGGGCGGCGGCCGGAATCCCGCCGGCGCACCGAGCACCCTCTCCATGCCAAAACCGATCCGGCGGAGGAGCGTGCCGTCGACGAGATCGAAGAGCAGGACAGCGTTCCGGTCTCGGATGCTCATCACCGCGAGCACCGGGAAGCGCACCCGGAAGATGCGCACCGTGTCGACGTATGGCTGACCGATGTAGGCGTGTGGCGTGTACTGACCACGTAGCCCATCGCACGACGTTGGTGGAAAGTCGGTGGAGGCGTGAGCTGCTTCTGTGAGCTGGAAGGTAAGCGCGGCGGAAGGCGAAGGATCCGCAATGGGTGTGGTCGCTGCGTGTCGGTTGGAAGACATGGACGAGGGAGGTGAGAAGACATCGCTGGATCTGCGCCATATCTCGATGCCGCGGTGCTTGCTGGGGAAGACGAGGAAGCCATTGGACAGTTCGCATCGTGTGCGGACGAGGTAATCCTGATCAAGGTCAGAAACGGTGCGTCTTTGGACAAGGATCGCACAGTACCTTGCTGAAACGCCACAGCAGTCTGTTATCCTCCATGGCGTGGACCGACATCCCGCCAGTGCGCGAGACAGCCAGTACAGTCCGTTCTTCCTCGTCCACCTTGAAGTGCAGAACACCATCCTCTGATGTATACCCGCCCTCCAGCAACGCACCGTGTCCATCCCAGTTCCGCTCGACCACAGTCCATCTGCGACCTTCGGCGAATAGCAGTCAGCCCGTGGATCACGCAGCTTATCATTGAGCACTCACATAGTTCCTTCCAGCTTCGGGCGTCGTCAAGCCACGCGCTGTTGCGTGCCTCGAACCGCTTCACCTTCTCGAGCGGGACCTCCGGCGGCGCGAACCTGTGCAGGACGGCGGCTTGATGATAGACGCTCTCCTCGTTGTCACCGATTAGATGATTGACCTGCCGTGACACAAGTTGAAGCGAATAAAGGTCGTTGACGGGGACGAAGGATAGGATGTATAAGAAGACATCGACGGGAAACTGCAGTAACATGCTTCGGAAACTGTCCACCTATCGAGACGACTGTAATCCTCCAGCGCCGCACTTATCTGTAGATATAGCATTAGGTAAGAGAAACGAGAAGGATTTTGACAGGCTATTGTGCTTACTCAGGAGAATCTAAGGCTATTCAGCAGCCTGCTGGGGCGAAAACGACGATCAAGTTCTGGGCCAAGTGAGTGGTGATGACAAGGTGTCGTCGATTGAGCCCATAACCGTAGGTGGTAACTGACGGTCCGTACGGCCCGAAGCTCCATCTATAGAACAAACGTTAGCAGTGGTTCGTGCCGAGGTTCGTGAATCGTGATGACAGCAAGAGCAAGCTACTTCGATTACCACATGAATACAAACGCCGTGCAATGACTTCAACGGAGCGCGAAGGACATGGTACATATATTGAGACCAACAGAACGTCGCACCGGGAAGCTCCCAAAGTCAACGGGTTTGAGGCTTGAAGTCCCTGTCGCCCATTGAGATGCAATCGTTATGTCTGAGTCTGGTATAAAGGAATACATTTGCGCTTTATAGCGACGCGTTAGCTACTGGACTCGTGAAAACAGATACGCAACAGAAAACACCATGATACGTCGGGATTGTACATCGGCCCACGCAGCCCCTGTACAACATCGCAAACTACTGGCTGAGAATCGTGCGTACAAACGACTCGTAGTTGACATTCCCGTCCCTGCGATATATGAGTGGGGCGACGTAGAAACAGGTTCGCAACACTTACGAGCCAACTGGTACGCCCTTCAGCAGCTCATCAACCTCCTCATCTGACATCTTCTCGCCCAGTTGTGTAAGGACGTATCGGAGTTCGCCTGCGCCGATGAATCCGTTGCCCTCCTTGTCAAACACTTGGAAACCGCGTATGAATTCATCTGTGAGAATAGTCATGGTACCGAGTCATGAGTACAGGATGGAAGACAATGTGGGCAAAAGTGGGAACCGACCAGGTGTTCCTGCAGGCTTGAAGCCGTCTGGTCGATTGAGAATTGTCAAGAATGTCTTGTAATCGACTGAGCATCAAGGGTTAGAAATGAGGCAATCGCATCAAACATAGGTTTTGGTTGTGATTCGAGCGCATGACAAGTAACATTGCCGCGTAAGATGACTGCTCTGTGGCGACAGGACGCGTGAACTCACCTTCCCGAGGTGACCCCGCGATTATCTCTGCAACTTCCGCCTGCGTCGGATTCTGGCCGAGTGCCCGTAGAAGATCACCTAGCACCTCCCTTTGCACGGCTCCGGTTCCTTTCTTGTCAAAAAGCGCGAACGCTTCCTTGTATTCTACGAAATGTGATGCAGTGTAGTTCGCCGGTGACTGCGAGTAGCATGCCTACCTGCGTTATCGCTCTAGAAATATAGATACGGTCAGCCTTGCCCAGTAGAAATCATTCAACTGACCATTGTTTGGTGCAAATGCTAGGTGGAAAGAGATGCAGCGATGGTGGAAGACCTGAATGCAACGCGCCGCCGCCGCGCGCGACGGCGACCGATCTGTCTGGCGCTAGTTTACATCGCTCGGTCATGTGACCTTCACAGTCGGCCGGCTGACATACTTAAGTATAGGGTCGCAGTTATTGACAACATAATGATAAGTCCAATGTAGCTTTGCGGAGGCCTCTAAGTAAACATGAAGAGTCAGAGTTGTCAGTCTAGACACAATTACTTATCCTTCTCCTTATGATGCCATTTGGACTCAGAATTCTTGAAACATGACTTGGCGCCTACTATCGAGCGAGGCTTCGAGCTTCTTGAAGCTTCAATCAAGGGGGTACAGTAGCCGGTTCTTTGTCACTGCTTGATATCATCAATCCAAGTCTCGACCAACTGTCGAGTCGACTCCAGCCCGTGGATTCTCGATTAGGTCCAACAGGATGTCTGACGAGCCTTCGACGTCAGACAAGAGCATCATATGTTTCGACAAGCCCAACGGAGACGTAGTCTTACGATCCTCGGATGGCTTTCCCCATCGCGTTCACAAAATCATCCTTTCTGAAGCGTCGCCCTTCTTCGCGACCATGTTCTCGCTTCCGCAGACTCAAACAGTAGGTAATGAACCGCCTAGCGATACCGAGGTACCGAACATCCCAGTGGTGCCAGTCACGGAAGACTCGCACACGCTCAGCCACCTCCTACGCCTTTGCTACCCCTCGCCACTCCCCCCGCCTACATCTCTCAGCTTGGATGAAGTCGAAGGGGTGCTGGATGCCTCTTCAAAGTACGAGGTGGAAGTCGCGCGCGCGTTCTGCACGTCCGTCCTCGAGAGCCACATCAAGTCAGAACCCATCGCAGCCTACGGACTCGCCCTCCGTCTGCGTCTCAAGAAGGAAGCATGCGCCGCCGCCCTCGAGTCGCTCAAGCACGACTTTCCTCCACCCGACACGAGCGACGACTCCCCGATTTCCAAGGCCATCGCGCGCATGTCGGGCATGGCCGTCTACCGGCTCGTTCAATACCGGGAGGCCTGCAAGTCTGTCGCGCTCCGCCAGTTCACGCACGACCTTGCCGTGCTCAAGCCGCCGCGCAACGGCGTGATGGTGTACATCTGCCCGAAATGCAGCGATCAGGAGCCTGGCGCAAGCACGCGGTACCTCCCCTTCAAAATCGACGCAGCAAAGTTCAGGGAGCGCGCGTCGAGGGTCGTCGGTGCGCGCCCGTGTGGTGCTTCTCTGCTTGGCGACGCGGAGATCGGCGGGCTCAACTTGGTGACGCCGAGCAGTCTCGAGAACAAGTGCCCGTTCTGCACGGCGAGCATCCTGAAGGTGCTCAATCAGCTCATGGAGCATCTGGCGCGAGTTATTGACGAGCAACTCTCAGCTGTAAGCTTGGTTCGTACGACTTTGTGCAGCTCGTCTGACTGGGATCCACTCAATTAATGCAGATTGAGATCAAACTCGACTTCTGACGTCATCCCGACAAGCCCCCGTAGGGAGCGAACGCCGACAACCCTCTCGCTCACTTCCCTCTTTCCTAGTCAGAAGGGCTGTTGTCGCCGGCATCGGTACTCTCCCTCCACAGCGTCTCGTACAGCTGTATTGTGCTCCCGATCAGGAACCCCCACGAACCCCAGAAGGTCGCCAGGACGCTCTGGTAGTTTGCCTGCGCCAAACACTGAGCATCACCCGTTTGAGGCCAACCGAATCACTCACCTTCGAAGACGCGAGGGCCGCATACCCCAGCGCGCCGCACAACGTGAAACCCACCGCCCCGACAAGGTTCCAGAAGCCTATGTGCCATCCGACGGCCCGCAGGTTCGGTGACCACCATTTTCGCTGGCACTCGATCATCATGAGGAGCGAGGAAACGATGAAGCCGGTACCCCCGACAACTTGGGGTGTCCAGTAGAACACGTCGCTGATTGCTATGGGTGGGGCAGTGCTGAGGTTGGGGATAACGCCCGGGAGGCCCGTGCTGTTCGCAGCGCGGGTGATCAGCGGATACTGTCGAAGGACGGAAATCGAAGGCATACATGGTCGACACCCAGAACACTGTTGCTGCGAACAGCTGGGTCACAGAGGCCAGGAAACCGAGCTCCCTCCAAGACGTCGTGCCGCTTGCGACCAATGTCAGCTTATCGGGGCAGCGAACTCGAGTCACGATACTCACAACCATCGAAAGTCGATCTTCCTCCTGACACCGAGCTTCATCCCAGCCGCCCTTCTTGCCTTCCTCTTCCACCATGACGATGTCGCCGTCGACGTTTCTTCGCCCGGATGCTCCCGACCCTCCATGAGGCCCCAGAGCGCCGGCCCGAAGAGCTGCTCGTGCCCTGCGTTCAGCGCCTCCACGACCGTGAGGTAGCTGCCGATCTCGAAGGCCGTCCCGCCGGCGAAGGCAGTCCACGCCGCTGCATTCGCGTGCGGCAGAGACTGCGACGGCGCTAATGGCAAGTAAAGCAGAAACCCATTGATCACCTACAGAGTGTCGCCCTCAGTCAAACGGTACGAGCCACGCAAGGACGGATACATACCCAGAGGATTGAACCCAGCGTGAAGACGAACGCGACCCAGAAGGAGACGTCCCAGCTGAGATGCGCCTTTAGTCTTGTTTGCGGATGGTGCAGGCGCTGTTCCACGACGATGGCTTCACTCAGATCCTTTCCCATTCCTGTCTCCGTGCTCTCTGGTGTTGCTGAGGCGTGATGTACGACGTGCACTTGGCGGGGCGCGATGCGATTTTTCCGCGAGTTGCGAGAGGACCAATGTAGGGGAGGAGAGGCAGGCCGGGGTCCAGGATGGTGAGGTGTGAACACAGCATGTGTGGGGTAGAAGACTGTCAGTGGGCGATGAATGGCGCTGGGATGAGTGGAGTAGGTTGTGGATGCGTGTGATATACTTCTGCTTGAGGATGTACGACTACTATGCGTAGTAGGTGGGACCTCCGTATGTTCCGGAGGAGTACTCTGTTTCGACATCCGAGTCGGCGCGTCGAACATTTGCAACCGGGTGTTCACTGGAGTCTGCGCGCGTACGTGCAGTCGTTGTTTGGTGACCGTCCAGGAGACCTAGCGTCTTCAACGAAGAGCTAAGATCCGTTTTGGGGTCGACTGGGATACGGAGTTCGCGCAAATGTCGAACGGATGGGGGTAAGGAGCACCTGTGAGTGCACAAACAAGAGTTTTATACTTATTCCTTGAACGGAGTCGACCTCGTGTATTGCATTCATAGAGCCTATGACGATGATTAGACAAGTTCTAGACTTCTAGTGACGACTCGGACTGATTAGGTTGGCCAGGGGCTAGAACAGTGTCGCACGTGAAACCGAGCGGCCGGCGCACCGAGTCTCGAATTAGCACCCAAAGTAGAGGGATCGGAAATAATAGCGATAAGTAGGGTGAAGCTCATAACGGTTGTATACGTACATACATGTACGTGGGCGCGACAATCAATGCGTATAATACTAGACCGATCCGACATAATTCTACGCCGAAAGCTTCCACATCGATTTGCACCGCTGCATCAACCGGGATGACCTCGACCTCGTCATAGACGAGGCGGCTACACTGAGCGATCCTTCCTGTGTGGTCGTTTCGGGAGAGTTCACTGTAGAGCGAGCTGCGAACTTGTCGCGAAGTGTGGGAGCGATCCAGTCCATCCACGGTGCAGGATCCTCTCCAGGCGCGTAGGACGCTCCTTCCGGGATGGCAAGCTTCTTGTCTGCCTTCTTCTGCGTGGCATGTGCGTTAGCACCAGGGCCTGAGCCTTCTCTTAGGGAAATCGCGTCCCAGTCTCTGTGATGCAAGACAGTCAGCGATCGCACAGACACGACTCGGCGAGAGGAACAACCGCACATGACGGCGAAGTAAGGATGAAGCCTGAGGTCCTTCGCTTGAGGCCTCTTCGACGGGTCCTTCTCGAGCATCTGTACCAACCCGTTGAGCGTAACAACGAAGAGAATAGGGCACAGATGAATACCTTGGATAGAAGGTCCTTGAACGCAGGACTAGCGCTTCTGCGGCTGTCCTCGGGAAACTCGAGAGGGCTGAGGCAAGTCTGCTTCACCCTGTCCTGCATCTCCATCTTCTTCGTCAGCCCAAACGGCAGCTTGCCGAACGCCATCTTGTACACGATGACGCCCGCCGCCCACACGTCCGCGCCATACGAGTAGGCAGGGCCCCTGTAGACCTCGGGCGCGACGAAGCCAGGCGTGCCGCACACATTCAGGGTCATGTGCCGCACGGCAAGCTGCTCGCGGACAAGCTTGCGCAGGAGGTTCTTGCGGTGCTGGAGCTCCTCGACCTCCACACGGAGTCGTGCATGGCGTGCGAGGGCATCACGTTCCTCTTGCTCGCGAAACTGCTCTTCTCTGCGGCGCCCGGCGCGCTCCGGGCTGTCGGCAGCCTCGGTGTTGACGGGCGTCGGTGCAGCAGCGATGTGATGCATGGCAGCAGATTCGACAGACTCGGCCTGAGGAGCATCCACGGACGAGGGCACTGAGAGGACGAGAGACGATCCGGAAACGTGTTTCACGACCACAGGTACGTGCAGCTTGAGGGTGGAAGCAGGTTCATCCTGGACCCACGGCCGGGCAACCGCAGGGAGATCGAAGGCGCGCGAGATGCCGAAGTCCGCGAGGAGGAGATGTCCGTGTGCGTCGATGAGGATGTTGTCCGGCTTGAAGTCGCGGTGGAGTACGGAGAACGAGTGGAGAACCGTGAGGACATGTACCTGCATGCGACGTTCAGTTAACAAGAGAGAATCTTCTTGAAGGGACACCCACGATTTCCGCCGCATAACCTAGGATCATAGCCTCGGACATTCCGGTTGCCTTGTACCGCTCCATCTCGGTCCATAGATCACCTCTGGGCGCGTAACCCTATAGCAACATGATCAGGAATCGTTGGAACGCTGTATAAATGTACGCGCACCGTAAGCAAGAAAAAGTGCGCGTTGTCATGAAATGAGGCCTCGAAATCTAAGAAACACGAGATCTTCTCCCTCGGAAAGACAGCAAGAGAGCGCATGATCGCCTGCTCTTCATAGATCCGCTTATGCGCCTTGTCCGCCCTGCGAGCGTCTCGGCCCTGATCGCTGTCGTTCGGATGGTCCTTCGACTTCTGTCCCGGGGACCTGTTCTCCTTGTCCTCAGTTTTCGCCACGTGCTTCGCCATGATCTTGAGAGCGTGGGTCGTCCCGGCCAGCTTGTGTTCTACGAGAAGCACTGTGCCTTGGCCGCCTTTCCCCAAGAGCTTCAATGGGCGGAAGTCGGATGCTCTGAGGATGGGGAGACTCGGGGGCGCACACTTCGCCTCCGGAACGTCGACGAGAGACTCACATGCTGACGGCTGGAGAGAGGGGGTCGTAGCGATCTTCGGCTCAGGCTCGGGCGCAAGGCACGGTGCGTCGAGCGGAATGTGGCATAATGTGGGCGAACCGGCCAAGCCTAGTTGACTCGGGGCCTCGAGATGTTTAGCTCCTTGCACTGGCAATATCTGGACGTCTGTCAGAGAATATCCTCGTCGACGATCTCGTTCCTTGCCTTGTCCTCCGCCCAGTTGAGAATCTTGTTGACAAAGGCGGGATCCGCGTCCTTCAGCCCATCTTTTTCGGGGTTCGCCACATATTCGGGAACGTCGGCCTTATACCGAGCTTGCTTCTCGAGCTCGTTGTTATCCTATTTGACAGAGCGTTGATTATTGTAACAGAATTCATGCAAAGCGCACATACGACTCTTGTGCTTTCGAAGGGCAAGTCTGCGGGCTCTTGCTTCTTAGCAGCGTTCTTGAGGTCCTCGATGATCTTCCTGTACACGCGCAACCCGGGCTCGCGTTGTCGCTCAGCACGAATAGGCTCCCCGATCTGTATCACGGGGGCGAGAAAACGATACTCACGTAGTTATAGCCGTCAGTTCACGACGCACAAGTGATAGTAAACCAAGCTTACCTCGTCTCTATGTTCCTCGAACGTCTGCCTCTCCGCTCCGGACGGTAGCAGATCAGCATTGGCGGTCTCTTTCGCCCTACATTTGATAGACCGGATGGTGTCGCCGAGGAAACCCATGATGACTGTGAGCTTCGATGCAGGCTGCACAAGACTACGCCGCAGTCCAATCCATGTGAGGATGGCATGAACAGATGGCTGACACCAGCGTGTTCGCCATAGCGGTCTGCCTCAGCTGATGTGTGCAGTGGACGTGTCAGCCTCATTGTGCCCTCGGGCTCGTTCTGTGTAATATTGTTGAGTAACTCGTTGGCGAAATGAAGGTCTAGGGTATATCGCATATCATTGAGAGTTGTCGGTGAATAGATGGATCGATCCCAAGTTGCTCGCAAGTACATACTACTATGTAGTACGCCTGGACTGCGGCCTGCCAAGTACTTACTGACTGCCACTGCGGCGGCAGAACTGGAATGATCAAGGTATACTTTCATACTGCGCCAAGGCCACTGGTGCTTGCGTTAGCACTTATGGTAAGCTTGCGCACATTAGATACTCACCCCATACAACATGACAATAATCTGTGAAGACTTGGCCGAGTCTGGTGTGATGTTCGAGAGCTGTTCCGCTTTTGGACGCGGGCGCTTCCGCTTCCGTCCACAGTGGAGACTGAGTGGAGGGCGGCCCTCTCGGACCGACGGACCGCGGCCTTGCGTAGACGTGGCGGTGGCGCAGTAATAAGTTGAGGTCTTCACGAACTATCACGAACCTCTCCATCTCTCACCAGCCTCGTCCCTCTAGCACCTCTCTATACTGGATGTAAGTATAACTCTAACCTGATCTTAGGAGAGGGTCGTATCAGTAGTATGATGGGTGTGGTTGACCCGGGCCCCGGCTATGGGTGACCACAAACCTCGCATCCTACGACAGGCAAAAAAGTTACTTACGACGAATATGGTAAGTGCCACCGTTCAAACGTTCAATTACAAGCTTAGCACTTATGGTGTGCAACGAAGACTGTTGCAAACTCTGCTAGTGCCGCTCGCTCGACACAGGCTGACACGGGCTGACATGATTTCGCTTTCGCAGAAATATTCCGTGCGCGAGTCGGGCTCTCCTTTGAAGTTGAGCATTCTATCAGGTACCGTGGTATACCGTCTCGCGTGTCGTCCTACGAGATGAGCAGATGGGTGAGTCCACTTTCTGAATCTTGTGTAAATACTACAGAGCATGATAAGTGTCGCCGTTTTGGTATGCGCTGCGACACCGACGATTATGCCTTGCTTTCGTGGACGCCTACCTGTGCGATTGCACAGGTGAGATTCACTTGACATGAAATCATGACTTGGATCTATTGTCTGAGTCAGGCCTTCAGCTCCATAGCCCGGCCTCAGACTATCCAGCAACCGTACTTACGCCCCATCATCGCAATATCACTCAGATATCACTGCAATGGCGCTCACCACGACTACTCACCGGTTACCAATCAGGTAGATAGTTTGCTTTGATCGAAAGAACAATCGCAATCACTTTGAATATGTGGATGCTGTACCGTCAGCGGTCTCATCCAGATCTCATCGCAAACTAAGGTCTCCCGAGACATGAGGCATGATGGTGAACTCGTTTTGTACACGCGAGGCTGGTACTTACGGAAGATTCGGACAGGAAAGGCTGCAAAAAGTGTTTATCGGTCGCGTGCGTCGCACGTCTTTGAGTACGCAATCCTATCGAGCCAGATGCACGACTGGCATTGTTCATTCCTGGTTGTTTGCTGCAACACTCGGAGTAGGCTTGGTACCGTTAGCACATGCAAGTGTTGTGCGAAGTGCTGATAACCTACATTCCGCATTGCTCACTGCTTCTCCAGTATCTATCTTGTCTCAGTTGGGAGAATCCACGCCGGCGTCGAGAACTTAAAGTGGAAGTCATTTACCCGCACTCTGTGCAGGCATGTGCAGGCATGTGGAGGCGATTTGATAGCAGAAGATCGGGGATCTTCAAGTGGTAGGAACGGTTGCGCCACAGCCTCCCGCAGCTAACACTCCCGAGAGGCGTTGTCAACAACTGCGCAGTGTGGATTCCACGACCTCGCTGTGCTAGTTTTGCGTAAGTCTCTCCCGAATTGAATTTTGAGATGTCTGAGCGATTGCACTGCAGGATTGCTCCCGCAGTACGGGTATTGCTTGGTTCCTCCATGGCCCGGCTGTCATGACGGGTTTGAGGACGAAGCTGCGCGTTCTATTCCTGACTGTGCGGTCTCATCTGCTCACTTTGTATTTCACTGCTTAGTCTTGGCACCCCCGGACTAAACCTAATTAGGAGTATTTCTCAGAGATGACACTTCCCCAGACGCGCATCGGGAACTCTCAAGCAACATGGTGAGTTCGATCTAGGCGGTGCGGACCTACGCGATCTTACCTCGAGTCGTGCGTCTCTCCGCATGGCCGGAATTGAATATCTCAAGCTGTTACTCACAGGTCTGAACGGTCATATATAATGTCCGTTCCCGGAGCTCAGTTGACCGGGTCCCCCCTACTCCCACAACTCGCCGTCGACCACCGTTTCGCATTTGAGCATCGAGCGGCTCCGACTTTCGCCTTGGTTCATCACCCACCATGAGCTCTCCACCTCAAGGCCATCCTGCGGAGAGTCATAACCCGACGGACTCCTTGGTTCTCCATGTCGACGTCCTACTCCTTTCTGTCCTAGGTGTATTCACACTCTTCGCCCTCCCGCGAGCGGTGGTGCGCTTCATGCGCCTCTCCGAATGGCACAAAGGGCTTCTCTTCTACTCGACGTCGACTCAGCGCAGTGCCACTTCTTCTGGTGCAGGTTCTCCCGAGGACGGCAAATCGGAAAAGAGCAATGTCAGCGTCAGGGCGATGGATGCAAATCCGTCGACTCTGAATACCGGGGAGCCGTCTACGGGCGAGCTTCCGAGGCATATGTCTTCGTGGTCGTCTGCTTTTCCGGGCCTTAGCTGGCTGTTGAGCATGCAGATCAGGCCAGGATACTCAATCGGCCGACTGCTGTTGATCTACGCTTATATCGGCGTGGTACTCTACGCCGGGCTATTCCATAGTAACCCTTTTACGAATGCTGGTAGGGCTGGCCTGGTGACTGTCAGCCAAGTACCCCTTGTTATTGCCCTGGGTACGAAGAACAATATCATTGGAGCACTTGTGGGCCAAGGATACGAAAGGGTGAGTGTGTTCGCGACCTCACACAGTATGATGCTCACCACACTCCGTCGTAGCTCAATTATCTCCATCGCGCCGTCGGACGCATCGTTATCCTGGCGATAAACACTCATGCTATCGGCTTGTGTAAGTAGACTTTGCTAAATTATGAACCTTGTCTCACCTGCATACACAGTGTACGAGTTCGTGAGCACTGGCCGCTGGTCGGTGGTAGTCACAGTCCCGCATCTCACATGGGGATTGGTCGCGCTGATCTGCATGGACGTCCTCTTCCTCTTTTCCATCAGCACTTTCCGCGAGATGTTTTACCACGTCTTCTACGTCACCCATGTCGTTGCTGCGGTTCTCATGATGGCAGCTGTAAGTGTTCATTCGTTCGCATCTCGTAGATGGTTTAATAGTGGCTTTAGGCATGCATGCACCACCCCAAGGCCCGACCGTACGTATTGGCCGCCGTGGGCATTTACGGATTGGACCGCATTCTACGCATCGTCAAGACACGTGTGGCGACTGCGTCTCTACGCGCTATACCCGAGCTCGGTATGGTACGCGTGGATATTCCTCATATCAATAGCGGCTGGCTCGCCGGACAACATCTCCGGCTGAAAGTGTTGTCATTGGGAATGGGTATCTTGGGCTGGACGGAACCTCACCCTTTCACTATCGCTAGTGTCTGTGAGGTAACAAGTCATTCTTCTCCTGCATGCGCCGATAAGTGTTCTGAACCATTCCTATCAGGGTCCGAACGGGGACGGCCTCGTCTTAATGTGCAAAAAGGCTGGAGATTGGACTGGGAAGCTATACTCCTTGGCACAGCGAGGGAAGGACGGGGAAGCAGCAACGGGCAGGAGCGTCACAGTCCTGATAGATGGGCCGTACGGTACGTACACATGCTACATACGGCCCATGCCGTGCAGCTCACGATGGGTTGCAGGCGGCCCAGGGAACACCGTCATTACTAGCTTCTCCGGCGTGATGCTCGTAGCGGGTGGCAGCGGCATTACATACGCACTCTCTACAGTCGAGGAATTGCTCCAGATGCGGGCGGTTGGGTCCAGTAGAGCCCGCATGGTCGAGCTCGTGTGGAGCGTTCGAAATCCTTGTGAGTGTCTTTATCGATAACAAAGCTATCGCTCATCGTTCCCCGTGGGACTAGCATCGCTCGTCCCAATGGTCCCCCTGTTCAGTCGATTGCTTGAGTATGCTCGGGCGTCCGGAGTTTCCCTCCAGATATCCGTCTACTACACACGCGCGCAAGCCGACGACCTGATGCAGTCACTGCAAGTGCTGCCTCCTGGTCTCGATCTCTCTCCAGGTCGACCGCCTCTTGAACGACTGCTGCAGGGCGTCGTCGATCGGACGTCCGAACTGTGCACCGAATCGCAGCAAAGCCCATCAGGTGTCCTCGTTGGGGCGTGTGGGCCGGCCGCACTCACTGAGCATGCGGGGGAAGCTGTCAGGACTTTCGATCGACAGAAGTTCAAAGCGGTCGGTGGCGTGGAATTGCAAGAGGAGTATGTCATCTTCGGTCACGATGTCTCTATCTGGGTCTGATCAACTGCTGTGACTAGGAATTTCTCTTGGTGAAGAACTCAGACCATGGTGAATTACGGCGGCCTGCTGTCCGGAGCTCGCTTAAAGAACTGGGGGGCCTTAGATGGAATTTCGGACATGATTATCAACATTCGTACTTTGCATGCTGTGATATTATTAGCTTGAACCTCATGTACCACCACCAATATATAGATGGACGCGCAACATGGTCAACAAGCAAATATACAGACGGCAATGCGGTCAACCAACTTGATACATTATGTCCGCGCTGTTCAGCAGCATCAGTGGAACACGCAATCTACATATGAATGTCCGGATAACCACAAAATGTCGATGAAACCTCTACAATCGCATGTTTCATGCGCAATCGCTGGTGTATGCCTCTAGACCGGAACGGTTTACCAGGAGAAGTTCCTGGAAGAAATAGAGTGAGAATTCGCGAACTGACGACGACGAAAGTGAGACTCACTCTTCCTGCACTTCGATGCCGCCTACGGCGTGGAACCTGTCCCTGTTGAAGTTCCGAACGGTATTCCCTGCTTCCTCCGTAAGAGCCGGTGGCCCGCAGGCACCAACGAATACACCAGTTGGCCACCCGTTACCGTCACTGCTAGTGTACGCCTCGCATGTCCTTTCGACGACACTTCCTAGCGTCTTTTCAAGGCGTGGACGACCAGGTGCAAGTGAGAGACCTGGGGGAAGCATATCTAGTCCCTGTAAAGCGTCCTCCGCCACTGCACGGGTATAAAAGACTGATATGCGGAGAGACAGATTAGCTAGCGCAGCCTGGTCCAGCAGTTGAGTGAATATGGGTATCATGGGGAAGAGGTGCGCTAGCCAAATCTTCAATCAATTGGTTCTTCATGTCTGGATGGTGCACTCACACGGACTCGGCACGCTCCATATAAATTCAGCGACCAGGACGGAGCTCGTGCCTTGCATGCCTTTCTGCAGAAATTCCTCGACCAAAGACAGAGCGTAAGTCAATCCGCTACCTCCAGTGACGAGCATGGCGCCCGAGTAGCTTGTCACAATGGTGTTTCCGGGCCCACCTAAAAGACGGACATGAGTAATCACGCGCGAGAAGAGTAGAGAGAAACGGACCGTATGGGCCATCGACCAAAACGGTTACGTCCTTCCCCATCTGAGACTCGCTGTCCTTGCTGCCTTGCGCAAGTGAGTATAACTTCCCGGTCCAATCACCAGCCTTCTTGCACATGAGTGTCAAGCCCTGTCCGTTGGCGTTCTGTCGAGAGCCTCAGCATCCGATCTGTCAACTCGATATCGTGCAATTGTACTCACCTCAGCGACCGATGCAATGGTGAAAGGGTGAGGCTCCATCCAACCGTAAATACCCATTCCCATTGAGAGCACCTTGATGCGTACGTGCTGACCCGCCCGCCAGCCGCCATTCACAGCGTGCACCTGCACGCGCACCATGCTGAGTTCAGGGACGGGGTGGAGATGCGCAGAGGTGATGCGAGACTTCAGAATGCGCAGCAGACGGTCGAGAGCGTAGACGGCGACGGCGGAGAATATGTACGGTTGCGCTGTAGGATTGTGGAAGCACGTCTATGCATGAAGGATGAGTAAGCCGCAAATGGAGATCATTCAGAGCCTCACCGCTATTAATAGGATGATAGCGCAGACAACATGGGAGGCGTAGAAGACGTGGTAGAACATCTGTCGAAAAGTACTGACAGACAGCAAGAAGAGAAGGTCCATGCACACAAGGCCAACGAGGCCCCACTGAATGTGAGCTATCTTGATGACCGTGGACCAGGCGCTGGTGCTCGTGAACTCGTACACTAGCGGACGCACTTTAGATGATGCAGGTAGTTTATAGGACAACACACGTACTGAGTCCGATAGCATGAACATTGATTGCAAATATGAGGAAACGACCGACAAAGCGATGCAAATAATTGAGCTATCCCGTTATTAGTAGAGCGGATTGCTGGTTGATCAATGAATCAGGCTCACCCTCTCGTAACCCTGCCCAATCAATGTGCCGACGACGTTGTTCTTCGTCCCCAAGACAAAAACGAGAGGAAGCTGGCTGACGACGAGGATCCCAGCCCTGCCAGGATTGGAGAATGGGTTGCTATCAAGCAGCCCGGCGTATAGCATGACCCCAACCCAACACAACATAAGGAAAAGCGTGCCGATGGGGTAGCCAGGAAGAACCTGCATGCCCAGGACCCAGGCAATGCCAGGAAACCTCGTAGACCAGGTGGGCGTGTGCTTAGGCGGCCGTGACTCCCGGGTGCCGGGCGCGATGAGACGCAATGTCGATCCTGCAAATTTCCCACCGAGATATGACCCGGCTGTCCCGCGCGAATCTACGGCCTGAATGCTGGCTTCCGCGTTCTCGTACTTGGTCTGTCCAGTTCGGTCAGTCGCAGGAAGCCCCTGGCTCTTCTGCGAACCGAAGTTGTCCGAGACATTCACCCTGTAGAAGAAGAGACCTCGAGCCCACTCAGAGGCACGTGAAAGCCGCGAAATCGCCCTTGGAAGGGCGAGCAGCACGAGCAGGCCCAGGAAGCACAATAAAAGAACGTCTGCGTAGACCACAACGATATCCGAGCTGTCGCTGCCGCCGGAACTGTGAGAGGACGATGCGGATGAAGAGGAGGCTGAAGAGGAGGCGGACGGGGCGGACGAAGCGGCAGAGGACAAGGAGGGGGATGAAGGTGAAGAAGGCGAGGAGGCACCGCCCCGACTCGGAGAGTCCATTACTGGCAAGGGGGTTGGTTGGCGCTAGATGACTCGGAAAGAGAAGAGAAAAGGATAAGCCGTAGAGGAAGGGAAGCTGAAGTGACGAGCGTGCTCCCATAGTCTATATAACACAGGCGCAGGTGATAATGTCAGTCTGAGGGCCTGCCGCACTTTGCTGCGGACTACCTACAAAGAGTGCGGACTCGGGACTAATTTCGCGTATTTGCCTGCCAGGTTTCGCAATGTACCCACGGTGTTTACCTCAGGCCCCGGGACGCAGATGCTTGGACGCCAATAGCTGTGTCGTCTGCCATTTCCAGCGTAGTGAGGGTTTACTGAGAGCGGCAGGTCCTAACAGCTGCGGATGTGACCAAGGCGAATAGTTCCGGCACTTCACGAGCTGCAAATACAGATGAGTCCACTGAAAAAACCGGCAGTGTGGGAGAGGACAATTTGCTTACGTCGAACGCGCCGCACAAGACTTGCACGGAAATTACTGTTTTTCTTTCGAGGCGGCACTCCCAGCAGTCATTCAGCAATGCCAGGGCTCCGATCAACTGCGTCGGAGTGCGCGAGCCTCCACGAACGTGAACCACATGCAGAGACTTGTGGGATGATGAGGTCTAAACCTGGAGCTAAGGGGCCATCAACATCGAGTCAACTGTCCGGCCGTCGCCGTTCCAAGCCTAAATATGACAGAAGGAACTTGCCAACTGCTTTCGAAGGACTCGCATATTCTTCCGCCACGCTCGATCCACATAGACAGTCGTAGCCTCCCGACGCAATCTTGGGCAGCCTGCGTCTTCCACCCCGGCATGGTGCCAGAGCTTCTCGCCATTCCACCGTCCTCCGAGTTTGATAGCGGCCTATCACGTTTCCCGCTACGACGGACAAGTGGGTGGATAACGTTCCGCAGCTAGTCGGACATAGCCCTGGGCAAAAGAACCCTCCAGGTATTGACATAAGGAGCAGCCGAAAGACCGAACTTACTGCCCTTGCATCGAACTAAAGCCGCTGCGGTACGTGTGCTCGTTAACCGGCGCTTGTCTGGACTTTCGTTCGAAATGGAACAAACGGACCTGACAGCGCCTGAGGCAGGCCTGAGGTATGAGCTCTGCACGTATTGCCATTGGGCCCCGCCCTTGACTCTGCGCCCAATTGCGCCCGTATAGGAGTAGGACCCTGCAGAGGATACCGATGCTGAGCGGCGCATCTGCATTTTCTCCTTGCGCAGCTCGCTGCGCCGGATAGATCACACTCCCATTCGACTTGATCAAATCATCAAATTTGCACCCAGACGACCGACGTGACGCGGCGATGTCTCCAAACCAGCACTTGATTGCTACCCATGCTAGTCCAGACTAAAACAAGGGCGGCCATCTTGAACAGCCGCACTAAGTGCCGCAGACACCGGGCTTGCACGCCAAGCGGATACGGCGTTGTTTCTGTGCTCTGGATTGTCGATTGTACCGGATTTGCTGTAGAGCTGTAGGAAAGCGTCACAATATCGCATCCATCCAAGGAGATATGTAGTAGCCAGTAACTAACAGTCTAGGTCACTAAACGGATCGTAAATACCTCTATGTCATGCTCGTCCTAGCGTGCGTGTCCGTGCCACCTACTCAGGCGAATCCTGAGTTTTTCTCTACTCCCGGCTCACGTCACTGTCGAACGCATCAGTACACACGCACACCGCACGAAAAACAAGAAAACTCACCGCCCGAAGAGCTTGACCTTCAACCAATCGTTTGCCACGAGGACACGATTCCGCAGGGAGAACAGGGTGCTTATGTAGGCGCTGCGCCAGAACAAGTACTGTGCATGGACTAGTCAGAAAACGTTTCATCGGCACGCTCAAACAGACATACCGTCGCAACACCTCCAGTCGCCAGCTGCAAGAAGCGACGTTAGATATTGAAACCACAGGGACACGGACGGTACTCACGTTGCCGTTGAAGAAGGGCAGGTCAGCGATAGCCTTATCCGATCCGATGTAGGCCAAGGATCCCTGGTGTGAATAATGGAACGGCCGCATCTTCTCCGCCTTCGCTAGCTGCTTCTGCACGCTTGCGACCTCCTGCTTCGTCTCCTCTGCGGCAGGCGCTTCCTGGAGTGCCTGCAAACGCACAGCCAGCGCGTCCCGCTTCGCAACCTGCGCGAGGATGCGCGCGAGGTACGCGCCCTCCTGCGAGGCTACCTGGGCGGTCGGCGCATACGTCGTCGCGGTGCAGTCGCCGATCGCAAAGATCGACTTGTCGGGCACACCGACCATGCGGAGGTAGTCGTCAACGGCGATTCCCCGGCGGTTCGTCTGCGCCTGCGGGAGCTTCGCCATGAGGTCCTGCGTCACCTTGCGCAGCTTGTTGCCCGCAGCCCAGACGACGAGCCCACACGGCACCTCAACCATGCTCTTGTCCGGCATCTGGAGCACGACACTCTTCTCCTTGATCTCTTTCACCATCGTCTTCGTGAGGATGTCGATCTTGGCCTCCTTGAACGTGGACTCGGTGTAGTCAATCAGCTGCTTGCTGAACATGGGCAGCACGGAGGGCAGCGCCTCGACGAGCGTGATGTGCACGTTGTTCGCGAGCTCAGGGTACCACGAACGCAGGTCCTGCTCGAGGAAGTCGTGGATCTCACCGCTGACCTCCACACCGGTCGGGCCACCGCCGACAACAACCTAGGTGGAACGTGAGCCGTGACACGCCGCCATGATGCGTCGAACGTACCATGTGCAGGAGACGAGAGATCTCGTCAGGGGTCTGGCCCGGGAAGGCGGCAGTCTCGAGGCAGTCCAGGAAACGGCGTTGCATCTACATCCCGAGCATCAGCAGCCTTTCGGCAAGTACCGCGAGGAACGCACATGTTCCGCATCCTCAAGCTCCTTCATGAAGCACGCATTCTCCTTGACACCGGGGATGTTGAATGTCTGCACCTCAGCGCCGACGGCGAACACGAGGTAATCATATTTGACCGCCGTTGTTGAGACTAGACCCTGAATTTCGGACGTGTCTATGGCCACAGCGTCAGTCCGCAGCGCTGCCTCATGCAGCAGCACTACACACCTGCGAACTTGACGGTCTTCGCGATGGGCTACTCGGATTACTAGTCAGTCCATTAAGTCCCAGAAAGAAACCCACGGATGACGCACGTCGACCTCTGTGGCAGACGCCTCGATCACCGACACCTGGCGCTTTTTGTGACGGGTGACGTAGCGAGTGGCTACAACAGTGCATCAGTACTCGTCGTCCGCGAGAAGAGGGAGAGCCCTGCGCACGTTGGAGGATGGAACGCGGGCTCAGCGTCCCCACGGCAACACTGGGTAGGAGAGGAGTGAAGAGGAAGTAGTTCTTCGGACTGATGACAATCTGCGCGGGGTAGAGTTAGTAGGCGAGCCTGAAAAATCCAACACTGATAGAGTGGCCCCGAAAAATCGAGAGTGGTGGAGCGGTGATGAAACCTGGGTGAAGTAGCCCTGAGAGCGCGATGCACAGGTGAACTCGAGTACCATGAACAATCAACCCCGTAGCAAAAGCACTGCATTTGACGTGCAGCTAGTAGTCCGACTCCGGGACTACCCAAGGTTAACAGAGATAGAACCTGCGCATGGCGCTCGCATTGAGCAAAGTTAGTTGCAGATTTTCTCCCACGACATACACGTATTCTCCGAGCCTTGTCAGAGAAACACGAATTGCTGTGTTGTTGGCACGACATAACCAAATGCCCACGCGTCCACAGTTCATTTCATACTGTCAGGCCCCTGAGGTTGGGCAACAGAGCTCAGCCCCACTGTTCGGCAGCCATACACCACTTTGCCGAAAGTGTCCAAATCAAATAATGTGGGCAGAGCAGTGATATAAGTCCTGACGCGGCTTGGACGCAGCTCGCACAAAAGCGAGGCGCGTAAGCGACGTACGCCGAACAGCACGCGAGACTCGCGCTCAACCTCGAGCCCATTGAGCAGATTTACCCCTGGGCATTGGCCAGCCGTGTGGACACAGTGGGCGCTGAGACGAAGTATTGCTTTCGCGCGAATCGACTGAATCGAAGCCTCGGCTGGCACAGAGAACTGTTTCCTCGCAAGGGCGAGTTCACGGTCACAGGTGACCTGCTCGCAAAACCAGACTCCCGGCGTGCAACCCGGGACTGAGGCTCGCTCCCATGTAGATGTAGAGACGTACCACGTTGTAGTCGGTCGTGTCCAGCGACTTGAGAAGACTCGTCGCACCCCAGCCGCTGCCCAGCACCACCAACGTCTTCTTGCTCGGGTCATGAGGGAGCTGCTCTCCGGGCGTCTTGTCCTTCTGCGCGTAGTAGTAGAACACCCCGAGGGAACCGACAGTGACGAGCGTCACGCCTCCGACAGTCTGGAGGAAGCGGTTCCAGAGCGATGAAGTTGGTGGTTTGGGCGGAGACTGTCGTTGATGCCAACATGAGTGACAAAGGAGTCCCGGAGACGGGGTTTCTCGCACGTACGATAGGTACGGACTCCGTAGAGTCCGTAGATGCTGGTCTCCTCAGTAGCTGGAGCCGGGCGTGAGACGGAAGGCCCGTCGGCCGAGGCCTGACCAGACTTCTGCCGACCGCAGGACGAGCTGGGACTGGCCTCAGTACAATTGAGGCTGATAATACTCCAGACGCACCTCGAGCTAGCTGCATGATTAGGGGAATAATACGCCGGCTGCGTAGGCGACGCCGGGACGGTATATGTACGCTAGAGGAGGAGGGGATGGAGGAGCTTTTGAAGTCGATTTGCGCGCCACCCCGCCCAAACCCCGCGCACGACGTAGCATGGGCGTCTCACTCATTCCGACTTTTCGCGTCTACGATCATCTCCTCGCTGAAAGCAGGCTGAGGAACGCGGATTTTGGACTATGTGGAGTGCCTTTTACTTCCGGACTGTCTGGTCATGTCTGACGCTGTGAACATCTTTCAGGGCAGTCGACACGCGAGGTACATACATGAATGATGTATTCCCCCGGACTCGAGCGTCGCACTCGCACACAACGTCGGAAAGCTCGATTGTGATTGTCGTCATTATTTACCCACCAACCTCAATGGCTAACCCCGTTCCCAATCGTGGCCGCGGTACGCTAGCTTGACCCCGAGGTTAGCCTGCAAATCTTTCCGACGACGTCGTGTGTCCGGACTTCGAGCGCTTGAATACCTCCGGTGTCCGTAGAATCTCGGAAGTTTGTGTGCACAGCTTGAGCCTTGCTTGAGCCGCAAGCTTCACCTCGGACATCCGATTTGCTCCTAGAGCTCGGGCTGGCTCAGTATAACTATCTGTGAACGGAGATACACGGAGGAACTTCCGAGGACTCGGAAGATCACCCTGACCTCAGTAACTTAGACATTGCAGTTCGCCTGTCTTAATGGTACCGCATGCGCTCCCGAATTTGCGAAGAGGCCGTATGCCGAATTGAACACTCAATTGAACGAAGAGCGGCTCTCCAAGTCGATGTCCTGTAACCAGCCTGTAACTTCTGTTCATTGTTCCGCTCAGTGCTGCCTACAGCCATAATTGGATGCACGTGACTGTGTACATGATCGGACCTGTGGGCGCTTAGCACATACAGTCCTCGGCTCGAGTCACCCAACAGGTCGCCGTCTTGACAAAAGCGACTATTTGAAGTGGGGTTCTAGAATCTGAGCACCCGCACAAGAAGACTTCACATCGTTTGCCAATAGGTAGTTTGGGTAGCTGTGAGTGACATGGTATTCTATAAACCATTTGACCCATGTGAAGCAGATGCATCCAGGACTCTCAGGCTCAACCGAGGCAAAACTCACGTACGGCCGCACTCGTCGTCGTCCAGCGGCTCAAAACCGCTGTCGCACAGGCTAGAAGAGAGAATCGGCGAGTTGAGACACCACTGCACAGATGGGGCTATTCTAACGCCTTCAAAACAGCCTCCACCCCGAGTCGGAGCTGCCACCCCGGCCCAGCCATAGTCGCGCGTTCACATCCCCATAGCGCTTTCCTCCGCGTGTAATTGGCCTTCAAAAGCGAACGATTGCCCGTCACCGACTCTCACTGCGCCCATCATGTCTACGCGGACGTGCAGAAGGTCTCCATCCTCGGAAAGGAGTCCATCCACTGTGGCTTCCACCTCGTACCTTACATCGTGAAGACCGTTTTGGACACCCTCCCTGCATCCACGTATGTTCTCGTAACCGATACGAATGTTGCAGGCCTGCACCTGGCAGCGTTCCAGAGTGCCTTTGACAAACACACGCTCGAGCGCCGCGCAAGGTTCCTCAGCTATGTCGTCCCACCCGGCGAGACCAGCAAGTCCAGGGAGGGGAAGGCGGAGATCGAGGACTTCCTCCTGCTGAACAAATGTACGCGCGACACCGTCATGCTCGCTCTCGGTGGGGGAGTCATCGGCGACCTCGTCGGGTTTGTTGCCGCAACCTTGTGAGTCCTCCTGTATCGCCGCAGGAACGCCCAAACCAACGTGCGTCGTAGCATGCGCGGCGTGCGCTTCGTGCAGATCCCTACGACACTCCTCGCCATGGTCGACTCTAGCGTGGGAGGCAAGACTGCTATCGACACGCCCCACGGCAAGAACCTTATTGGCGCGTTCTGGCAGCCGGAGTACATCTTCATAGACGCCGCCTTCCTGGAGACGCTCCCAGCGCGCGAGTTCTCCAATGGCATGGCTGAAGTCGTCAAGGTTCGTGTCCTCCTCCTATCCCCACTGTGTCTCTCACCGTTCTGACACCTTATCCCCGCGCACAGACCGCCGCATCTGGAACGAGGACGAGTTCTCCGCGCTCGAGTCGCGCTCCGCGGAGATCTTCGCGGCCATCCAGACGCCCTCGAAGGACTTCTCCGGGCGCACTGCAGCGACCGCTCTGCCGCCCAGCACTACTCTTTCCGTCATCGCGGGCTCAATCTCCGTCAAGGCGCACATCGTCACCATCGACGAGCGCGAGACCGGCCTGCGCAACCTCGTCAACTTCGGGCACACCATCGGGCACGCTATCGAGGCCGTGCTCACGCCCACGATCCTCCATGGCGAGTGTGTCAGTGTCGGCATGATCCTGGAGGCGGAGGTCGCGAGGCAGCTTGGTGTGCTCAGTCAAGTCGCAGTCGGGCGTTGACGCGCTGCCTCAGGGCGTACAACCTCCCCGTGTCCCTCTCGGACCCGCGCATCGCTAGCTTACCTGCTGCCAAGGGCCTCGGTGTGGAGCGCTTACTGGACATCATGAAGATCGACAAGAAGAACAGCGGTCCGCAGAAGAAGATTGTGATCCTCTCTAGGATTGGGGCTACCTTTGAGCAGAAGGCGACTGTCGTCGCAGACAACGTCATCTCGAAGACGTTGTCGGAGGCGGTCAGGGTCGCGGCGGGCATCCCGACGAAGAGCCCCATCACAATGGCCACGCCTGGCTCGAAGAGTATATCTAACCGTGCGCTACTCCTCGCTGCGCTTGGCAAGGGAACGTGCCGGCTGAGGAACCTGTTGCACTCCGATGATACGCAAGTCATGATGAACGCGCTCGGCGAATTGAAGGTTAGTCTTCAATCGAGGAATCTTCCCCTTGGACTTAACCACTGTACTCCATGCAGGGTGCCAGTTTCTCTTGGGAAGACGGTGGTGAGACCCTGGTCGTAGAAGGCGGACAAGGTTCTCTGTCCGTACCCCCGAACGGCAAGGAAATCTACCTCGGTAACGCCGGAACCGCTGCGCGTTTCCTGGCTACGGTCTGCACACTCGTGCAGAGCTCCGTGCCAGGCGAGCGCACGGTCATCACCGGGAACGCGCGCATGAAGCAGCGTCCGATCGGGCCTCTCGTGGAGGCCCTGCGCGCCAACGGCAGCGACATCCAGTATCTCGAGTCCCAGGGTTGTCTCCCGCTCTCGACCGCCCCCGCAGGGTTGAAAGGTGCACGAATCCAGCTCGCGGCGAGCGTCTCCAGCCAATACGTCTCGTCTATCTTGCTGTGCGCACCGTATGCGCAGGAAGCGATCACCCTCGAGTTGACGGGCGGCCAAGTCATCTCGCAGCCCTACATCGACATGACCGTCGCGATGATGCGCACCTTCGGTGTGGATGTCGTCCGCGAGAAGGATGCGGCGACGGGCCGGCTGCTCGACGTCTACCATATCCCGAGGCAGGTGTACACGAACCCGCCGAATTACAGCATCGAGTCGGACGCGAGCAGCGCGACTTACCCGCTCGCGGTCGCTGCCATCACCGGCACTACGTGCACGATCAGTAGCATTGGCTCGTCGTCCCTGCAGGGCGATGCGCGCTTTGCTAAGGAGGTCTTGGAGCCCATGGGTTGCAAGGTTGTGCAGACTGAGACTGAGACCACCGTGACTGGCCCACCTATCGGTCAGCTCAGGGCGCTGGGATATGTCGATATGGAGCCTATGACGGATGCGTTCTTGACCGCCTCAGTGGTGGCTGCAGTCGCGGCTACGCCGCCATTCGAGGGGCGCGAACTGGCTGACGGCTCGAGGCCGACGACAACCAGGATCCTTGGCATTGCGAACCAGCGAGTGAAAGAGTGCAACCGAATCAAGGCGATGATTGACCAACTTGGTACGTGTCCAAATTGTTGTTCGCATACTGGTCTTGACATTCGCTACAGCCAAATTTGGTATTGAGACGAAGGAGCTTGACGATGGCCTCGAGGTGTACGGAAGGCCTATACCTGAGTTGAAGGAGGGTGCTAGCGTACACTGCTACGATGACCATCGTGTGGCGATGGCGTTCAGTGTCCTCGGTACCGTGATCAACGGTACTATCCTTGAAGAGAAGCGGTGCGTTGAGAAGACTTGGCCAACTGGTGGGATGATCTCCAAAACAAGGTACTTGCACGGCATTCCAAGGTTGATCTGATCCTAAACCTATTATTAGATCGGTATTGACGTAGAGGGTGTTGAGCTCCGTGTCGGCGACGCGGGGGCTTCTGCAGCACGCCTACAAACGGTGGTGGCTCGGCTTCCGTCGTGATCATCGGTATGCGCGGCTCTGGCAAGACATATATTGGAGAGCTTGCTTCGTCGACCCTAGGTGGCGGTTCCTCGACGCGGACGCTGTCTTTGAGGAGAAGCACCAGGTGGGCGTCCGCGAGTTTGTGGCACAGAACGGCTGGCCGGCTTTCCGCGCAGCTGAGACGGAAATTTTGCGAGACTCCTGGCGGACAACGCTGTGGGCCATGTGATCAGCCTGGGAGGAGGCATTGTCGAGACACCTGCAGCCCGAGACCTACTCAAGGCCCACGCCAAGCGTGGTCCCGTTGTCCACATTATCCGGGAGCTCGACGAAGTCGTCAAGTACCTGGGAGAGGAGACGGCGAGGCCTGCGTATGGAGAGCCCGTCGTTGATGTCTTCCAGCGCAGGGAACCTTGGTTCGCCGAATGCTGCAGCTATGTCTTCGTCAACTACACGGGTGTTCTCACTGCGGCAGAGGAGCCGAAGCTCGCCAGCAACGATAGCGTGCTCGCAACGGTGCAGACGAATGGGTTCCGTAACGAGGTCGAGCGATTTTTCAAGCACGTCACTGGCCAGCGTCCCAACTTGGTCTCGACCGGCGTCGCTGCGAGGAGGTCGTACTTCCTATCACTTACCTACCCTGACATCACTCCCGCTCTGCCCTTCATGGAAGACTTGACTGCTGGCGTCGACGCCATCGAGCTGCGTGTTGACTTGCTACGCACGTCGAAGGACTTCGACAAGCCAGGCCCATACGTCCCTTCGGTAACGTATATCACGGACCAGATCGCCGCCCTCAGGCAAGTAACGGACTTGCCGATTGTCTTCACCGCGCGCACAGCGTCCCAGGGTGGACAGTTCCCTGATCATGCTGAGAAGGAGGCATTCGGGCTCTTCAAGTCCGCAGTGCGCTTGGGAGTCGAGTATATTGACGTCGAGATTTCCTGGTCCGAGCGACTCATCCAGGATCTTGCGTCTCGCAAGGGCCACTCCAAGATCATTGCTTCGTGGCATGACTGGAGCGGCAACATGCGCTGGGACACGAAGGCCGTCGAGGCCAAGTACCGCGTTGGTGCCGCGTTGGGTGACATCGTGAAGATCGTCGGCAAGGCCAACGCCCTTGAGGACAACTTTGCACTCCAGGACTTCGCCCGCCGTATGGCCGCCGCGCCCGGTGCCAAGCCCCTGATCGGTATCAACATGGGTATCGAGGGCCAGCTTTCACGGATCCTCAACAAAACCCTCAGCCCGTGTCCCATCCTCTGTTGCCCACTAAGGCTGCTCCCGGCCAGTTGTCCTTCGCCCAGATCCAAACCGCTCTGCATCTCATTGGACTGGAACCCGCGCGCCGATTCTATCTCTTCGGCAATCCCATTGCTCACTCCATGTCTCCAACTCTGCACAACGCCGCTTTCGAAGTACTCGGTCTGCCGCACACCTATGATCTCTTTGAAACAGAGACCGTCGGTGAGGAGATCAAGGCCGCTCTGACATCCCCGGATTTCGGTGGTGCGTCCGTGACGATACCGTTCAAGCTCGATGTCATGCCTCTTCTGGATTCCTTGTCTCCCGAGGCGGAGGCTATTGGCGCGGTCAACACGATTATCCCCAAGAGGAAGGCAGACGGATCGCTCCTACTCCGCGGCGACAACACAGACTGGATTGGCATTCAGCAGTGCATCAGGTCCTCGCTTTCCAAGCCCGTCGTCAAGTCCGATACCGCGCTGGTCATCGGTGCCGGAGGAACTTCACGGGCGGCGATCTACGCACTTCACAGGCTCGGGTTCAAGGTGATCTACCTCTTCAACCGCACACGCCAGAGCGCACAGGCGCTCGTGAACGCGTTCCCCAACGCCAATGTCGCGATCATCGATGAGCTGGGCACCTGGCCAGAGGGCGGGCAATCGCCGCTCGTGATTGTCTCCACTGTGCCTGCATCGGCGACAACGACAGATCCCAGCGTCGCCAATGCGCTCTACCTTCCCAGTTCGATTTTCACTACTCGTGTTCAAGGTGTGGTGATCGACATGGCATACAAGCCCGCGGAGACCCCGCTGCTTGCTCTGGCGTCGAATGTTGCGAAAGGCTGGAAATCCGTGAGGGGAGTCCAGGTTTTGCTGGAGCAGGGCTTCATGCAGTCCTCCCTGTGGACCGGCAGGAGGTGTCCCAAGCGGGTGGTAAGCGAACGTGTCTGGAACAAGTACAGCGCGTAGGCTTGTGAATGTATTCCAATCCGAGAGCAGTAGTAGTACCTTGTGATAAGGAGAGATGATAGAATAGACAAACAATGTAAAGCGCTTTCACTCACCTCAGTTTGAATTACATACATACGACTCCGACGACTACCTGCTACTTATTACTCGCGCGCGACGCGCGTCCCGGGCCAGACAAAAACGCGATCACGTGAGTCGTGTTACACGCGCTGACCTGATGACGTTGTTGTTTTTATCTCGTAGGACGCGGATGAAGCGTTACTGCAAAGAAATTACGAGTAGTTAGCCATGGACTACGTGTCTTTTCATAGCTGAATCGACCTTTGAAATGGCGATACCATCGCATACAGGGTTCGTAACAAGAGCCATAACCGACCTACGCGTTCAGACGCTCTCCGCAAATCAGGTTGTATAAGCAAAGTAGTGGTCCCGCGACGAGAAGCACAGCCTGCAATAACCACCTGAGATACTGCGTTGCAGGATTACAACAATTCACGAGTGCCATCGAAGACGAGGCCAGCGCGCACGATGGTGACGGCGAAGGCAAAAGACGATCGACCGTGAAACACGCTGGACACCATCCACGGGCATAGCATGACACCAGCATCAGAGATGGTTGTGGAACCTTTCACTGGTGCGGAAACATATGCGATTATGGATGCATTACTCACTGTTGGTGTTACCGGGGACAATCAATGCGTCGCTCCATGTAACGAGGGCGAGGCCGAAGGTGCGTGGTGACTGCAAAATGTCAATATATGCGCTTCGATCTGCACGCTAGGGTAATGGTGAGCCAGAATAATACTGAGTGAATATGTACAGAATGTTGAGTATCACTTGCACAATCGTATTGGCAAGTACTTGGCGCGCGATTCCTGCACACAGCGCCACTCGTCTCGGATGGTCCAGTCATAGTGTCGACGAGTACGATCAAGATGTAGTGAGCGCATACACACAGTACACAGTATTAGCTCTTGTTCACAAATCCACACAAGTGAAAAATCGGATGCTCACCGAGTCGACAGCTATCTGGGGAAGCATATTCTTGTGAGTGGCGTCCATCGACTCCTCGAGAATTCGCAGTGTGACTCGAAGGAATTGCTACACAACTTGAAGAGTCTGTCAGTATTTTAACGTGTGTAAACCAGTTCAGTTGAGTTGGACAACAATGGAAAGGGGGGTGAACAAGGCTGTCGAGTACTATCGTGAACATGACAGTACGGTAGAAGAATGGTGAGAGACATAAGCGCCCACCCTTCATCTCGGCTCTCGCCGAACGACTGAACGCTGATTGGCGCCCGTGCGTCGCCAACTTCAAGTTGACTCTCCTCCTCGGTGTCCTCCTCCGCCTCGTTCAGTTCTACTTCCTTCACCTCAAGTTGTTGAGATTCAGGGCTGCCATTGCCCGAATATAATACTTTTTTTAATCCCCATGGCTGCCGTCATGCCAAGGCTACTCCCTCAGAGACTAAGTAACCCCAAAGTACAGGTGTCTAAATCAATCAGTATTCTCATTTCTTTGAATCCGCAGATCTTTCAACGCGGCACATAATCTTGCCCCGTCTACGTGTCTCTGCTCATGACCAGACATAGCTCTGATTTCGTGCCTGAGAATGTCTGATACCTGCTGCCCGGGTGGTGTCATCATTCCGGTCTTGCCCAGCGGCTGACACTCAGACCAAGTTGGCGGGAAATCTCGCCTCCCCCCTTCAATGCGACTCTGAACTTCACCTCACCTATTATTTCTTCTTCAGCTCCTGAATCTGCCTCCATTTGACATGGCGGAAGGTCGGACGCAGCTTGACGGCAGCAGCTCTTCGCCCCTACGAGCGCGCTCTCACCATCCCGGCGATGTCGGTAGAGAGGACGTCACTGTAGTGTTCTGGGCAGACATGTTCCTCGTGTTCATCGTTGCCCTCTGTACGCTCCTCCAACTTCCACGCATCTACGCGCGCCTCTCCAACCCCTCCGAGAGGAGATATGGCCATTTCTTACGTGCGTTTGCCATTACACGCTTTTCGGCGGTTTGATTGACTATTAACATGGAATTGTTCAGTCCGCTCCAGAGACCATTCACTACCATCGGCGTCGACATCGACGGCTTCGCAGACTACAGTGTCAGACCACTCGCAGAGCGAGCTCGTGCGCACCTCAGGTTCCGATGAGAAGGTTGTCCGCTCCGCGCCACCTACCCATATCCCCGCCTGGGAGTCCCTGCTTCGTCCTTTCGTTCCCTTTCTGCGGACTCATTTCGTAGATAGAATTCACCTGGGCGGCACTCTGTTCTGTGCATTTTACTTCGGTGTCCTTCTCTATGCCGGGCTCTACCAGACGAGCGTCTTTACGAACCCGCTTAGGGCTGGCTATGTAGCTGTATCCCAGATCCCTTGGATTGTCGTCCTGGCGTCGAAGAACAACATCATCAGCCTGTTGCTCGGCATTGGCTGGGACCATGTGAGTGGATAGTACCTTCCGATCATTGAACAGGGTAGCATGCTTACGGATCCGTCAGCTCAACTACATTCATCGGTTTGCTGGTCGATTGCTTACCATTGCTGCCAACGTTCACGTCATTGGATTCGGTGAGTTCTCTGCTCCGCATTCGCTGGTATCGTACCTGATTGGGATCGGCAGTGTACAAATGGACCATGGCAGGTAGCTTCACCAAGCACATCTCTCAGGCGCGGTATGCCTGGGGCGTGGTCGCCATCGTCTGCATAGACGTCCTGTTATTGTTCTCCTTGGCCATCTGGCGCTTGCGGGCGTACAACATTTTCTATCTTTCGCACATCATCGCGTTCATTCTCTTCTTGGTCGCAGTACGTACTTCATACATCCTTCCCCATATCGCTAAACTCTCGGCAGGTATGCCTCCACATGCGAGCCGCCGTTCCATGGGTCATAGCCGGCGCCAGCGTCTACGTCGCCGACATCCTCTTGCGCTGCATCAAAACCCACATCTGCACTGCGCGCATCCATTGCATTCCCGAGCTCTGCGCAACGTCCGTCGAAATTCCCTCACTCACCTCGGGCTGGCGCGCAGGCCAGCACGTCCGGATCCGCGTCGTCTCGATGAGCATGGGCTGGCTCGGGTGGTCCGAGACACACCCGTTTACGATCGCGAGCGCGAGCCGGGGCGTGGCGCAGCAGGGACTGGTGCTGCTCTGCAAAGACACGGGGAGGTGGACGAGGCGTTTGCAGGAGTTATCTCGGCAGAGCAAGATGGATGGCTCAGACATGACTGTCCCTGTGATGGTCGAGGGCCCGTACGGTGAGTGGCACTCCTGCAACGCGGTAGTAAAATTGACTGAGCGTTCGTCTAGGGGGGCCTGGAGACACTATGCTTTCAAGCTTCTCCGGAGTCCTACTGGTCGTCGGCGGTAGCGGCATCTCGTACGGTCTCGCAGCCGCGGAAGAGCTCATCCGGAAAGCCGCGGAGGGGACGAGCAGCGTCACCGTTCTCGACTTGGTCTGGTGTGTCCGGTACTCCGGTGAGCCACTGCATTCTGCGTGCGATGCACCGCGAACGGATGCTCACCGACGGTTCAGACTGTCTGACACCGATGCTGCCCATCTTCACGTCTCTGCTCGCACAGAGTCCGTCGGCCGGCGTGGCCTTCCAGATCACCGTCTTCCACACGCGTGCTGAGATTCCGGGACGGACGTTCAGGGCGTACGACCTGCCGGCTGGCCTCACGCTCCTCACGGGACATCCAAGCATTCCAATCCGTCTGAGGGACGTCGTCAGCCGCACGCAGGCAGCGGGTTTCCTTCCTGGTGACGCCGGCAAGCCAAGAGGCGTTCTCGCCGGTGTCTGCGGCCCCATGGAGCTCGGCGAGGATGTGCGGAGGGCTATTGACGAGATAGAGCCCGACGTACAGAGGGCGGTGGGAGGGGTCGAGCTACTGGAGGAGTGAGTCCCCTGTCTTGTTCTGCCATCTCGAGATCTGCTCACCGCGGCAAATTCCAGGATCTACTCTTTGTGATCCTTGACGTCACTGGCCTGTGTCCCTCTTTTCTGTCGCAGCATTCCATGTACGATTGTATCTTGGTCGCCCTGGTGTCGGTGTGAAATTGCGGGCATGGTCCGCTGGCAACGAGGTAAGAGCGACGAGACGGGGACCTGGTCGTCAGCGAGAGGTCCGGGGGCCTGAATGAAGGATAGGGGCGTCCATTGACCTTCCGATCGGGGCGACGCGCGTCCTCCGTCATCGCACTCAACAACATGGCAACCGCAGTCGAGACGAAATCTCACAGCGCAATAGGGACAATGCGTCCACTGGCAAGATGAGCTGAGAATTATATTCCGTGGAATGCGCGACTCGGATGCAACTATGTACAATCTACCGAATAGACAGGCAAGAAAAGATGGGATAATAGAGACAACTAATTGAGATCCTCCGTGGGGTATATGAGGGTATAGGGGTATAGGGGGTATACTGGAGGAGTAGAGAACGGGAGTGAAAGCCTACCAACCACTCTATGTATGTACAGGCGCGATTGCTAAATTAAACATAAATGCAGGTGAGCGAAGCAAATGCAGGTTCCGATCCTATCCGATCCAATCCGAGGAAGAGTCCGAGGAAAAATGTACAGCTTGCGGTGCGCGAAAGCGAATGCAGGGCGTTTGAGAAGTGAGAGCATAGGAGAGGAGACTGAGAGGAGGAGAGGAGACTGAGAGGAGGAGAGGTGAGGGCCACGGACGGGACAGGCGGGTCCAAGTTCTAAAATGTAGGATCCCACGCATCTGCCCACATCGCGACTTCGGCCGCGGGGGTGAACATAGGCGATGTGTCCGGCACGAAATTTAGCAAAGAGAGCTCGCCGGTGGGCTGGCGCGCTGTGAAAAACTCGCCGACTACGTCCTTCATGGTCCAGTGGGCGCCTGCGTCCGCGCGGATGGCTAGATTGCGTGTGACGTCCAGGAAATCATGTAGTGTCGGCTCATAGAGGTGGCCGTGTGCCTCTGTTACGTAGACGTATTCGTCCTGTAGCGGCGGTGGTGCAACATCCGCGAAGGTGGGTGGGTACGCGAAGGCGGGGACAGGAGCGTGTTGCGCTTCGGGAGGTGGCGTCGGTGCACGGGCCTCATCGAGGTCAAAGGTGTTGGACCAATCGACACCTGCCTCCAAGGGCGGATATATGAAGGCCTGAGGCGCTGCCCAGTTGCTTGGTCCCGCGACAGGGTAGTCCTCGAAGTAGGAGGAAGTATACGTGGCTGGAGCCTCGGGGGCGTTCCAAAATCCGCTCTGGCTGTTGTAGTCGGCGAATTGGGGCTTCTCCTCCTCATGGCCGACATCGAGACTAGTGAAGATAGGTGGCGGGACGTTGAGGTTGTCCTGGCCTTTCAGCGAGGATTTCTGGTTGCGGGGACCCGCGGTAGCACCTTCGTGAGTGCCACAACGAGTGCCAGAGGCGGCTAACCTGCTGGACACGGTGACAGAGAGAGGACGGGTGCTAAGAAGAGTGGAGGGGTTCTCCTTCGGGGCACACGACGTTTTGCACCGCGTTTTGTGGCGGCTGAATGACGCGGCGTCCGCGCACCTACGCCAACACTGCTGGCACTGGTGGCGTTTGGACTTAGAGCTGATAGGAATACATTAGGCAAAGAAGCATAGCGCTGTGCAAGCATACGTACTGAGTCTCTATGTGAACAACCGTGTTTTCCCATTGGGCGATCGTTTTGCCACAACCGGGCCAGGGACACTCATACTGACTGCATGAACCGGTCGACGTCAATTTGAGTAGGGATGTCTAGAACGCTCGAACGACTCACAAAGATGATGCATGCGAGAGGAAATGCCGGCCAATGTCTGCGTGACGTGAGGACTTGCCCTCGCAATCGGGGAATGGGCATGGGTGCTACGACGAGCACTATCAACCTATGTGCGGAGACACTGAGCCACTGTGCGACTCACCCCTAAGTTTGTCTCGTCAACGAGGGGCTTGGCCTTGGCTGCGCCACGGGTGTTGGTCTTGTACGCGTGAGGGCCAGTGGCCCTCGGTGGGGTGATGCGGGCCTTCGCTGCTCGAGGCATAGCGTAGGCTCAGAGGATAGATGAGAAGGACGGGACAAGGGAGGAGGCTCCGGGGGACGGAACGTCGAGCTCGGGAGGCTGGGGATGGGGGAAAGAGGGCGAAATCGCCCCGCCTTTATAGCTGCTGGCCATGGGCAACGGACGCTCGCGCGAGGTCTTGGACGAGTGCACCTTGTGCCTTGATTGATTCCTGCCTACTTTGGACGAGGCCAAATACTACCACACAGGCGATGGGGAACTGCTGCGCCAACGCCAAATACATCGAAGATTAGGTCAAACAACTGCCTTTACAGGAAATTCCCGAGTGGCTCACTTTGGACGCCGAGAAGCTCGGAGTGGCTGACATGCCATATACGGATGTGATCGACATAGCGCGCTCTTTGTGGCTGTTGTGTACTATTTGCCTGCACCAAACAATTGCCTTCTCAGGAAGTCGCGTCGGAATCCCGAGAGCCTCGAGGCAGGCGTAGTGGCTCACCTGTTTGTCCAATGCAAACATGGCGCCCGCCAACCGTTCCATAGCGGCACAGGGCGCGGTTCAACGCCAGTCTGCGTATTCCAACGAATGCTGCGTCACCACAACAATTTCAACCGTCGAACACGCCAAAGACCAGCAAAGACCTTACCGACGGATAGGGGTCCTCGGCACGTGCTGCGGGACAATCCTCGACGTCGGGCCAAGGTGGTCAGTGCCTGGCCAGCGTAGCGACCAACGGGGTGGCAACCATTGCGCGGGCATACCCGCCACCGAGCTTTGTGCCGTTTAGGAAGGTAACCACTACCAGACATTAGGAGGCCTGCTCCGAGTCGCCGTCAGTAACCAGGAACACCCGACTCGGAGTTGTGCGTCCAGGACTCACTTGCGCTGGCGTACGTCTGTAACAAATTAAAAGACCACAGACCGTACTAGTAGCTGGGCATACCATACTGCCTAGTTGGTATCCGCCGCCTCGGAGGCGCGTCCACATCACCCGGGCCGTCGGGAATGGTCGCTCTGATGAGGACGACAATCAAGTCTGCCCAGATACATCGGCGCGAGCGTGCGGACAAAGAAGAGAGCAAGGCAGAGTCCTGCACAGCTGTACTCATCCTAAGTAATGGGGACGCAGGCGGATAGTCTTCTGAACAAGGCAGGTTAGACGCCGGTACGTGCGATGTGGCGCCCGGAGCGTCTCGGTCCGGAGCCGCTACTACGCTCACTACTTACATGGAGGGTGCCCAATACTTTACGCCCGTCCCTCGCACAAAATGAAAGGATGTCTGCATTTTTAGAAATACACATTGCTTCTGGCTTGCTCTGGGGTCGCCGCTTTTGTGCAGTCGCTCGCAGCAGCACGAGTCTCGCCACTCGCCACTCACCGTGACAATCACCGCACGCCAATAAGCGCGCCGTAGACATTTGAACGAGACTCACACCCACTGGCCACACTCCTGACTCTACATCATAACACGCGAAGTGCATCCCCCAGTTTCCGTTGTGATAGGCTGGACTATGTAGTACTGCTGTTTCCGCCTTCAGCACCATCAACTGCAGTGTTCCCGACGTTGAAGATCATGGGCATTCGTGAGCCGTGGGAGATAAGATAAGATCCAGAACGGTCCATACACTTCTACTCGTCCTCAACCTTGACGGGAACGCGAGCTGCAAAAGACATGCAGCTGGAATATCCAGTAGACGTCTCTGCCATGGATGTCACGAACCAGCAGGCTCAACAGATCATGGATCGGCACTGCGGGGGATCGGCACCGGTGTCATCGGTAGCGCTTCATGCAAACAGCGGCTTCAGGTCAGGAAAGCCTTCCCTGACCTCCTCGTCGCCTCCCTATCCTGAACCCGACCCCGCAGTGCCTTCACGCCCACTCAAACCTACCACATCACGCTCTCCGACGAGACCCGCTATACGCTCCGCGTCTCCCCACCGCCCGTGCCGGCGCGCGAGAGCTATGCCCCGAACACGTTGACGCACGAGCATGCCCTTCTGCAGCACCTCTCCTCCAACACCTCCCTCCCCATGCCGAAAGCCTACGCGCTCGACACCTCGCTCACAATTCTGCAGTTCCCGTATTTCCTTCTGTCGCGCCCGCGTGGTATTCCGCTCTCCCACGCACGCGCTAGAGGCCTGCTCAGCGAGCGCCAGGCCCTCCTGCTCGACCTCCGCCTCGGAGCGCTCCTTCATGAGCAACACGATGTGCAGAACGATTGGTTCGGGACGCCTGCACAAGAGCGCGAGGGGCTCTACAGCTGGCAGGAGGCGTTCACGCTTCTCCTAGAGACCCTTATCGAAGACGCTGTGGGCCTTGGGATATCGTTGGCGTACGAGCAGCTGCGGAAACCACTGGGGCGCGCGATCGGGAGTTTCCTGTTCGACGATTGCGAAGTGCCGTCACTCGTCTCGTTTGCGGGCGACGAGGAAACGATCATCGTGGATGTCAGAGAAGATGGGGACGAGGTGCCCGTCACGAGCTTCCTAACGGTCAGCCACGCGCTGTGGGGCGACCCCCTCCTGGAGGTGTTGTTCATGGACCCGAGCAAGGCACTGGAGGAGGGGTATGGCGGGTCGCTCATCGTGTTTCGCAGGCAGAAGACGAAGAGACTCTGGTACACGGTCTTTCTCGCCCTCATGGTCTTGGTCCAGGCGAAGCGCGAGGAGCAGGCTGGGGTAAGACGGGTGGAAAATGACAAGGTGGAATGGGCGAGGAGAACGGTTGATCAGTGTATAGAAGAACTGCAGAATGCGCCGACGTACTGATGTGCTTGCATCTAACACGGAGAGATTGGTGTACCCATGAAAACTCGACAAGACCATGGCTCGGAACCTCTCATCAATATCCATACATGAGATTGACTTTGTGATTGTACATGTACAACCGTCTTGAATTGGCATGGACGACAGTACGGTACAGAGAATCTACACGTTGCGAGGAAAACCTCACTCCAAACTGTACGTGTTCTTCTCCAGCTGTGAAATATCTCCAGTCAGAACACAGCCACACGGGAGTAGGCCTAGGGACGCACCTCAGCCTCTAGGTCTCGTCGTACTCGCCATTCTTCATCCGCCTTGATGACGACGTGGTAGTCATCCAAGTCCTCGATGATGAAGCTTTCTTTCTCGTTCATCGTGAGTAGGATCTGTTTCACGGCCGAGTCGCTGTATACATTTGAATGGCCGCGCCAATTGATGAGAGCATTCCGTAATCCCGGCCGCAGATATGATTAGATAGTCCCATGGGTTGTCATACAGCCCACGGGGATACGAACCAGGTGAGAAGGATGCCTAGACGCGGTTGTAAGGCTTCCCGTCGGACCTCGACAACACCATCTGGCTGGCCGCGTACCTTTTATCGCCTTCATTTTGACTCTCCAGCGTCCCTGCTATCCCCTGATGAAACCCTGTGAGCGACCACGGTCAGACGGCGACACACGGAGGTCTGCAGAGCGGCCGACAGCGACGAGATGGGCGTTGAAGTCAAAGTCACGTTTCGGACCGATGGCTGAGTGAAGTGAGAAAGTATTTCCATGTTCCACCCACGTTCTCCTCATCCTCTTCTCTGTTCTGTCCATCATCTACACCTCTACCAACGCAGCGTACGAGCCAGGAACTTGCGCGAGTCTGTACAGCACAGCAAGATGCCCATTCCACCCGCGATCTTAACGCCGGACCTCCAGTACGTGCACTCTGACACCACCCTCAAAATTTATCGCACTCATCGTACCCCTCTACTCGCCTTTCTACCCTCGTTTGGTGCACCCTCCGTCGCCTGTACGATTCTAACGTTTCAAGAACCCCGAGCGAGAATGTCTACCCGAGCCCGCTCCGCCAGACGCTCAACCAGTCGCTCTTAAAGACGGGCAGCCCGCCTGCGCTCATCTCGCCACATCCAAAGGGTGCGCCTCTGATCCTCTGTTCGATTGCGAGAGAAAGATGGGGAAGATTCACGCCGACGCAGTCCCCCCGCCGACGACGGTGATCGAGGCGTCCAAGCGCCTCGCTGCATGGACGGCCGTGGACCGACATGTGAAGCCGGATGACAAGGTGCGTCGCGCCCGTCTGCAGGCCTCCGGGTCCCTGACGAGGGCAGGTCATTGGCATTGGCTCGGGGTCGACAGTGCCCTACGTGGTGGAGCGGATAGTCGCGCAAGGCGCGGCGCGCAACAAGGACCGCGTGTTCATCCCGACGAGCTTCCAGTCCAAGGAGCTCATCGTGAGCGCGCAGCTGCTGCTCGGCGACGTCGACCAGTACCCCGTCATCGACGTCACGATAGACGGCGCGGATTCGTGCGTGGACAGTCCGGCGCGATGCAGGCGAGAGCTGACCGCCGCACAGGGTCGACGAGACGTTGAACTGCATCAAGGGCGGCGGAGCGTGCCACCTGCGTGAGAAGGTGCTCGCGGAGGCTGCGGACACCTTCATCGTCGTGGCGGACTACCGCAAGGACACTGACGTGCTTGGAAAGAACGTGCGTGTCTCCCTTCCCACTGCCGCTCAGCGCCCCACCGACCGGACTTGCAGTTCCAGCAAGGCGTCCCGATCGAGGTCGCACAGTTCGCCTATGCGAAGGTGCTGCAGAACGTCCATCTCGTCGGGTCGCCGAACGCCACGCTCCGCATGGCGAAGTCGAAGGCGGGCCCCGTCGTCACGGACAACGGGAACTTCGTCATCGACGCGCCGTTCCCGAGGAGATGATGCGCGACCCGTACACGCTCCTCACACGGCTCAAGATGCTCACGGGTGTCGTCGAGGTTGGCCTCTTCTGCCACATGGCGAAGGCTGCGTACTTTGGGAACCAGGATGGCAGCGTTACAGTCAAGTGGCACGACGGCCGCATCGAGAGCATCGATAGCGGAAACAGCCCGCTGCCCCGCCCTATCGACACTCCACTGCCGCAATACCCCATTGGCGACATCTCTCCGCTGGGCGGTGAGAAGAAGGAACAGGGTGTGAGTCTTGAGGGTACGCCGTTCTCAGCTTTGCAGGCTGGGTGCATCTGATCTCTTCCCTTGCAGAGGCCGCGAGCGGCGTTGGTTCACTTAAGATTGATTGAGCACTGTGTGGCCCACAGAAGTTTGAATCTACTGTCATACGTGTACTTGAATAGCTGCTATGTCCCAGAACAGTCTTTTGATATAGTTCTCTCGACGTCAGGCGTGTGGGCAGTGCGTGCGAGACTCGTTCAAAAGTTCACAACGCGCTTATTGGCCCAGTGGCGGGCCTCGTACTGCTGCGCGCGACTGGATAACAGCGGTCACCCTGGAGCAAGGGAGGCTGAGTGTGAGTGTTTTTTATTGCGAGGGACGAGCCCTGTGTAGACACAGCTCTAGTAGCGTACGGGCATAGGTGAGAGTTCGTGCTGTCGGAGTCAGGCCTCAGCCAGGCCCAGGCTTGAGCATATACGTACGAGTCTGCCTCCGCTGACTGACTTCGGTATTAGTCTTCTTTTGCTTAACGGCACTCCTATTCCGCCCGAAGAACTTGCATATTTGGTACGCTAAGTAATGCCCTCCTGTTTCACTCAAGTACTCAAAGAGTCTAGTCGAAGTAGTCCACAGTAGCGGCCAGCAGACACTGCCGCGCTCCTCCGTCAAACGCGTATGTCGATACATCCCAGCCGCTACGGTGCCAGAGGTGCTCCAATTTCAGATAATAAAGCTTTGGCATCGCCGGTCTCGGTCACAGCAATTTAGGCTCGAATAGCTCCTCGCGCTTTGCGACTTTCGGAGCGTCGACCTGGCCCGAACGCGGTGCCCGTGGTCCTGCACTGTTCTGACCATGAAGGCGAGACATACGCCGTGCGCTACTCTCCCAAGCAAAAGTGGAACTATCAGAGGGCAATGAAGCCGGATATCTCAATAGAATAAGATGGTGGGTGGTAGTGAGCCGTTGCGTGCGATGCGACGCGCACCCATGAATGTAATCGTGGTTTTGACTCGCAGGAAGACGGGAAGACGGTGTTGTATAGGCTCATTCCGCACACTACGTTCAAGAGCCCTAGCGCTCCCAGCTTGGGCGCACCCTTCAGAGAAATCAGATATTTGGTGTTCTACTGAGACGGTTTGCAATTCTCTGATAGAAGCATATAAATACCTTTGCCACACTCAACCGCCCGTGTCCAGCTGTGGTCCTCGAGCACCACAAGTATCTCGTACATCAATTACGTAGCGTCTTGTCTTCGTTGAACGAGATGTTAATACCCTTGCTCTACGGCGTAAGGTAACGTCGAGTTGTCATTTTCCAGCTTGAACAGGCACAATTTATCTCAGTGAAAGACCTTGTTCCTCAGGCGCGGCTCACTTGGTGTCGCTGCGAACGCGTGCCATCCAGCAAGGCATGCAGACCGTCGCCGTGCAGCAGACTCACATCATTACGCTGCACACGGTTCGATGTGTCGTACGCTTCATCTTGACGGTAATGAACCTTCGCACGGACGCAACGACCACCATGCCGAAGGCTGCCACTATGGAAGGTGCGCACGCGCGTTCGGTACCGCATTCATGGTCGTACACGGTCTCTATCAGGTCTCTATCACAGGCCGTGAATGAAAGAAGTAATGAAGAAGCCCTCGGCGAACCGCGGGATCCCCGTTTTATAAACGCTTGAATGCTTCCGCGCCGCTCTTGCTCCGGCGACCTTGCTGGGTGCCTCACTCCAAATCACAACTGCAGCGCTGCATACAATTCAGCATATTCTGGGGACAGCCCTTCGAGGGCACATGTGGGGCTACAGGTCTAAAGTGATGCGGGTACCAATACCTGATGTGTCAACTTAGCTTGGGCAGCCTCGGCCGCCTGGGACCGAGGACACCCTCGCGAAGGACTGGGCCGAGGCCAGCCATAACGAGCACAAGCACAGCGGTGCCCACTTCTAGCAGGCACCGCTCAAGGGGACAAAGCGGAACCAGAGAGCGAGGAGGAAACAATGCGGAAACGGGGACAGTGCGGAAGCGAAAGGTGGATGAGGCGTTTAGGCGACGTAGGTCTCGGCAAGCGAGGTGAGGCTGCTGTCGCTGTTGACGAGGTTGCCGACTGTGTCCATAAACCAGGCGTACGCGCCGACGCCCTCGAGGTCATCAAGGTAGCTGACCATGTCCCGAGGAACGTCTGCACGGCCGAGTCGTCGCCGGTCGCGCCAAACTGTACCGCTCTATCAGCGCCATGCCCATCCTGCGCGCTGATGCACGCTCCGCACTCACCTCAGTCACCCACACCGTCTTGTTGTAAGTGCTGGCGAAGTTGGAGATGTACTCCTTGTAGTAGGCCTCGTTCGTGGCGGAGTCGTAGATGTGCATCGCGTAGATGTCGATTGTGCACTGCGTGCAGTTGCCGATGAACTCGTTTAGCCAGGTCTCGCCCATGGGAGCACCGCCGTTCGTGATGGCAGGGCCGACGAGCTTGGCCTTGCCTGCGAATGGCTGCATTAGGTCATCCATGACTGTGCGGCCTGCTCGGGCGTCATGTTGGCCTGCGTGTTCAGGTCAGGCTCGTTGTAGCTGTTCTCGGGCCATCATCAGCATCACACAAGCGCGTTTTGGCACAGCGCGCCGAACGCACCCCATCAAGAACTCGGTGCCGTTGTCAATCGCAGCCTGAGCGTTGGTTTGCCACGTAGACGTGAACGAGTCGGCGTCGCTCCAGAGCATGGGAATGAACGCGACGCCGTCCGGGAGGCTGCCCGAGTATGTCTGGCCCCAGTTATACGCCCAGCTGACCTGCCTGCGAGGATTCTCAACGTCTGCTGCGCATCCTAACGACCCCACGACTTACCCGGAGGTGAACTGGCTCGTCAGCGACGCGTCATTGAACGAGAGGCCTCGCTTGATGCCGCTCGAGAAGGAGCAACCAGACGAGCTGCCTGTGGACGTCGGCGACGCGGCCGCGCTCGATGAGCTAGACGTGGGCGTCACGGAGGAGGTAGCAGACGCCGTAGACGAGGAGTACGTCGCAGAGGGACCGCTGCGGCGTCCGTGAACCTGAGCCTGCTTCAAGTGGTGCAGGTTGGAGATGTGCGCGGCATTAACGAGAGAGCCGGCGAGAACGAGCGAGAGCGAAACGAGAGTGGTGCTGAACTTCATGGTGTGCTGAAATGCGGTCTGATACGCGTCTAAACGCGTCTAGGGGAGCTCGGAAGCAAACGAGTGGGCGTGAGGAACGAAAGTGGCGGCCGGGGTGGACGTCGGCCTGGAAGAGCGCGCGAGCGAGGGGAGACCGGGGAGAGAGCAAGAGCGAATTTTTGACTTCAACCACCATGACCTTTTATATTCCGGCGTCAAGACGTAGATCGTTTCCGGCAGGTTAGTTGACGGGCGCTCCGGCTAAAGTCCATATGCATGCTCACGATAGTTTTGAGACCCATGCATTTGCGTGCGTGTATCCCACGCGATTGGCGTGAGGTAACTTAGCGAATCTAGCAACGGCATGTGAAGGATACCTGTTCACGAGTGCTGACCTGCGTGTCTGCAATCCATGAGGCTAGCCGCCGTACCAAGATCCCAGACTGCCAGTGAGACTCAGTTGTAGTCCGGTCAGAGATACTTCAGACTCACATGAAACCTGCCTTGACTTCTTTCGACCCTTGTGTCACAAACTTCTTCCGCGTGCTGCGGTGATGCTGCGTATGATATCTGGAATAAGGCGCTCACAATGGTCTCGACCCTCGCGGACTCAGGGCTGAATCCAGGTGAACGGCGTGTTTGATATGTTGCTGAACTATCCGGATGACTTGCGACTCGTCCAAGACCCTCTGCGCAAGGACTGAACCGCGTATGACGATAGTTTCAAGACGTGTTTAGGTGTCTGATTGGGTGTCAAGATGCGGTTAAATTCAAGCTCGAGGCTGGCACTGCCTGTTGCTTCCAGCTCCCTGTATTGCACCAATGGCACTGCGCAGATGCACGGTGGCTGAGCGAGAAACATGTTCTTGAGTCGCCATGGAAGGCGGGTGTCGCCACCATCTGCCATGTACCTGCTGCGACGGGTGTGAGAAGTAAGCGGACATAGAGGCGAGCTGCGGATACTGACCGTTCCTCGAGTGCAGAAAGCCAAAGCCCACGTCACTTTGGCTACAATTTGAGCATGGAGCAGGTCGATCTCACTGCGTGAAAGGGAAGTATTGCAGAGGTTGAACTGAACTGTAAACCCGCAGACTGAGATAGAACGCTTCAATCAGACCGTAGTAAGCCCTGTACACCAGAAGTCTTCCGAAACAGCCAGCACATTAGGCATGCCGTGGGTTCACGATTGAATACTGAGGCCTGAGGCCTTGAGCTTGAGGCCCGAGGGTGCCAATTCGGAGCCATCGTAGAGTCAGGGCATCCGATCCTGCCAGTTATAGTGCGCATTTCCTGTCGTAGAGAAGAGATAAAGCCAAGATAAAGCACACATAATTCCAAACGCGAACCATTGGGACAGAACCTGGCAAACTGTGAAATCCACGTAAATAATTGGGCGAGAGAGTTGGCGGGCCTGCCACTGCCAGCGGTACCGGTCCAGCGGGTGCAGGCGCCCGCGGCTCGCGACGCCACCGACGCGTTCGCCTCACGTGTTTCATTTTGAGGCCACAGGTGTCAAATCCAACCTTCGAACACCAAGGTCCAACACCCAGAAAAGCTCGGAATTAGCCTACTAGTACCACCTGTCACACGCTGCAGCTACTGCCAGGCAACCCACCCTTCCAAGGTTGTGACTATCGGAAAGCTGCGAACCCCTTCAACGTTCATACAAATCATGGAAGATAAGAACATATCATCTGCCGCGAGCAAGGACAAACAGCGGGCGCATGAGATTCTGGAAGTTGAGGATGAGGAGGAGAGACACGCGCGCATGCGTATGTTCCGAGGTGGCCACACCGTTCACGAAGAGCATTAACGATCCATCCAGACGACATCCTGGCGAAACTGAATGCTTCTTCTGGAGCCTCAGCCTCAACCGAGTCGCGGTTACCGAGTCTGAATGGCCAGCCGAACCTTCCGCTCGAGCCAAATCCAGAGTGTATGTGCTGCCTCGCATCACGACTTTCACAGCGTTGCTAACACGTCTTTCGATCAGTGCTGTCGCGTATCCAAGCGTTCCTCCCTCAGCTAGCAGATTCCAATGCCGAGCTTGCCCGCCGCGCGCAGAGCGACCCAGATAGCGTGGACATTGAGAACGTCAACGCCGACGAAGCCTATATCGAGATGGAAAGTAGCGAGTGGTCTCGTTGTGTAATCTTTGACTCATGACGTTGTCTTCAGAATCTCGGGTTGGGTGTGTTCGAGCAACGTCGGAACTCCGGTGCTGCTGAATTGCAGCCAGACACGGAGACGGAATCGGATACAGACTCTGACTCGGAGGCTTCTACGGACAGCTCAGGCTCAATGTCGAGCTCCGAGTCAGAAGGGTCAGCTTCGGATGTTAGCACAGACGAGTCAGGATCGGTTGTATCCGAGTCTTCGTCCTCTCGGGCTCGCAGACCTATAAGGCCCCTTCCGAAACGAAGACCAAACATCACTGTCGTAGGAGAGAAAAGCAATGAGGATGCGACTTGATGATGTATTTGTCGCTATGTTTCGATCCCGATCGCTGTCGAATCGGTCTTGCAGCATGCAGAGTCGTGCACACTTCGGTACCGTCTTACCCTGGTCCAGGTCCAAGGCTTCCTGCTACTGGCCAGTGGCCAATGTGGCCACGATTTCGCCTTATATACCCTGTTCGTGCGAGATCGTTCTTCTTCGTCGCGCACTCAGTACTCATTCTAGCTTTCCCAGACAGCCCTACCGACTCAGCCGGTCCGACCAAGGTCTGATAGCGCCAACATCGCCAGATGTGCTTACAGAAATCTCACTTTATGACAGGATTCCCCAAGTTGACTGTCACTCAGATGCATAACTTACAGTAGCAGATAAGTTATGTGCATGTCACAATTTGGACAGGATGTCGCTGCCACGATTTCCGCTCGAGTGTCATGCCCGTTGGAGCCCGCTGACTGGTACTTAGCGCTTAGCGCCGGGCCCTCTCCTCGACGTCATAAGTAACGTCTGGGCGATGCGGCGAAGGGATATGTACCGTACGCCCTCCCACCACACACAACCGACTTTCCACTCAAGACTTTGACTACTAGAACTCCCACTCATGATGTATCTCACAAGGCAACTTCTCCCCAGGAGTACCGTCTGTGCACGACCAGGCATCGCGGTGTTCAAGGTAGGTCTCTTGTCCCTACCCTTCCATGAACATACGCTAACTCTTGGGCAGTCCGAGTGGACGATGTTGCCAACGCGTCGACTCCCACACGCATCGCGATCATTGCAGGACACCGGGGCCACAGCGAAATCGCCATCAGTCCCGGGACTGGTCAACTCCAACCTCATGTTCTACTCTCCACCGCCAGACGGCTCCGCCCCGTACACGCTGGTGAACATGGACGAGGCTGGGCGGATGGGCAATTGGGTGCCAGAAGAGCGCGAGGTGGAGATACAGGACATCCGGGGGCGCGAAAACTCCGTGAAGCTCGACACCGCGGGCTTCCAGTTCTACACGGGCGCACCTGACCATACCTCCTTCACCGATGAGCGGGAGATCAGGGAGAAGTACTACACGGAGAGCGTAGCCCTCATCAAGCTCTTGACAGGAGCTAGTCGCGTCGTGCCCTTCGACCACAGTGCGTTCCCTTCCTCGTATATTTCGTCGCGTGTTCTGACTTGCGAGTCGAGCCATACGCCGCCGCCGCCCCGGAGAACGCGACGACGCGCCGACCAAGCGCCAGCCCGTCCCGCAAGTGCACGTCGACCAGACCCCGCAGTCCGCCGTCGAGCGCGTGCACCGACACCTCCCGTCCACGGACGTCCCGGCTCTCCTCCAGAAGCGCTTCCAGATCCTGAATCTGTGGCGCCCGCTGGACCATCCCGCCCTCGACTGGCCGCTCGCGCTCTGCGACTTCCGGAGCATCGATCGTGCGAAGGATATCGTGCCCGTGGCGCTGCGCTACCCGGACAGGGAGGGCCAGACGTACGGCGTGCGGTACTCGCCCCAGCAGAAGTGGAGCTATTTGAGGAAGATGAGGCCGGACGAGTTTGTTTTGATCAAATGGTGAGTGGTTGTGCGTGTGTGAGGACAAGACTGATGTGATACCTGATATGTGTGCAGCTTCGACTCGGAGGACGATGGGAATACGGCGCTGTTCACTCCGCACACTGCGTTCAACGACCCGAGCACTCCGAAAGATGCGCCGTTCAGGGAGTCGATTGAGCTCAGGATGTTAGTGTTCTACGAAGCGGGTCATACCCCATCGGTGTAATGCCTACTGTGCGGACTCAACGCCAGTCCATTTGTTTGGGCTTCTCCGGCTCATTGGGACCCAGGTACGTACGTGTTCCTATCGCGTCTCTAACTCTTAGTAGTGCTCACTGTGTGCTTCCTTGCCGGGAATAAGGTTGTATCGTCTCCGGTTTAGGACGCAGCGACGTACATCATACGTACTCCGCATGTAGCGCATTTATCATGATGCGGATCGCCACCACGGCGTCCCAGCTCTCATCTGTGCGGAGGCATAGTACACAAAAGCAAAGCCTCTCACTGGTTCATGGCGAGACTCGTAAGTACGTTCAGGTATCGTTATGGGCCTCGAGAAGATTACCGCCTGGGGCTCATTAATATTGGGTAGCCGAAGTCTTTCTACCCCGCTGTAACTTCGCAAAGTCACAGTAGCGTGAAAGGATTGTGCTTGGAGTCCTAACAATTGGTGATTGCCACTGCATCCGTACTGTCGTCCAAGTCACTAGAGCCCTACGCAGTATGCGCTAAGCTACGTATACTGAGGCACCTAGGCAGAGGACAGCCTCTGTTCGAACCGGTTTCCGCCATGACATGTCTACAACTGCCTGCTGTTCATGAGACTAGCCCAGTCAGCCGACATAGCTTTCATCTGTCAGAACGTTGGCGGTGTGATCCAACGCCAGTTCACTAATGTCAAATATGAAGCCGGTGCAATGCGTACGTATGATGACGAACATCATCGTCGAACTCCAGGTTTGTTGTCACTTCTGCGGGAGGGTCAAAGTATTGTTGCGTGTAGTCTAGTTAGTAGTCCTGATGTAGGTACTCATTGCCTTCACATCGTGCCAGGAGTGACTAGACAACGTAGAGACAACATACAATGTTCACCAATACTGGACTGGATTGCTCCGTACGAGGCAAAGCGCTGGGATACGTGATTTTAGCACCAGGGGGACGTTTCGAACTGAGCTATCGATTACAAGTGCTGATGAGCTATTCATCAAAGATGGTACACGTAACAATTGAGATGAAATGATTGAGGGTAGACCAATCCTTCACATCCCATTATACACTTCCGAACAGTCCGTAAACTCATACCTCAAGAGAATGAATGACTGGGATGACTCAACAGGACGACCTCTACGGGTTGCAGCACCGAGAAGCAGTCAAGCAGAACATGGCAAGACTGGTATTGATGCGATTGTCTGGTTGCTCATCAGTGAAAGGGTTTGGCTGGACGTGTTGTTGCAAGTCACGTACCGATCTGGCTGATAATCCACATCCTACAGCGTGCAGGCTTGGGCAGCCGCTCATAGTCCCCTCAGTCGCTCTGGATCCAATCGCGATCCTTATTGCGCGTTCATCCTCCCGGTCATCTTTCACACCTTCGTCACCATCAATAGAGCCGTTAGGGCACACTTGTATAAAGAGGGAAAATCAGTCTGACCGGTTCAGCAGCTGCACGACGATTGGCTTACGGTCACGCTCCGTCATCTGTAAGGAAATTTGACCGGTCAGGCCAAACATGTCGTAGACCGATCGCTATTTGCTACTGTCAGCAAGGCGTATCAGCTCGAGATGCAGAAGCACTACCTTGCGGGAATCTACTATGAAGTCATAAGCAGCGGACCTTACATATGACCGCATTCACAGATGCTTACTGACCTACGCAGCTTGTCTTCGCCCTCGTGTTGCGGTGTACGTGATACCAGCTTGCGTATATACCAATACGATCATCATCCATCTAACGCTCGAGCATCAGACACAGCGGGTGTCGAGAATATGTCAGGAATACTAACTGGATGTGGCATGCCAATGTCGCAGTCCGGGTTGAAATCTTTCGCGCACATTTGTTCATATACGCTTGCTTTGCATCCAGGGAAATCGTCCCTATGGAGAGGCGGTAATTGATGTGGTTCGGCTGCAGCCTTGATGCTCATAGGCAGTAATAAGCGTCGTCGTAGTTTTAAGTAATGGAGGAACACGCATTGATCCGCTGTGTAACCTCAGAAGCAAATACGGGTTATCGTGGGCGTGAACTTACCAGGTTGCTCATCTCTCCTACTTCCCGGACCGTGTTTGAATAATACCCTCTGACTGTCGTTCATGAGCGACCAGGGACTTGGTGTCTGCGCTCCAGCAGATCGTTCGCTCTTGTATGAGAATTTTGCCACTCCTTCACCTGGGAGACACACCGCGGCGGCCCATTCCGGCGCTTTCATGTAGCCCATAACGAAGCGGATCTGTTCAATGTCCTGGTCATAGCCTAAGCCGGTCATGAATTCATGCCAGCTCTCCACGTTGCTCTTCATATAAAGCATCGACCGCCTCGAAGGTGGCATCACGTGTCTCACTGCGCCTTGTTCAAGAACGAGGACCGCACCGCTCCGAGTCGTCGCGCACTGGAAGTCAATTGACTTGTCCCTAACATTTGGTCGAGTCAGGACTCACGTTCTCACGAGGCAAGCTATCGACTCACGGGTTGTGTTTTGGGCTGACGGATCCGCTGCAGAGTACGGTGTGTGGCAGGATGTTGGGTGCACTCATCGCCGGGATGGGACCTCGGTAGAGTGGAACAAATCCGTCTGGCACGCCATTTCTTTGATTCCTAGGATCGTCCGCCGGCTTGAAAGCGTTGAAGACTGTACAGAAACTGTCTCCCTGAAAATAGCCGACATCGCCTAGCTCGACATCTACATTGAGCTCGCTCTCAGCCGGTGGCGAAGGCTCCCATATAGCATAGCCCCGCCCAAGAGGAAGAAGCTCCTGACTGTAGATTTCACCAGGAGAAGCCATGAAGAGAACGCGGTAGTGAAGTCGGAAGGTGTGCAGTTCTGTATGTGGTGCGGTAAGAGGGCGTACTCGGCCCTTGAGAAGTCCGGCTCCGAACGTAGCCGCAACGAAACGCCCACGGGATCCCCGGGTGCATGGGGTCCTCTGAACACTCGTGCATCATGATCCTGTGCGTCTACTTATGGACCAAAGTTCGCAGGAGGTTAACGTTCAAACGTCCCTGTCACAGTGATCACGCCAGTGAACGTTTGACAGGAACTTCGAAGCATGCGGCATGCGTGGGTCTACGCAATGCCTCAACCACGTGGTAGGTAGCATGCGGACCAGGATGACCGGTGTACGCACCCCGAGCTAGACGACCTATCTCAGACTCGGACTACATTCTCTTACTAGGCCGGGGCTCACCACTTCAGAGTGACTTGCCGTCTTACTGCACGACACTCTGAGGGTGGTTTCGAACCATTACAACATGTCACTCAATACCAAGAACAGCATTGCTCACAGATTCTGGTCCAATCTAGCTTATGACAAGGTATGTCCACTGCAGTATGGGAGTACTATCTTGCCATTTGACCTGCCAATGCAGATGACTAGCCAGATTGAAGCAGTTCCAAGCCCCTCTTTGGATACAACCCAAGCTACTGAAGTTGAACAAGATGCATGGGAGAAATATTTGCAAGTTGTGCTAGACCATGAGAGAGAGGAGATCAAGCAATGGCGCGATGAGATAGACACCCTACTTGTATTTGTAAGCACTACACTTCTGTCCTGGCATAAGCAACAACCAACATGAAGCTTGGTCATTGTTCCCCAATTTCTCTCATACCTCTGATACTTATGGCATGCTTCATGTTTCTGATATTGCTTATCAATAGGCAGGTCTTTTCTCAGCAGTCCTGACTGCATTTAATGTTCAATACTATCCTGAACTGAAGTCAAGCTCAACAGCTCAAGTAAGTGTATACATTGTGAATATTGTATTGACTCTTCTCAACGAAGTCATAGCCATCCACTGCTGCTGTTGTCATCAATGCACTGTGGTTCCTGGCCCTGGTCCTCAGTCTTGCAGCTGCATCAATTGGCATCAGTGCAAAACAATGGCTGTCTCATTATATGGTCCCTAACACTGTTACAGTCATTCAGCGACTCCGTGTCTGGCATCTGCGCCATCAATCGTTCCAGCGCTGGCATGTACCAGAGATCATCGAGGTGCTGCCCCTCCTTCTTCAGTTATCCCTTGCAGCATTCCTCACTGGCATTGCGATCCTACTGTGGACATTACACCGTGCAGTTGCTGCCATAGTGATTGCTCCAATGGGGACCTTGCTGTTGTTCACAATTTGGACAGTCATCACACCATCTATTGTTAACCCTGGATGCCCCTACAAATCACCACAGGCCAGGTGGATCTACCTTCTATCCCGCTATATGACACTAGATGATGGTGTGGTCCACCTGCATGATGAAGATGACGAACCCAAAGATCACTCAGGCAGTGGTCCCCAAAAGTCTTCATTCGGGATCAGGCATAATGCCCTGCCAGTGAATGACTGGTTAGGTCGCGAGGACCATTGGATTCACACTGTGGCACCCCCATTTGCAACAGCGAGCACCGATCTCGCGGTAGCAGTCGACACTACAATACAGAATGACGACTTCCTTCAAGTTGCCGTGCTGCCCGCTCTCACACGAGTTGATGCCATTGCCGCATACAAGCTTGTATCCGACATTGTGTGCTCCAGAGCACACATCAAATCCCTCGACCGACTGGTTGACCCATGGTCTGGTACGGCTGCTTGGTTCCAGGACGAGGTCAACAGTAAAACAATCGTGACTTTTGCCGACCTCACCATGGTTGCACTGCACGCCGTGAGCGAGCACTCTTACGCACTCCCCCGATCGACCTCCCTGTCAGTAGGATCGACGAATCCATATCCTGAAGATCGACAGCGGCGAGTCGAACGCCTACTTGCGCTGTTGAACCATCTCTTACAAGGCTTCACCGGGAAGAGATTCGGGCCGTTTTGCGAGCCGCTTGCGAAGTGGTTCGTTCATAATCGGAGCCACCTTTCGGGCAAGCGCATATCTTGGCGAACGCGAGAGTATGCACTCTGGTTGGTTGCTTTACACTGGGACGGATTCAACAACGCATATCCTCAAGAGCGTAAGTGTATCTTGCTATCTTCCACGTCTCATCAGCTGAAGTCGCTCCAGATGGATTCCATCAGATCGTTACCGCAATGTTACAAAATCGACGCGAGGATGCGCAATTGCAGCTTCAATGGCGTAGCCTTGAAGCGGAGCGAAGGATCGCTGTCTTGGCCACACATTTGCTGAGCCGGTCGTTACGCGACACACCTAAGACGACCGATGCCAATACATTGGCAACGGCCTCCTCGAGTCTTCCAAGCAGTGTGGCTGCCACGAACCGGGTCCGGACATCCCACGGATACAATGAAGGTGTGTAACACGAATGCATTACACCGTGGGCCGTCGTGAACTGACCGCTCGCTCGCCAAAGAACTGGATGAAACCACGATGTTCCAAGGCATCTGAGATTTGTATTCGCTGGTTTATCGATGTGTTGTCAGTGACACGCATGAATGTATTCGGCTGCTCTTACAATTCTGGGGTCATCAGAAGACAAATATTTGGCTGTGATTGTACGGAGGGAACTACTTTGCGTCGATTGTATCCTTGACCACATTAAGTTATTTTAAATATCTTGCGCTCGCTGTGTGTATGCAATACAGCAGGCGTCCAAGCTAGCGAGACAGTTCAGAGAGTATGTCCGATATGTTATGCATCAACCGACGCACTTTGAACTCAATCAATTCTCTGAAAAGTGCATCCTTCGGAGTGCTTGGGTCATTGCATGCGGTGTGTGGAGTGAACAGAGCCATCTGTCCATCGTCTTGCGGATCGAAGCTGCATATATATTGCGCATCGTATCACCTCTGCCTCCACAAACGTATAACCACGCACCAGTCGATCATGGCGACCTCCTCTTCCCTAGATACTCAGATTTCTGCTTGAACGAGTACCGCACCCCAAACGTCCGTCCTTCCTATCCGCGCGGCGCAGCGCCACGGGCACGATGTCCTTCGCTCGCTCGATGTGTCGTAAGTCGCGGAAGGCGAACCAGTGGAGGCTAGGATGGTCCAACAGGCGCCACAAATTCGGTATCTGGAGGCGCCCCTGGAGGAGAGTCGGAATATCTGCGGGCGGAAGATGTTGGTGCATACACTCGATGGGGAACCGCGGGGTCTGGCCAACATGCGCTTACGGACGAGCTGGCACTTGGTGGGCGCACCGCCGCGATTTTCGGAACGGTGGCATCGTATAGCTGAGTTCGCGAAAGTACGCGTCAGCGCAATGAAGCACGCTAAGGAGACGACGCACTGAGATCGAAGGGCACAACCCGACTAGCTCCGGCCAGCAACTCGAAGAATGCCACGCTCTCAGTGTAAACTGGCCCTGTCATCTCTTGCTCGTCGGTGAACGAAGTGCGGTCCAGACCCTCCGAGTAGAACTAGAAGGCCGCTCTGTCGAGCTTCACGAAATGCTCGTGCCTTTGTAAGCCCACGATCTCGACCTTGCGTGCTTCCGACACACTGACCCTGGTATCGTCAACATCAGGTTTGCTTTGACCGATTTCGGGGCGGATGGGGGTTTGACTGTCGCACCAGTATCTCGCAGTCGCCATGAAGTGTGGAGAGGTCACATCGACAGCGCCCCCTGTGCTTATTATTTAGTCAAATGAGTCAGAGCATAGTCTTGGAAGGGTGCCGACCAAGACCTATTTACCTAAGTACCGAGAAGCTATGTTGCGTTCCTTGCTCTCGCCCGCAGAGGTGTCCCATCGCGCCTTGTTCTAGTCGAAGACAATACCTTGACTCCAACGTCCCGCTATTCCTATTGCCTATCTTGCGGCTTGACCAGATTGATTTTAACGTCAAGATCCGGAAACGAGCTCTCCAAGCCGATGCAATGGGTGTCGGATGACTTATTTAGATACATAGCGAAGGTCAGAGGCGAGGGACTTTAGGGACTCAGGGATCGCGCAAGACACAATGGGTGGGCAGTGGTGGCTGACAGTGGCTGACTCCGATGAGCCGCGTCCCGCTCCTCCGACCCCCGATAGGTATCGGGCAGCCACCGTACATATGTAGTACTGTAACATGAGTACAGTACAGTACTATCATGTATTCAGCGGTCATGCTCTCTTAACTCCTCGACAGTCGGGGTGGACAACGTCGCCGACATGTCTACAGGACACCGGAGCGACAGCAAAACCTCAATGACCATCAGCCCCGAGGTCGGTCAAGTCCAACCTCATATTGTACTATTCACCGCCGAACGGCTCTGTCCCCTATAGTGGTGAACACGGACGAGGCCAGGCGGATGGAAAGTTGGGTGCCGGAAGAGCGCGAGGTGGAGCTCAAGGACATACAGGGGCGCGAAAACGCTGGCAAGCTCGACACCGCGGGCTTCCAGACCTTTACGGGCGCACCCGACCATACCTCCTTCACCGACGAGCAGGAGATCAAGAAGAAGTACTACACGGAGAGCGTAGCCCTCATTAAGCTCTTGACAGGAGCCAATCGCGTCGTACCCTTCGCTCACAGTGTGTCCTCTCCCTGTCATGCTTCACCGCGCGTACTAACATACGACGCCGCCGCCCGGAGAACGCGACGACGCGCCGACCAAGCGCCAGCCCGTCCCGCAAGTGCACGTCGACCAGACCCCGCAGTCCGCCGTCGAGCGCGTGCACCGACACCTCCCGCCCGCGGACGTCCCAGCTCTCCTCCAGAGGTGCTTCCAAGTCCTGAATCTTTGGCGCCCGCTGGACCATCCCGCCCTCGACTGGCCGCTCGCGCTCTGCGACTTCCGGAGCATCGATCATGCGAAGGATATCGTGCCCGTGGCGTTGCGCTACCCGACAGGGAGGGCCAGACGTACGGCGTGCGGTACTCGCCCCAGCAGAAGTGGAGCTATTTGAGGAAGATGAGGCCGGACGAGTTCGTTTTGATCAAGTGGTGAGTGGTTCTGCGTGTGTGAGGACAAGACTGATGTGATACCTGATATGTGTGCAGCTTCGACTCGCAGGATGATGGGAAGACGGCGCTGTTCACTCCGCACACTGCGTTCAACGACCCGAGCACTCCGAAAGATGCGCCGTTCAGGGAGTCGATTGAGCTCAGGATGTTAGTGTTCTACTAAGCAGGTTATAACCCGTCGGTGCAATGCCTACCGTACAGACTCAACACCGGTCCATTTCTCTAAGCTTCTTCGGCGTATTGGGTTCCAGGTACGTGTTCCTGTCGCGCCTCTGACCTCCTATTCACTGTGGGTTTCACTGCTGCTATGCAAAAGAGGGTTTACCTTTAGGACACGACGATGCATATGATACACCTCAAACATGTCACACGGCATAGTGTGGATCACAGTTTGGGTGTCTCAGTTCTAGGCTGCGCTGAGATATGGTGCATAAAAGCAAGACCTCACGCAAGGTGAGCGCTGGTTGCTAAGCAATTGGTGAAACTCGTAAGTAAGTGAGTATCGTTATGGGTGGCCACCGGTTGGCTCCGTTGTGATCGTACGCAGTCACAGTCAGCGCAATTGGACTGCACCTGGAGTCTTCGTCGTCTAAGTAGCCGCCACATAGTTCATCAGGCCAGATCGCCCCCATTATTCTATGTGTCGGAGACTATCGCATGCAGATATGGACTTGCACGAGTCCACGGCGTTAACTTTACGTATGCAACGGTTCATCGTGGAATGGCTGTGGGACAGCGAGACGCTCAGCGCTCAGCGCTCGAATTAGACGTTGGCAGTGCACAAGCAGTACTTACTCTGTGCAGTAGACTTCGGAACTTCTGTCCACACGTGTCGTTACTTGAATCTTATTTAAAGGAGCATGCGGGCGATAGGAATGTTACTCTTAGTTCTCTCCGTACAGTTCGCCCACTTCGACAACCGACATCGAGAATGACATCGCATCCCAATGAACTGACTGCCTGGAATGTCTATGCGAATCAGCTCTTGATGCTTGGTCACGGCTATCCCCTATGGGACCCTCGCCCTATCAACTGCAGACCTGGGGTGCAGATTGGTGATGTCGGATACATCAGTAATGGCGCTTTCATTCGTCTGTTCAATGCTATGGCGAGCGAGGACGATGCCCTGAATGCTCAGCGTGGTGTGCCCAACAATCACAACCCATTCACCATGGGGAACAGAGCTGCGGTGATGGATGTACCGGATGCGATCGTGGCGGGCACACTATGCAGCAAAACTATTCGGCAGCTGGGTGGGAAGATCGAGGGTCAAGTGTGAGTACGGTACATCGTGTCATGCTATAAATCTTTTCCCATTAATTTTGCAGACTGAACTCGGGGGCGTCGGTTGCCTTCGAGTGTACTGATGAACAAGGTGCCGTATTGGTCTTGACGGATGCGGCTCATAGGCAACAGTTGCCTAGTCGGAGGATGATGAACTATCTGAAGCAAAACATTAGAGAATGGTATACCTTCGCGACCTCAGACGAGGTCGACTTGCCTTTGCAGAAAGAAGACATCGTATTTGTCTTCGGTTTCGTCAAGACTACACAGTGGGCAGTAGCATCCTATGTCGAGGGTGGCAGGTCGGCAAGATTCTCATTCAACGGTGGATACGGATCCGCACAAGCCAGCATTTCCGCCTTCGCGACCGTCGGAAATTCAAGAGCACCAGCACATAACTGGGGCCCGAAGCATCAAGCGGGGCCCCCGCTCCCGCCGCAGCCCGGCCCGAGCTCTAGGAGAAGGGCACGTTCTGGGAGGCATAATGAGCCTGTGGCAGGTAAGCTCCACCGTACATCGAAGTATCGCTAGCATTGATCAGTTCCAGGGCCGAGCGCAGATACCCAGGGCTCGGAGGCGGATCAGTGTGTTTTCCTGCAATATTACAAGATGAAATACAGGTTGGGCCTTTGGCCGACTGTGATGAGAGGCGCAGCAGGATACGATGAATTACCACGAGGCCCAGACGATCCTTCCACAGGAGGGCCGGCAGGAACTCATGATGACGTCTCCATGATGGACGATGAGTTCGTCGAGCAGCTACCTGGGCATAAGGTACACGTCAATTGTTGGTTAGTCTGTATCGCATCGAGCTGACCCAGTGAGGTCAGACGTATGATCCGGCTGACGACATTCTTGACTATATCCTGAAGGTGCATCCGTCGGATAGCTTTCGAAAAGCACTGCATGACTCACCTCGTGGCATTGGTATGATCGCAGACACCAGATGCAACCATGGCCGTTGCCACCGACTCTGACATTGTCCGGTTATGTAGAGTAGGTCACTTTTTTGGTCGAGTCAAGGCTTGTGCACTAACACATTTCATTTCGAAGAAACACAACTGTGACATACCGAATGACATACCTGCGTTCCTTGACAACGTCCGCCCTATTGTCGATATTAACGAAGACGGACGTTAGTGCTACTGCTTACTTGGTGAATGCTAGCATACTGATGTCGTCTGTCAGTCGGCATACTGTACTTCGAGGATGAAGCGGTGCCCGCGGTCGATCCAGGCGAACTACAAAAGGCTGAAGAACCGACGACTGAGCCAATGCGCCATGAAGCTCAACCTGAGGACGATACTCCACATGCTCCAGGAGACGACGATTTCTTAGACTACCCTGAAGAACCGGAATCACGCAAGCAGGATGCTACTGCCGTGCTTGATCATCAAGCAGGCGGCATAACCGCCCTTGCATATTCCAATGACGGCCGTCTCCTTGCAAGTGGATCGGACGACGCCTTCATCGAAATCTGGAACGTCAACACCCAACAGCGTATCCGTACATGCGAAGGGCACACACAGTCAATCTCATCGCTGGCGTTCTCGCCGGACGGTAGAGAGTTGGTCTCTGGATCAGATGACGGGCTCGCCATAGTCTGGTCAACCCGCACTGGCGAGAGGCGATTCGACTTGGCCGATCATGCGAACGATATCTACTTCGTCGCATACTCGCCAGACGGCACTATCATCGCTACTTCATCGGTTGACTGCACGATCAGACTCTGGAATGCACGCACCGGTCAGCGAATGGCCGTGCTCGAGGGGCATGGCGCACTCGTCATGCTGGTCTCCTTCTCTTCCGACGGACGACTCCTTGCGTCCGCGAGTGCTGACTTCACGGCGTGCGTATGGCATGTGCGCACGGGCCAAGAAGTGTCGAAACTGAGGGGACACACTGGTGTTGTCTACTCGCTGGCGTTCGCCCCAGACAACCGTCGTCTTGTCACCGCGGCCGAGGATGGCACGGCGCGCATCTGGAAGGCAGACACCGGAGAAGAGCTTGTCACCCTGCGCGAGCATTCAGGCCCCGTCTGGGCCGCTGTATTCTCGGATGACGGACAGAAAGTGATCAGTGGGGCCAGCGACGGAACGGTGAAAGTCTGCGACTCATTTGGCGGAGAGCTTCTCCTGTCGCTAGAGACCGGAGATATGTTGGTCAACGCGGTCGCGTTCTCATCCGACGGCAGTCGCGTCTGCGCCAGCGCGGAGGACAATTCGATACGCGTCTGGAGTACCATGTCAGGGCAGCAACTCACCACGCTGACTGGGCATGAGGACAAGATCACTCACTTGAAGTTCTCGCCGGACGGCAAGCGCATTGTTTCATCGTCTGACGATGGCATGCTACGGCTGTGGGACTTGGAGCGCATGGGCGTGCAACCAGGGATAGCCGTTTGAACTGTAGTGCGGAGCCACGACTGTTGAGGTGAACGATTGTACATAGTCACGTCTGGTGTGCGTCTTTTACTGGCCAGTTATTGTGTACGTATGTACTTGAAACTTCTTCAGTAGAGCAAACATTACCCTGCCATAGCAAGAGTACGCACAGAGTTGTCGTCGCTTGGTTGGACATTTTTATATTATACTTCCTCTATAGCCGGTGGTAGAAAGTGAACGCCAAGTTCGATTTACTTGCCAATGATCATGCAGCCACTTTCCCACTTTGCAGATGACCAAACTGTATTATCGGTCACTGATGTCAGTAGGCAGCATCAGAGAACAGGTGGTGCTCACACAACCTCAGGCTGTAGACATGCAGCAAAAAAATACTTAAGTAGTCAATATCTGCGCAGTTCAGTGACAGATATCGAGTGTAGAACGTCGACTCGTCGGAGTGACTACAGTAGTGGCTCAACGAGAAGAATTACTGACTCCGATCGAAATCGTACGAATCTCTGAACAGACCCGTTATTAGTTTAGAACGCCTCCTGAATTCTGAATAACCGGGTCCGTGCCAGGTCAGTTCAACTCTCATGAGCTCGACCGACTTGCCAACTTTCATCATGCAATGGTCTGCTGATACATCTCTGGATCATATGTTGTGCAAACGACGCACGACGCCAAGTTGCTCGTCTGAATTTCTTTCTGGCGAATATGAATGGCTTGTGTCTCTTGAATTGGTGGCCATGTGCTCCGCTGAGGGCCTCAGTAGTCTTATGTCCATGTCATGCCAATGGTGAGTAGTACCTATTGATATGCTTTGGCCGTGACCACTTACGAATCATTCTAGGATCGCGATTGTGGTCCCTGCGTATATGAAATCATCTGCTAAGTTACAGTCTACCATTGCATGCCCAGCGGCGCAGCGGCGCAGCGATCGTTCCGAAAGTTGCGACTTTCAAGTGTTTCGTACATCTTTCCCCACCGGTGGATTCGACAGGCACAGCATTCCCGGGTTTCACTGACGCCTTCGGTCGGAGTGTGGCACTGGCTAGCCAATGGTCTCACTAGTCTATTCGACCCAAGAGCTGGGAGGAAAGACAGTGACAACCTGCCATTGGTGACAACCGCGGGAACAGTAGCTTACGCGGAATGCGTGTATGGGTGCGTTACCTCTTGCCGTATCATTCCTATGAGTCTCGATGAGTGTTCGAAGGGCCTTGGCCTTTTACACCTTCCCACCATGCGTCGACGCATCGTGAATAGCGCCATTTGGATCGTGGCATGAACGTCAATTGCGCTGTGATGTTTGCAGGATTCTTGACATGTCCATTAGGCGCATCAGCTCGGACAATGGCGTTCTCTACGAGCAGTGGGAAGCCTCGTCGGTACACTCATCAAAATAGACTGTCTGGCGCTCAGCCACAAGGTCGTTTCACCAGGATGTCCTCCACATGTGTGTAGGCGTAACCACATACGCCGCCGACGCAGAGTTGTCTCAGCCATGCATCATGACAGTGTCACTCATGTGTCTGCAGTCCTCGAGCGACGTCTTCGGAGTGTTATGCCTGAGTATGATATGCACAGCATCTCGTCCTTTGTGGCACTCCCTTCGCCATAGTGGTCTCCGTGCGCCCGATGCTGACTGTTGTTATACACAGGGCGTACTCAGGCGCAGCGCAGTGAGTGCATGTCTCCCTCCCAACGGAATGAAGCCTTCCAGTGAGGTGTGGACATCGCGAGGAGGTTACTGCAGAGAGACTTCGGCCACTTTAGGCAACAACGTGGTCAGTGGTGTGAACTCCGTCTGCGGGTAGCAGGCGCAGATGGGCTTCCAGACCAACGATCTCCGTTCCTGGCACGCTTTCTGACAAGCATTTCGCAGAGGCCGCAGTCGGTGGTTGCCGTTGTCCGACAGAGCTGTTGCAATCTATCGTACGTGGGCGCTTGGTCTAATTATACAGGTCTGAACAACTTCGCATAGGATTGACAGGCCCCGAGGAGGTAATAATCTGATACGGTTGCGAAGCTGCAGCGGAGGCAATGCGATTGGATGCTACAATCCCGAGCTGAGTGGTTGCACAGGTCGGAAGCATATAAGGCTGGTCCTGCGCCCTTATCCGAGCCGGGCAACGCTGAAGACCTCGCAGGTGCTCAGTCTCTTTTCATCTGTTCTCGCCGGGCGTGAACACCATTGTCTTCGCTTTTACTTATCTTGCCTTCGTTCGCCCCGCCCACTCTTTCAATATGCCCTCCGCCACCGCTTCGGCATCTGCGGCACATGCCTCGTCCACTTCGACGGCGAGCAAAACCACAACAGCAGCGCCCCCTGAACTAGATGCTGAACCTTTCTTCCGCGAGATAGACATCATCCTCATCGGTGTCGCTGGCTTCTTCATTCTTCTAGCGTTGCCCAGAGCAATCGCCCGTTTCAAGCACCTCTCCGAGTGGTTTGCTGGATGTTTCTTCCGTTCAGTCCAGCTTGAAGGTTCTTCTCGTCGCCCACGCAGAGCTAGAAGCAATGGCTCCTCCTTCCAGGAGAAGCCCGCTGACGCGAACGCCGAGGAGCAGTCGATCTCCGTCTACTCGAACGTCGACCTCACGTTCTCTCCCGATCTCGAGTCGCCAAAAAATCCGCCGCCGTACATACCTGCGTGGACCTCCATCTTCCCGACTGTCAACGGTATCCTCGAGACGAAGATCAGGCCTGGATACTCGCTGTGGAAGGTCCTCCTCATGGTTGGGTACATGGTGGCGATGATGTACGCGGCATTGTTCGAAGTGAACTTGTTCACGAGTCCGGCGCGTCTTGGCTTCCTCCCCGTCAGCCAGCTGCCCATTATCTATATCATGGCCACAAAGAACAACGTCTTCGGGGCGCTCATCGGACAAGGATACGAGAAGGTATGTCCCGCCGCTTCTGCTGAAAATCCTTCACTGAGTTCGTACATGTCCCAGTTGAACTGGATTCACCGCTACGTTGGCCGCGTCGCAGTCTTGGCGATCAATCTGCATGCGCTGGCATATTGTAAGTGTTGAGTACGACAGGCTCATGAAAGCGTCACTGAATGTCCTTGCCCAGTCGCCAAATGGGCCAACGAGCCTGGAGGTGTCGCCGCGCACATGGAGACCAACCACGTATGGGGCTGCGTCGCCATGGGCTGCATGGATATCCTGTGGCTTTTCTCCATTAGTGCTGTGCGGCAGATGTACTACCACTTGTTCTTCGTGACGCATTCCATCGCTGCTGTCGTTCTGCTCATTGCTGTGAGTACTCGTATAATGACGGGCACGCGTTCCTCCCTGACGACGCGTTCCACAGGTGTGTTACCACGAGGACTTCGCCATTCCCTACGTTGCAATCGTTGCGGCCTTCTACGGACTCGACCGTGTCCTGCGATTGGTTCAGACGCGCATCGTGAACGCCGAGCTTCGCCCGATCCCGGAGCTCGGAATGACGCGCATTGAGATTCCTTCCGTCAACGCTGGATGGCGCGCAGGTCAGCATGTTCGCATCCGTGTCCTGTCCTCGGGCATGGGCCTTCTGGGCTGGATGGAGAGTCACCCGTTCACTATCGCCAGCGTTAGCAAGGTGCGCAGTCTCTCTCCTGTCGTCACCCTATCTGCCCTCAGCTTATCGCTACGTCTCCCACCTCATGTTTGCAGCACCCCAACGAAGAAGGCCTCGTTCTCATGGTCAAGAAGGCAGGAGATTGGACTGCCAAGCTGTTCGACGTCGCCCAGCGCACGGAGTATCGCGAAGTAGGCGGCCCAACCCGGAACATCAAGGTTATGCTCAATGGGCCTTACGGTAAGTTCCGCATGGGGACGACTCGTGTCGCCGGCGGTAACATGAAATACTGACTGCGTTTTCTAGGTGGACCGGGGCACGCGATTGTCACCAGCTTCTCGGGCGCCATGCTCGTCGCTGGCGGTAGTGGAATTACCTACGCGCTGTCGACGGTACAGGAACTCGTCTCCAAGGGCGCAGAGGGTGCGAGTCGCACGCGCGTCGTCGAGCTCGTCTGGTGCATCACCGACCCATGTGAGTGACGTCCGCTCTATCTCCTCAACCCGCTCAACTCCGCCTCTGACACCGTCAAATCACAGCTGCACTGGTCCCCTTCCTCCCGATCTTCAGCACCATGCTCGACGAGACGCGGGGCACGTACACGTCCCTGCACATCTCGGTGCACTACACGCGGGCGATTGTCTCCGACGAGGCGATGAAGATGTTCGAGCGGCTCCCGCTGGGGGTGACACTCACACCCGGCCGTCCGCGCCTGCAGAAGGCCCTCGAGGGTGTTGTGGACCGCACTGCGGCGTCACGCGGCGTGGAGGACCGTCTCACGGGTGTCGTCGTAGGTGTGTGCGGGCCCATGGCGCTGGGAGAGCAGGTCGGCCAGGTCGTCCGGAGGTTGGACAGCGAGAGGCGGAGTGCTGTCAACGGCGTGGAACTGCATGAGGAGTAAGTGTTCGTTCTCATTGTAGCGGCCACGCGCTAACGACCTGCTCTCGATAGAATCTTTGGCTGGTAATTGCAGCCCTTCTGGTAAATGCACGCCACAGTGCGTGCCTACTAGAATATCACATCCCTACCCTCTCGTCCCTTCTGTAAGTTAATGCTCCGCACTATGGGCCTGCCAGCTGGGCTGTGTAGTACGGACATCCCTACCCCTCACCATCGCCGCCAAATGTGCGTTCCTACTACCTACTGTCGTTCCCCCTGTTCTAGAGTGTCTGCGTGCGCGTGTACGATTAGGTTGTAGCTTCTTGCGGCTTCCACTGTATCGCATAGCCATATGTGGCCGTAATTCTAGGTGTCCTGCACCGTGTTGTACTATCCTGTGCTCTGACACTGGAATGATATGGACGATGCCTATACCCATGCCACGCTGTGCGCGGACACATGCTGCGGCCGGTCGGTGTTACAGCATAACGATCTGCGGATGAAACGGAAGAACGAGCGATGGTGCTGCAACATTCCCTTGTACGTGTGGACCACTCGGTTTCGAGAGACATGGTACAGTCACGGACCCTAACAGCCCAGCGTATGCCTTCATAGTCGCGATTGGTATAATACAGTATACGTGGTATACGCGGATCCTCCCGATTAGGCTCCTCAGCTTACAACTAAAGCTACACAACGAATAACAACAGCGGACAACGAGAGGGAAGGATAGTTCCGAAGTAGCCTTCATGCAATGATGCATCCGTCAGGCATCTTTGGCAGCCCGTCCCCGCCTATGTCCAGACCTGGTGGTAGCGGCGCCATAATTTCCGCAGGCGGTGAACCGTGGCTCTGCATCTGCAAATTTTCACAGTGGTCAGGAACACCACACAGTGCTTGAGTGACATGCATACTTCTGTCATGAGCTTGACGACTTGCGAGCCCTTCTCCGGATCCGAGTCCGAGTACGTGGGATCATCGAATATCGTGATCAACTTGCTGACAGTGGAGTACTGGGCATTGTATCGCTTCTTGTCATCGGCGGAGAGCGTGCTATCATGCTCTTTCATGTAGGCTGGGAACTACAGGGAATGGAGACCTGTCAGCCTGTGGTAGGTTGAGTGAGAGCGTGAGGACGAACGCACCTTGTCATGCAGCTCCTTCAGCGGCTCGTACAGTATCTCTTTGCTCATGAGCTCGGTCATCATGTTCTCGAGGACCTTCTGCAACTCGTCTGCCTCTCCTGGGTCCAGGCCATCGAGGTTGTCGCCTAGCTGGGCCATGAGATCGTCGACGGAGCTCTCGGGACCGTCCTACGTAGCGTCGTTGAGTTACTATCGTCGGTTGCGACCTGGTTCGCGGGGACATACCTTCAAGTTCGACTCGCTCTCCTTCAACTTCTCCATCGCTTTCCGGATACTCGCCTCGAACGAGTCTTGCGGTGGTGGGGCCGCGCCCCCACTTCCGGAAGACTCAGTGGGATCCGTCGCTCCTGCAGATTGACTGTCCACGTCCAAAGCACCGTTCATACTCTCGACGAACATCTTCTCCCACGCAGCATGGAGAGCCTCTTGCCGCTGCTTTTCGTCCGTATTCTGTCCGCCCTCGGCACTCTGCCCCTCAGTATTCGAACCCTCTGCCTGCGGACCGTCGCCTGTCGCGATCTCGCGCATGAGCGACTCCATGCCTTGGGTCAGCTCGCGCATGAAATCTTCATCCAAGCCGAGCGAGTCGAGTGAACTTGGTTGGGTATTCGAGGCGGTCGACGCAGCCGTCAAGCTTGGCGTTGCGCCCGCAGAGGCAGCCTGCTTTTGCGTCGTTCCTTTTGGCTGAAACTGCTCGAGAACATCTGTGATCTGTTCAGTGAGATTATGGTCGCGTTCAGGCTGCAGCGAGGAGCGTACCGTCGAGATCGTCGAGGTCATCGTCGTCGATGCGAGGCTGCTTTTGCGACGAAGACATATCGTTTACACCAAGAAGAAAACGGATGGGTGAACAAGAGTGCTGAGGACGAGCTTAGTAGAATCACACGCGTTGTATGAATTAGTTGGTACGCGTCGATGTTCGCGCAGGGGTCCGAGAAACACGGGATTGCTGTGTCACAGCTCGTCATGTCACACCATCGTCACGCTCCTACAAGCGCAAGGCCTTGTCACGGAGCGACCGCGGAGGCGAAAGGTCAACATCAACTGCGAGTTACTTTCCTCGTTCATCTTGTATTCTGTGTATTACTGCCCAACTAGAGAGGACCGACCCGGTGTATCCAGCGACAAGAGTTTATCAACACCATATTGACCCAGATCGTTAGGACGCTAACAGAATCCGTTTCCGGACTGGCGCAGTACGCAGTTGCAGCGGGCGGCCAAGGGCGTTTGGTTTGCTTCCCCTCCGCCATCCTCACCCATGGACGCGACAAAACTTGGGAAGCCTCCTGATCTTGGGTCGGGCTCAGGCTCCTCTCTTCCTTTCCCTGTCCTATTGCTTTCCGGTCTGGCAACTGTGGCTGCAACGGCAGTATCTGCGACGTCAATATGTCTGCATCTGAAGAATTATCGCAAACCGATTCTGCAAAGGTACATACATCTACTCCAAAGAAGCAGTGTGAAAATGTACTCAGAGGTCTGCAGACAGGTCGTCCGGATCATGCTCATGGTCCCAATATACGCCATTGCGTCGTTTATCTCCTTGTTCTCGCTTCAAGCCGCTTTCTTCATCGACGTAGTCCGGGATATCTATGAGGTAAGCAATCGTTCAATCCATTAGCAGTGGACGTACTCTTGGGGGAAACTGTCGCAATACTGTGATGAGGGGAAGGGCGCCGCCGCTACAACTTGAGGAGGCAATCTGTCACATACCGTTACCTCACTACTGTCCACAGATCCCCAGTGGATGCTGGTTCCCGAGATGTCTGGACAGTAGGATGTAAAGGCTTGTGTGTCTGCTCTTCGCGCGCCGTCCCCTTCGCTGTGATTGGAAAGCGGCGGTGCAGAGGTTTCACCGAGCTCGGGGCGCAGACAGGGAGCCTACAGCTTCGTTGACATAGTAGTGAAGATGCTTCACCACTCAGGCTCCCCTGGCTTGTATCGATACCATGAGACTCCCAGCATAGTCTGCCCATGCTAAGCCTATCCCAAACCCAACAGTTCTTCATGCTCGGACTTGACGTGCGTAGAGTATGGACCGTGGAGAGGTGATGCTTCTTCAGTATCCCTTGTCCACTCAGCCTCGCTAGTCGGGTCACAGGCGCGAGTGTTACTCTTAGTATGGAACATTCTTTGTGAAGGTTGTGAAAGGGGAGGTCCAGATTGCAGAGCTTGCATACCTCTTCGTTGACAAACTGCTCATTGTCGTTGCGATATCAACTGCCATGAGCATGGTTATCAGATAACCTCGAGAAGTCCTACTTTGGTCGTATGAGAATGCCGCACGTTGTTCAATACTGACCTGATATTGGTGACAGGCATTCGTAATTTATTGCTTTTTCGATCTCCTCATTGCCTATCTCGGTGGAGAGCGATCTCTGCTCATGCTGCTGCACGGCCGCTCGCCCAAGTACCCAGTCTTTCCTGGGAATATCTTCTGGCGAGAAGTGGATGTCAGTGATCCCCACACGTTTCTGTTCCTGAAACGCGGCGTAATTCGTGAGTGCTGCCTACCCATGATTGGACCCCTCCTCTGAACCTGAGCCTACAGAGTACGTACAAGTCAAACCGATACTAGCGGTCGCCACGATCATTCTCAAGCTCGTGGGCAAGTTCAACGAGGGCAACCTCCGCGCTAACTCCGGGTATCTCTACGTGAGCGTTGTGTACAATTGCAGCATATGCCTAGCTTTGTATTGTCTCGCAATATTCTGGATGTGCGTCAGCGAAGATCTCAAACCATTCAGGTCCGTCCCGCGCCCACGTATCGTCGTATCCTGTGCTGACTACGCCCCAGGCCGATGCCGAAGTTCCTCTGTGTGAAGGGCATTCTGTTCTTCTCCTTCTGGCAATCCCTCCTCATCTCTATCCTCGTGGCCGCCGGGGCGATCACGAAGCTCGGGCCGTATACAGACAACGAGCACATCTCGCTCGGGCTCACGGACACGCTCATCTGCCTCGAGATGCCGCTCTTCGCGATTGCGCACATGTACGCGTTTTCGACGCGGGATTTCGTGGACCCGCGCTCGTCGTTCGTCGCGCGCATGCCCGTGTTCTACGCTGCGCGTGACGCATTTGGGCTCAAGGACGTCGTGGAGGACTGTAAAGTGACTCTTCGCGGGGAGGGCATGGACTACCGCGAGTTCGAACCCAGTGAAGGGTTTATACATCAGGGCGCGGGTCGTGATAGGCGGATCAGAGCGGGCCTGCGGTATAGCCAAGGCGGAAAGAAGAAGTACTGGCTGCCCCAGCGGGCGCAAGGTACCCGTCCCGCAGGCAGTGTCGAGCGGACAGTGAATCGTGCAGTGCAGCGCGTCGCTGGAGAGGATGAGACGGAGGACGTCTATGCCCCTCTACTCGCTGATCAGGCCCAGGATGTCGTGCACACCGCGCCCGACCTGCGCTCGCCCACCGGGCAGGCAGAGCTCGGCCTCTTCGACTCTGAGCCGCTCCAGGACGAGGGGTTCGGGCTGCAGTTCGGCGACATCGACGACGCGGACGAGGCGCTCTACAGCCACAGCAAGAAGTACGTGTTTGGGGACTACCTCTATCCATGCGTGGACGTGAGCTCGGAGGCGGCGCGCAAGACGATGTGGGACGAGGAGGAGCGGATCCTGCGCGACGAGCGTGGCGCGTACTTCTCGCCTATGCTCGGGCCTGGGCGCATCCTCGGGCAAGCGCGCCAGAGCTATGGCGCGATGGGGAACTTCCAAAGGGGTGTTGTGCGCGAGCGGGTGACCTCGGATACTTCGGACGGATCGAGGGGCAAGGGCAAGACGAGGGCAGGGCGGGAAGTGGTCATCGACAAGGAGCAGGATCGGGTGCCAGAGGCGAACATGGGCGAGGTCAGGCTACGGTGGACGAACAGCCAAGACCGCGTAGCTTCGCAGTCTCCTCGCGTCCGGACGTCCTCGGCCACTGCACGGCCTGCAGCCATGAAGCCAACCTCGTCGGGATCATCAGGGAGCAGTCCTGCAGTGAAGCACCCTCCGCCGTCACCTCGCAAAGAGACTGAGCGACCTGTGTTGCCGCCGGACGCGGTGGACCTCATCGTGGAAGACCCGCACGCGGCCGAGGAAGAGCAGACCCACGAGCGACGGAAGGGAGAACCTGCCGTGCGCGGAAAGGCGTTGCACAAAGTATACCGGAGAGGGTACGTCGTGGGCGACAGACGGGGACGGGAGGAGGGCGAGGTCGAAGTAGCGAACGCTGCGACGCCGTCGCCGGACGAACAGCAAACCATCTTTGAGGTCGGCGAGGACGCGGACAGTGTGATGAATGCGGAGGAGCGGGCTGTCGAGGAGGTTACCGTCGCGAAGGCGGAAACACCACCCCCGCACGCGAGACCGATGCTCTACAGTCCAGAGCTTCTCGATGACGAGAATCCGTGGGCATAGTACGTCCAGACAGTGTTCTATCATCAGTTCAGTTATGTGTTTCTCGCTGATGTACTTTACATACGTAAGGGTGGAGGGTGCAATATCATTATTCGAGTATTCGCGCAGCTGTAACTGCTCACAGTGACTATCGTCGCAGGTCAAGTCAAGGCCGGACATTCTTTCAGCTCACCAAGCATGCGAGCTTTCCATTATGTTCATGTTGTACTGATTCCACTACAGGTCGGTTGCACTTGTCTCGTACCCATCCGTGCAAACACGGTCGCACACCACCACAGCGTGAAGGCTGCACAGGTGCTGTATGTCTCTGGACTATTTGGCCAGCGCGATCGAGAGCAGCCACCACGCTCGATCGTGACGAACGTGCCGCGATGGCGAGGTTGACATGGTTCGAGTTGGGGCTGGCGGCCCGCCCGCCGTCAGCCTCGCTCGCCCACCATATAAATAGCACGCATCGCTGCCCTCACTCGCCATCGCTTCTCTCTCTCCTCCCCTCATCATCCCCCCGACCTACAGGGTCCGGCGACGTGGTCTTGACTTCGTAAGTCTTCACCCTTACAATCCGTGTATGTACTGACGCCTCCCATGCCCGCCTCAGTGCACGGTCAGCGGTGCGCATCGCCTAGAGAAATACCGTTGTGACGGGGCGTCGAGTAGTACGCTAGTATCGCAGGCTTGACTCGTCGCCCAGCCCGAGACCATCCAGGGTGCCTCATCGTCTACTGTCGCTCATTTCGCGAACCAGCCGCGAGGTGGCGCCAGCCGACGGTAGGCATTCTGCGAGCAGCCCAGACAATGCTATCGCCTAGAGAAATACCGTCGTGACGGGGCGTCAGCATTGCTGGGGTGCGCGGTCTCGTTGGCTCCTAGTGTAGTTACTGTAGCTGTAGGATAGTTCTCCAGGGCGGGCGGTCAGCTCCCCGACGTAGTCGGGTGAGGGCCGTCCGGGCGCGCATCTCACCGTGATCCTGGAGTCTAGTACCTCCTTTGCTCAGGCGGGCAGGGAGGGAAGCTAAGACGCGCCGAAGCCTGTGACGTAGAGAAATATAGTTCACTTGGTGTGTCGTTGTAGTCTAGGGATATTCTGTGCCGAGGGCTATGATGTTGAACTATGGACACAACCTCAGGCTTCCGAGCCAGAAGGACAAACCGTATTCGCATTTCTCGAACGCTACACATCGTTAGAGAGGTCCCTATAACGGCTGTTGGTTGAGCCTTGCGTATCGTGCCAATAGCCAGAGAAGTACCGTCCACCCAGCTTGTAGACACGTCAGTCATGATCTCACACAACGGCAGATACACAGTGACGCACTAGGGTCGACGGCTATCTTCCTTTCGAACCGGATCAGGTCAGCGATATTCAAGTATCGTGCGTGTCTGGACGAGGAGGTGGGCACGCAAGGTTGACTAACATTACTACATTTCATCAGGGCCCGGGTCACTGTCCCGCACGAGCTACTGGAACGGGAGGGCACCTTGAGGCCGCCTGCAACTAGTCCGACTGTACCCAGCGGGGGAAGAGGGTTTAAGCCACTCCAACCATTCGTTCCGGCGCGATCGAGAGCCGGTGAAGGCAAACGGGCCATGGTCGATCGCGAAGACCATGCCGCGACGTCCCAGACAACGAGGCTGACACGATTCGAGTTTACGCTGGGGCGAGGCCCCCCCGCTGGCGTGTCCTTCCCCGTCAGCCTCGCTCGCCCGTCGTATAAGAGGCGCACCCGCTTGCCTCTGTCCAGCCCAACCCTTCTCTTCCTCTCCTCCACCATCCCGCGACTCGCGGGTGCGGCGGCTGGGTCTTATCTCTGTGAGTCTTCGTCCTCCATGCTTCGTACGCGCATGTACTGACGCGGACCACGTCCCATGGAAGTGCATGACCGGCGGACTGCATCAGTCCGCTAGTCCGCAGTCGGACCCCCGCCTAAGGCCAGCCAGGTAGCCCCACCATTTGGCGATGAGCTTTCGCGGTTGGTCCGCGACGCATGCCGGTGGCTGCGCTTGGTAGGCGACCTAGGTAATGCCATCGCCTGGAGAAGTACCGTTGTGACGGGGCGTCGGTTTGCTTGGGACGCACGGTCTTGTTAGGTCCGCGGTAGTGTAGGTTATCGTAGGGTAGGGTAGTTCTCCGGGGCGGGCGGTCAGCCTGACATTGTTGGGTGGACTGTCCGGGCGCGCATCTCATCGTGATCCTGGAGTTCAGTACCTCCTCTGCCCAGTGGGCGGGGAGGGAAGCTAAGACGCGCCGAAGCCTGTGGTATTTAGAATGTTGCGCACGTTACTGTAGCGGGCTAGGCAACGTTGAAGCATGTGAGAGCCTCGGTGACCAACGAACAATATGGCGCCAGCGAGCACCGCACTTCAAGACCATGGCCTGGGATATGCGCAGAGGTTCGTTCGGAACCATTGAGAGGCAGACGCGCCGTATCGCCTGAGGACAAGCGATGCGAACGGAAGCCGTTGATTATGCAGATGCCTCGACCTTGTGGAAAGATCAGCAAGAACACAGAGATATCGAGGAAACAGTCAGCCATGCATCGCCTTCAAGCCATTCCGAGACATTCGTACCTATTATATATCTGATATTCGAGCTTCTAATGAAACGACGTTGCGAGCATGGCACCTCTCTAGATTGTCTTATTGTGAAGGAGTCAAAAATCAACGAGACAACCCCTCTTTGATAGTGATTTCTCTTCGAGCGCAATAGTATCGCCAAGCCCGTAATTCTACGACTCTGAGGTGGCGAGCAACTGAGTGCACTCCGAATTACTGGCACCCTCACAGCGCGAGACGGTCCGACCTACCTCCACATGTGCTCCGCGACGTCCAGGATTCCAGGTTCCGCTGGCCTAGGCCTGAATGCACGTGTGAGAACACTGCCAGTGAGAAGGTGGACTACCGCCTCGCAACTGACCAGCGGAGCCGTAAGATCCTCGGACGAACGGCAGCCTAAACTCGATGTATCCCGCGCACCGGCAACAACGTGTGCGACTCGGCGCATAAAATGAATACCTTCGCGGATCCTTTGTGTGACCAATGGCAAGCATGGTGTTGGGGAGTGTCGCAATAGTTCACATCAGTGAGACGGTCTGATGCAAGAGGGCTGTGTGTCCGCTTACCAGAGAGTACAACGAGGATAGTGTCCTAACAACTGAGAGGAGCCAGGAACGAGATAGTTATGGTATACAAGATGAGATAGCTACCCTTGGGCAGGCGGGTTCAGCGCCACGAAGGCGAGCGGTGTTATGAGACGCGAAGTGCCATTTCGGGAAGTATTGATGGGGCTGTTGAGCAACAAGTGCAAACAATGCGCATGTCGAGTCGCGTCAGTGGCTGTCAGTGGTCACGCTTTCCCAGCGCATGCGCACAACGACCTACAACGACTTTCTTCTTTACGTGTCTTGCAGTACATATGTTGTCTCAGCTGGCGCGGCGCGTAAATCTGCGCACGATGCATGCTCCGGTGTCTTGCGGTGCAGCACTCAAGCCATACATCTCGGCGACGCGTCTGCAGGTCCCGACGCGTTCGTTCTTGACACACTCTCCCCCTTTGATGGCACCGGAGTCCTCAGGAGAGGCCCCCAAGCCTACGAAGTCAAGAGCTCGCAAACCCAAGACCAAGGCAGAGGCCAAACCAGAAACCAAACCCAAGACCAAAGCGAAGAGAGCCACGGAAGCGTCCAAGACCGAGACCAAGAAGCCACGTAAAGCTACACCCCGACGTTGGTCGCTTCATTTGCCTGCCGCTCTCGGTGATTAACCAGACCATGACATTAGCGAAGCGAATCTCGCGAGCCGACATGCCACCTAAGCGGCCTGGCGGCGCCTTCATACAGTTCCGTTCGGAGCGTGCCAAGTTGTTGCCTCCGCACGCGACTCCACAAGAGCAAGCCCAGCATTCCAAAGTATCTGCCCGGGAATGGCTAGCCTTGGACGACTCTGTGAAGCAGGTCGGTCACTGACTGGCATCGCCGCCGCATTGCTGAGTACCATCCCCGCAGTCGTACAAGGAGCGATACAAGGTATTGCGCGAAGAGTGGAAGATGCGTATCAAGGAGTACATCGAGAACCACGACGCGAAGACTTTACGCGCGGTCCAACTTAAGATGAAGACGAAGGGCCCTCGTCAGGGCCATGTGTTGCGTAATCCAAATCGGGTGCAGCAGCCGTGGAACCCCTACCTCCGGTATGGGATGCTTAATGCATCTACTGTTAGTTGCTCACTGATCTCTCCTCCCTTCTGCCAGGTTTTGTGTGGAGCATAGAGCTAGCGTCAAGCTACCTCATCAAGAAGGCAAGGCTTTGATAGAAAAGAGCCGAATCCTAGGAGAGAGATGGCGGGCATTATCTGACGAGGAGAAAGCGGTACGTTTCGTCGCTGCCGTTCAGTTCCGTGACACTGACGGCCTGGTCTCTCAGCCTTATGTTAAGGCATGCAAGGAGGACTGGGTACAGTACAGGGCCGCCAAAATCGCCTCCTCGCCAACGGCCGCTTCCGATTAACGCTACGGCTGTCTGCGCGACGCAAATCTACGTGACACTTTCTGTATGATAGGAGTTCGTATAATCTTCCGTGCACGACGGTCTGGAGAGCACTGACACGCTATTAGAGAGCAACTTCATGTATACCTAACTTCGTTTGCTCTGTTACAGATTTCTACTCTAACTGGTTCTGGTTTCGTTGACCAGATGCGCCCTAGAGTCGGCGCCCTTCGTCACTTCTTTGCACCTCGCCCAGAATATTCGTACTAACATGTGTCTGAATTCGATCTTCTCATGAAACGAAGTCGGACCTTGTGAGTATGGCCTGTTTGATTGTCCGCCACCCATGAACAAGCAGGAGGGCATTGATCACTCACATCACGCATCCATATTTCATAGCTGTCAGTTTCGCAGCGACATAACATTTTCGTTGAAGAAGGTGGACACTTCACACTCATTCTGGCCAAGACATCCCTTGGAACGAATAGGTACTTGCTAGTTGAGGATGCAACTGATGTCCCTAGCCCGAGTAATCACTGCATGGACTCACCTTCGCAAACGGGTATCTTGACTACATGACTGGTATCGGGGACATAGAACGCGGCCAGTCTGGACAAATGTGTGCACATCTGCGTCCAAGCTTGGGGAAATGTCCTGGCAGATGATCACATTCGGCGTGGTCACCACGCAACGCGTCCGAGACTGTTATACAGAAAGCACGACAACGCGTATGGCAGTTTTGCTCTTTCATGACAGGCTCAAGAGCTGTGACACTTTGGATGCGATATCCTTCTCCGAGAGGTTGTCTACCTCGACGTGTCTCTCTACACCGCGCTCTGACGACTCGCAACGTTCAGCTGGTGGCGTAGAACCCGCAGATACGACCAACGCACCAAATCGTGCAAACACTCGCGCGGGTGTCCCCTTCGCTTCCCGAATCATGATGGGCAAGTCAGGGTTGTGTTGCTTGAGGACCGGGTATGTTGACGCAATGAACTGCCTATTGCCACGAGATGAGTTGCAGAGGTAAATCAGAAGATATCCGGGAGTGACCTTGTTCCTGCAGACGCTGCACCAGTCTGGCAGCAGAGAATGCGGACTTCCCGCAGAGCAGGAGACAAAACTTTGGCAAAGGACATCGCGGAAGGAGATGAAGTTGAGGTCGTTGCCCAGCATCGACATTACCGAGTTACCTATTATGGGCATATCACGCTGCATTACAAATAGCACTGTCACAGTTGCCTGTTACAAGCATGTCACGCTGCATCAGACCAAACACGACCGTCACAGCATGTCACAACGGTCGCACGTCGCCGAGCACGGCGAACTCGAGGTTGCACGCAGCCCCCACGCGTCTCTGCTCCGGCCTATGCTGCACAAGCCCCTGGATTCTGCCAATCTTGCGTCTTGACAACTACGTGCAGACAGGCCTGTCGACTTCCCTGAAATCACCATCTTGACTGAGCATTTGGTTGGAAACCGGACGCACTAGGCGACCGCGAGGCTTTTGACGGGACATCGATGGACGACGAACAACGTCGGGATGAAGGACTTGAGAGCCGGAGGAACAGGCTGCCCTCCTTCACGGAGGTGCTGTCGCGGCGGACGCGACCGCCTGTGGATCTGTTCATGTTTTAGTGAGTGCTTCCCCCCGATCACCTTCGCCGCCTTCATATCCCGCCCATGCAGTCTATTCCTGCAACGCGAGGGCGCAGAAGACGTCCTCGACTTTTGGCTAGACGTGCAGCAGCACGAGAACCTGTGTCGCGCGTACTTCAAGGACGTTCGAAAGTCGGGGCGAACCGTCAGGGAGGACTGGCCCGAGTACTGGGACTATGCTCGCAGACGCGGCTCGATCTATGGCACCGTCGTGGGCATGAACCCGCACATGGGCACCAAGCGGAGTACAGCGAGCACGGCAGACCTCATGTCGGACCAGGATAGGCACAACCTAGCAACGGTGGACAACGAGAAGGCAGGACGGAGCCCGAGCCCGCGCATCGTGTCGACCTCACCTGGTACGCACACCGCCGTCGCGTCCGAGCCCCCACGCTCGACGACACCGTTCTCGCTCTCCGGGCGGACACCGACGCTGTTCAACATGCGCCGTGCCTCGCGTGCGCCGACCATCATCCCACGTTCCGCCGCGATCAACCGTCAGGACCTCATCGCGTCCGCAGAGCGCATCTACTTCCGCTACCTCTCGCCCGCGGGACGGTGGGCTCGACGGAGAACCACGAGATCTACCTGCCGCCCGCGCTGCGGGTGCACTCTTTCCCGCTCAACAGCAACCATGAGCCAAAGTCCGCGAACGAAATGAGCTTAATGGCGCAGATCCCCGACATGTTCCACGCGCAGAAGGAGTATTGTTTCCGTGCGATGGAGCAGGACGCGTTCCCGCGGTTCCTGCGCGCGAAGGCGTTCGGCAACCTCACGCCCGTGTCCGCACTTGTCCGGCTCATCGTCGGGCTCATCGTCCTCTGGGTCGGCCTCGCCGTCGGGTTTTCCCTCATATTCCTGGACGTGACGCCCAAGTCGAAGCGTTTCTTCGTGAGTGCCGCCCTTGCGTGCTAGTCCTTTGTTTTCTTGGCGCTGACAGAGATCGCCAGCTTTTCCTCCCATATGCCGTCGCCATTCTCTTCCTCGTTTCACACCAGTACGAGTTGGACCCGATCCTCGTGTTCTTGGGCCAATCCGAGTCCACCCCGTTCCGCACGTTGCGCATCCGCGAGCCATATGTGAAGAAGCTGCTGGTAGGACGGGCGCTGTGGGTCTCCACGCTCGTCGCGGCCTGCACGGTGGCCCTGACCATGATATTCTGGGCCGTGCCGGGCCACCGCCTGTAGGCCTAGCAGCTTTCGATATGTACGTTCACTTCACGACCAGATCATGCACCGCGGGAACGTTGTAGGAGCTTAGGAGTTTTGGTTTTCTTTTTTGGACGGGACACGACTTTTTTGCACCTCGCTATTTCCTAATCCTTAATTCGGGTTCTTCCCTCCCTGTCAGATGCTGTGAACTTTGACTTTTACGGTACGGTATACCCTTCTTCATGACCATCTCAATCAAACTCGCTGTCGCTCATTTACCACGTCTGAACTTGCCGTCCGTACCATCATGCATATACCTCGATTTATGACCGGGAAGGCAAGATGCTTGCGGAGCCTCGCATTGACTGAGGCCATGCTAGCAAGGCCATTTCATGTGAAGCTCAATATCAGACATGTAATAGGTACGAATGTCCTGGGTGAGGTGCAAATAAGCGACAGAAGGGCGCCGACTCTGGTCAATGGAATCAGCGACAGATGGAGTAGAAATCTGTCAGAGAGCAAACGAAGTTAGGTGCGTATGTAGTTGCTCCTTACTATAGTATGTGAGTGCTCTCCAGACCGTCGTGCACGGAAGATTATACGAACTCCTATCATACAGAAGGTGTCACGCAGATTCGCGTCGCGCAGACAGCTGTGGCGTTAATCGGAAGCGGTCGTTGACAGGGAGGCGATCTTGGCGGCCCTGTACCGCACCCAGTCCTCCTTGCATGCCTTAGAATAAGGCTGAGAGACCAGGACGTCAGTGTCACGGAACTGAATGGCAGCGACAAAACGTACCGCTTTCTCCTCGTTAGATAATGCCCGCCATCTCTCTGCTAGGATACGGTTCTCTTCTATGATATGGTTACCTTCTTGATGAGGTAGCTTGACGCTAGCTCTGTGCTCCATGAAAAACCTGGCAGGAGGGAGGAAGGATCAGTGAGTAACTAACAGTAGACGCATCAAGCATCCCATACCGGAGGTAGGGGCTCAACGGCTGCCGCATCCGATTTGGATTAAGCAACACATGAGCATGACGAGGGCCCTTCGCCTTCATCTTAAGTTGGACCGCTAGCAAAGTCTCCGGGTCGGTGTTCTTCATGTACTCCTTGATACGCTTCTTCCACTCTTCGCGCAATACCTTGTATCGCTCATTGTAAGACTGCGGGAATAGTACTCAGCAATGCGGCGGCGATGCCAGTCAGTGACCGACCTGCTTCACAGAGTCGTCCAAGGCTAGCCATTCCCGGCCGAGTACTTTGGAATGCTGGGCTTGGTCTTGTGGAGTCGCGTGCGGAGGCAACAACTTGGCACGCTCCGTACGGAACTGCATGAAGGCGTTGCCAGGCTGCTTAGGTGGCATGTCGGCTCGCAAGATTCGTTTCGCTGATGTCATGGTCTGGTTAATCACCGAGAGCGGCAGGTAAATGAAGCGACCAACGTCGGGGTGCAGCTTTAGGTGGCTTCTCGGTCTTGGCCTTGGACGCTTTCGTGGCTCTCTTTCTGGTTTTTGGTTCGGTCTCGGCCTTGGTCTTGGGTTTGGGAGCTCTTCCCTTCGTAGGCTTGGTGACCTCTCCTGCGGACTCCGGTGCCATCAAAGGCGTAGAGAGTGTCAAGAACGAACGCGTCGGGACCTGCAGACGCGTCGCCGAGATGTATCGCCTCAATGCTGCACCACGCGAGACTGGAGCGTGTATAGTGCGCAAAGCTACGCGCCGCGCCAGCTGAGACAACATACTGCAAGACGAGTAAAGAAGAAAGGCGTTGTAGGCAGTTGTAGGTCGTTGTGCGTTGGGAGAGCGTGACGCGACTCGATATGCGCATTATTTGCACTTGTTGTCCAACAGCCCCATCAATATTTCCTGAAATGGCACCTCGGGTCTCATACCGCTCGCCTTTGTGGCGCTGAAACTCGCCTGCTTTCTGCTCCGGTCGCCATGTCGTCCTCAGCAAATCCACAACTGGTCTTTGATCCCGCCTCCTTGCCCCTCGCACACCTCGAGTCTCTGCGGTTCAAGGCGAACGCGATGGTCGAATCCATCCAGCTGCTTCAGCGCACCTTGGACCTCGGAGGATACATGCCCCCATGGCCCGAGATCCTGTCAAAGTACACCATCCTCCTGTCTCAGTCGCACAACCTGTCCAACTCCCTGCTGGGCCCGCTCCACTCCTCCACGTCTGCCGGCCCCTCCGCGTCCGGGAACATATACGAAAGGCTTGCGCTGCACCCGAAGGCTGCCATGACGGACTCCCAACTGGACAACGAGCTCATCCCTCTCCTGCGGAACCAGCAGACGACCGACGTGCTCAAGCTCGAGACCGACACCGTGCGCCACCTCGCGGAGCACATGGAGACGAAGGGCTCGCTCGGCGCCATGGCGCAGGCGGGGCCGCTCCAGGGCAGGCGCACGGAGTACGAGGACGTCATGCGAGAATGCGAGCAGATCCGCGTCGAGCACGACGAGCGGGTGGACCGCGCCGTGCGTGCCGTCGCGATGCTCCGTGAGAAGTACGACTGGAGGGCGCGCGTCGAGGTGGATCAGGAGGAGCCGGAGGAGATTGAGTGGGCCACCCACGGCGCGGGCAGCGGCCAGGCACACGAGCGGATGAGCGAGGACGGGGACGATCCGGAGACGCCGAGCGGGGACCAGAGCAATGATAGCGACGAGGAGGAGGAGTTGGAGGAGGTCCTGGGCGACGGCGGGGATCATACACCGGATGGGACACCCACGGCGCAAGGGTAGCTATCTCATCTTGTACACCATATCCGTCTCGTTCCTGGCTGCTCTCATGTATTAGGACACACTACCCTCGTTGTACTCTCTGGTAAGCGGACACGCAGCCCTCTTGCATCAAACCGTCTCACTGATGTGAACTACTACGATAGCATATGATCATATCCCCAACACCACGATTGCTATTGGCCACACACAGGATCCTCCGCCCCTCGTCCAAAGCCGGAGTCATCGCGAAGATATTCACTCTTGAGGCATCTTTTCGCCGTATCACTGTGACCCGACGATGTCCAGTCGCACACGTCGTTGCTGGTGCGCGGGATACATCGAGTTTAGGCTTCCGTTCGTCCGAGGATCTTACGGCTCCGTTGGTCAGTTGCGAGACAGTGGTCTGCCTTCTCACACGTGCTTTCAGGCCTACGCCAGCGGGAGGACGTCGCGCTGACTCGCGGAGCACATGTGGAGGTGGGTCATCGGGATGCCAGTTACTCGGAGTGCACTCAGTCGCTCGCCACCTCGGTATCGCAAAGTTACAAGCTTGGCGATACTGTTGTGCTCGAAGAGAAATCACCGTCAGAGACGGGTTGTCTCGCTGCTTTTCGATTCCTCCACGCTGAGACGGTATGAAAGAGTGCCTCTGGGCTCTTGTCGCGTCGCTGCGAGTGATGGCCGATGGCGCATTAGCCCTACTACGGTCGTACTGCTGTACTCCGGGTCCGCAATACCTCACCGGCTAGTGATTCGCAGATGTCGACTCTGGCGTGAGGTACCTGATTGAAGGCAGTAGCTCCTCCGCAGATGTGTTTTTTCTCTGACGGACAGTTGTTAGCTCCAAATTGCCAGTGCGAGGGATCGAGGTGCGTCTCTACACGAAATATAAACGCATCCATTGGGCAGCTAACGCTTCCCCGCCTCGTGCTCGATCCGCGTGGAGCGGGCTAAGGTAGAAGGACTCAAGACGCTCGGCAGTTAGCGTTCTACATATGAACATGTCGGGGTGAGCGAACGAATGGCCTTCGGTTGTTTGCACTGTATTGATGAATGAGCGCTTCCGTGCGTAGGTTAGCGTTGCGCCATCGATCGCCTACTTAACAAGAATAGAGTAGGCCCGGGGTGAGCGGGTGACAAGACATACGACGCGGTGGTACGGTGAGTGGCCTTATATGCTGAGCACCCCTGCGCGTCGGGAATGAGTGCGTCGCCATTCGATCCCTGTTGACGTCGATCGAGTGACCGCCACTATCAAGTTCGCAGAAGACGCGGACGCGCTCTCCCCCGGGCATCACCATCATCCCCATGTCTTCATCAAGGCCTGGGCACTCGGAATAGACGGATCGTCATTCGCCTTGCGCTTCTTCCGCCAACGATCCCTAGCGTGCCAAGGTCGAGCTTTTCGGCCCCGAGCGGACGCTACTGGGGATGAGGATGACGAGCTGTCATGCATCGGGATAGTCCCCTTCGCAGTAGCTGTCGACTTGGAAGAACGCTGGAACGCAACCGCGTTGTTTCGACTGATGCAGCTAAGCCTCGCTCTGTTCGCATCCAGGGCGATCGTGGAAAGCTAACGTTGCACTACTGCTGAACGTATTGCCCAGAGTGTCCAGTGCATGGCTCTGGCTGCAGGCACAATGTCAGGAACGAACGAATTGGCGCGGCACCTCATGAGTCGTCCTGGCTGGCAGAACATGCGAGTCGCGATGACCCCGAACGGCAACGCTGGGATAACCGGATTGTAGCAGTGTGCTGTCGATCACGGTATGAACCCTTTTGTTGTACACGATCTCAAGCAGGCTGTACAACGGCACCGCAATCTAGGGTAGGTGCTCTTGCCCCGCCAGTGGCGCAAAGAGAACGCGCGATCGTCCCATTGGCAGCGTATGATCGATGCAAAGATAGTACGCCGGACAGGGTGCTCATTGCGGATCGGACGGTTCTAGAAGGAAAGCCTATCGGGGCCGCAACGCGGGTGCGTGTGAGAGTTTAAGTCGACGTGCATGGCTGCGTGTGATTCAACGCCGTAGGTTCCGTACTTGCTCGTCGCCACTTCGCTTTCGCACGAGCGACGCGGTGCCTGACGTCCTCCGCCGGGAACATCGTCCTCGTTCGTGGTTTCTCCGTTCTCATCGTCGTGAGTTGCCTACGGCTTAAACTCCACGGTTGTCACTATTGGGTCCGCATTTGCCTGTATCCACATGTCAATGCCAGAGCTGACTGTTTGATGTACAGGTGTATATGGGAAAACGGCGTTGAGCATCAACGCGACCATTGACCGACCGATGCTGGGTGCCTCTGTGCTTAGTGAGGTAAATCCGGAGGACAAATACTCTGGCGGCCGACATCGGGGTGACCCGCTTCTGAAAAGGTACTGAGTTGTTAAATCATTCTGCCTCTGGGCAACGATTTCCATCCAGCTGTACGTGGGACGAGGGGGCCGGGAAACGTGTAGATTATATCGTTTTGAAACAGAAGGATGCCGTTCTGTGCGAGTTTGGTGGGCAATTTGCAATTGGGCTAACGGTCTCAGGAACGGCATTACGATGTTGGCATTGCGGCTCCTCGTATATTGTCAAAAAGCCTCACAGGTACAGATGAACATCCGATAAAACGACGTCGTGCACGGGAATTGCAAAGTTAGGAGACAAGGAGGAACCAGGTTAGTCAATCTAAACTACTGTCGCTCTTCGCATACTGTAATGAAATTTCCCTGGTCATGGCACCAGCTATTCGCAGCGGATCTTTTGCACGCCATTCGTGTTTTAGGTACCAGTGGTGACAGACTACCTTCGACGGCGGAGAGCAGCGTCAATCCCTTGATTATGAGCAACATGAACACAAAGGCGGGTCTGGAATCTCATATAGTGCTCCATTCATTGACGGAAAACCTTGAAACCAGTGCCTTCGGGTCCTGGATAAGCCTGGCAGTGCTCCCGATGGGTCTGACTTCGCACGCTGCCGCACGTACATCGTCCAAGATCCGACCAGTCATAATCGCTCGAAATTCAACAGCGTGGATGCAAGGTAGCGATTCAAAGGAATGGTGTCAAACAGAGCGCCAGGTGAATGCAATGCCCATGTGGTAGTGCGATCCATTCTGACCTGAGTTCAAAACTTCCATATGCAACCGGAGCATTCTGAATCTCACAGCGGCGCCAGGTCTCACAGAGGCAGCCGGCTGTGCGATGATGCATGGCCGTGTCGGCCGGATGTCCCTTCTGTCACCCAGGCAAACCCGGCGACCCGACGAGCCCGACATGTTCGCAGCGTCGATGGCCCATGTCTGCGAACACGAGGAGGGCCGAAGCCAGCGGGATAGGCACATGGAGGGTGGGGCAATTATCTGATAATCGGCAAAAGTGGTCGTGCGTTATCTGATAAGATTTCGCCAAGCAGGCTGATTAGATCTCCTAGCGCAAACCATGGGGACGACTCACCATTCGCCCTTCGGTCAGACTTCCGCACCATTCGCGGAGGCGCAAGATGCAATCAGCCAAGGCTAAGGGAAGTCGCGACCGATGGCCCTAAGGGCGAACGAAGCCTTCCCATAGTGCTTCGGCTACCAGCCCGCCGGCCAGGTGCAAGTCGGTTTGGCGCTGTTCCCGGGACCTGCAGGCTCCCAAATCAGCTCATGACTCCCATCTTCACATGTATGAGAGGCCCTCTCATGCTGCATGCGACTCGGAAACAGCTCTGAGGACCGACGGACAAGGGTGGGAGGGGCGCTGGCTGGATCCGGCATACATCTCGTTGAACAAGCTTCGGAGGTTTCCACACCCATACGAGATCGGGAATCTGAGATGGACGGGTAGAAGCAATTCTCCATTCTCATTGGCTTCCGCTCCTTAGGACTCTGGTTGACCCAGACCGTTCCCGGGCTCGCCATCTGTTGCTGCGCGTCATAGCCAGGTGTGTCACGAAATACATTTCGTCTACATCGCGAAAGACTTGGCACAGATCTACGGCGCGTAGCCTTTCTCTTTCGGGTCGAGTTTTCCGGGATTCTTCCCCTCGCGAAGCTGCTCCCCATGCTACATATAAGGCGCTCTCATTGGTCTCAGATTACGCAGGGATTTCCTCCTCCTCCCTTTGTCCTCGCAGGAGCTTCCATCCCTCAGCCTCCGGTCTAGTCTTCGTCTTCCCGTCTTACGCCATGCTTGACGGTGCTGCCTCTGCTTCCGCTACTACTACTTCCGCGTCACACAGTAGCACAGCTTCGTCTTCTGGCGGTGGTAGCGGTCAAAAAACTGTTTCACCTGACAAGGCTCTGAGGCTCGCCAGAGCCAAGGGTTACCCGAGGGAGGTCTGGTATTTTGTCGCCTGCTTCATCTTTCTGGTATCGCTTTTCCAATTCGGTTCATGGGTTGTGAACAAGCTCTCGAAACGGAGGGCGCGGAAGACGGATACAGAGGCTGGTGCCGATACTTCGAGGGGCCGTTTCTCTGTGCGGAACATCCCCGTCGCTATGGTCAACGCGTACAGGGTGATCGCTTTCCGTTTAACCCTCAACATCGGTAGCTCGTACACGCTCAATATGGCTGAGGTATTTGTATCGTGTGCCTATTTCGCCGCACTTTTCATTTGGGAGTTCATCAACAGTGAGTCGTGCTTCCCGGCGTGGTAAGGCTCTCGTTCACTGATCTCCTTTCAGCCACGGATCTCGAAGGGATGAAATGCGACCTCTCCTACTGGGGCAATAGGGCCGCAACCATCGCTTCGGCTCAGCTACCTTTGGTCACCGCCCTCGGGACCAAGAACAATGCTGTATCTTGTGGGTAATGGAGTCGCTTGTGATGACCTTGCTTGACCAATGAATCTTCGTAGACATTACGGGTATCAGTTATGACAAGGTATGGCACATAAGTTCATACAAAGTATTCTGGCTAAAGAACGTCGCAGCTCAACTATGTACATCGCATGACAGCGCGGGTTATCTGCGCGCTGTTATGGGTGCACGCCGGCAACAAAGTAAGTGCTGTACCATTAGCTTCCAACAAATGTAATTAACGATCAATTACAAGTTATATGAGTAGGTCAATTTGTACGCACGCTTGGGAAACCGCTGTTGAGGAGACAATTCTCTTACGTAGCCTTAACTGGGATCGCCAGCCGTCGTACTTCATCCCGGCTGGCTTAGCGGCTATAATAGCCCTCACCGTCTTGTGCATCTTGTCTATTCGCCCTGTGCGAAACAATGCCTACGAGTTCTTCTTCGTAACCCACTTCCTCATGATCGGGTGAGTCTCTTGCGTCAGTCCGTCCTTCAGCATGATGTACTCAGGTCATGTTCAGGGTTTTTCTCATCGGAGGCTACTTCCACGCTGACGTCGAGGAGCTCGGGGCGTACATCTGGCCGTCGTTCCTTGTCTGGGCGCTCGATCGATTCATCAGGGTCGTACGCGTCATCTGGGCCAACCACCTCTACTTCTCGTGGTCGGGCAAGCGGGCGCACCTCGACGCGGATGTCGAGCTTCTGTCCCCTCACTTCCTCCGCGTGCGAATCGCGCGGCCGGCGCACTTCCACTGGAGCCCCGCTCAAACGGCGTATTTGGTCATGCCCACGGTCTCGCGGTTGCCGACGGAGTCCCATCCGTTTACGATCGCCAGTATTGAGGGCCAGGATACGAAGGTGCTGGGCGAGGACGCGCCGTACTGGAACGAGCTGGTGTTCTTGATCAACGTTCGCGATGGATTCACTAAGCGCCTCGCCAAGGTGGCTGAGACGGGGAAGAAGGTCAAGGTGCTTCTTGAGGGCCATACGGCTTCACTCCGGATTTGACTAACGACGATACGGTCGTCCTCGTCTCTGGTGAGTCGCGCACTGTACCCACTACTGGGCGCTGTCAATGTTTATGCCCGACAACTAGGTGGCTCCGGCGTGACATTCACGCTACCGACTCTGCTGGGTATCGTAAAGTACGTAACGTATCACCCGCGTGCATATTTTCACTCAATCGTGTCATCGTAGCGATGTCCGTGCTGGCAAAAGCAGGTGTACTAAGGTCGTATTCATCTGGGCTATCCGTGATCAGAGTACGCCTCTTCTTCCTGTGTCCGTTGATATCACTCACCCTCCGCTACAGGCCACTCCGAATGGATCTCCAAGGCATTGAAGCAGGTGTTGGAGCTCACCCCACCGTCCCTCAAAATCTTCATTCAAATCTACGTGACTGCAGGCGAGCCCCCAGTGACGAGCGAGAAGGCGTATGACGACGACTCGGTCCACAACAGCTCCGGTAGTGAGGACAAGGGTACGCCTGCCGCGTCTCTCTCCGACTTCACTGCGGTCTCGTTCAACACGGGCCGCCCGGATCTGCGTGCTATCCTCCGCGACGAGGTTGCGGTCACTACGGGCCGCATGTCTGTCACAGGTGCGCTCGCGCTGCCCCGGCACTTCTACAAGAGCTGTGAACTCACTCTACGCGTCGTGTAGTGTGCGGTTCTCAGGCCATTGCTCGCGATTGTCGTGCCGCGCTACGGTTCCCAGTCTCTGGCCCCTCGGAGACGTTGAAGGGCGGAGCGGATGTGATCCTTCATGTCGAGTCGTTCGGCTACGCTTAAGCACTGTGGACATCAGACGATTCTCCGGCTCACGAATAGATAGGGAGGCAGCACTCAAATTTCCGGCGCGTAAGTTTCTGGGATGCCCGTTCTGCTCACGTTCACAACGATAGAGGACGAACGTCGTGCTGTAATTGCTTTCTTGTAGCATGAGTAGCAAACGATTGTAGCGAAGTAGTGTGTACATTGATCTAGAAAGCAGTCAATAAAACGCATACTCGATGTATCATCCAACGCTCTGTTCTCACCCGCTCGATTTGGGGTGGCAGTAGGTAAGCTGGCATCATCATGGTCATTCCTTAGCTACAACTGAACTGTCCTCTGCCTATGTTTTTGCCGACAGCTCAACGACTGTACTCGAGATAACCAACCAGAAGAATTTGAGAAGAATGCATTAATGTTGTCCAAACCACTCAATTATCGCGTAGTGGGTCATCGTGCTTTCAAGGAGCATTCTTCCGCTTCATCTCACGAGTCATAAGCAGTGGAAATACATTGTACAGCTGGGGGCAGGTTCGAGGTGAGTATAATTGTGATTGGCTGGCGTTCGACTGGCGTCTAAAAGAAGCAGGAGTCGGCCTCATCTGAGATTCCCATAATGGGAGTTCCTCCGGGCGGATCATGGGATCGGCGGGCTGTGGCTGCTCCGGCTGCCTTCCAAAATTCAACATCGCTGCCACGCGCTGCAAGCCACCTGCAATCCAAGGGATCCTATGAAGCCGGGACGTTCGCATTGCAGACACCGCAAGTTATGGAGTCCATCTCGTACGGAATCACAACGTTAGAGACACATTCTGTCTTGTGTTTGTCGTCTTCACTGACTACACCGGCCATAGCTTCGGTGATCACGATAACACAGTGGCACATAGGTCCACTGACCAAGGCACCGGCTAAAACTGTACCGGGCTGCTCAGTCGTTTTCATGCGGTACCGACACATCTCTGTGGCTGAAGCAGCTCTTCCTCACGGACACTTCCTGATGTTGTGGACCCAGAAACGAACGGAAAGGACTCGGATTCGTCGCTCTGTGGACTGAGAGTGCTCTTTACAGGTGTGGACCCAACCCAGACAAGTGCAGACTCGGTCAATACCCCTTTGCAAGGTCCGGAGTGCCGCGCCGGCTATTACGACCTGGACCACGATTATACACCCTTGCATCCGATGCCGGGCCATGCTGATTAGCTTTCTGTGAGTCTGCACGGCGGGTTGGAGACGGCCGCTGTCATTTTGGAATATGACAGCCCGGCTATAAAGGCCCACAGGAAATCGCGGGGTCGCCCCGCCGCCGTGCATCCCCGCCCCTGCTCGCCGCGCAGTTCGCATTAAGACCATGTCCCGAGTCTTGACGCCGACTTCATCGACCAGCACGTTTTGCGAGCCTGCTGCCCCTCGCCCTAATTGGGTGGAGGAGGAGGCCCGACGGGAGGAACGGCGCGCAGAGCAGTATGGTGGCGATGTCCCTGAGGATCCTGCGCCCAAGACCGCCCCATATGTGCCTTCCGTCCATGATGAGAAAGTGGACCCGAACCGAGTAGACTGGGACGGCCCTGACGATCCCGAAAATCCGCAGAACTGGTCGGCCGCACGGAAGTGGGTCATCACTATGCTCGGCCTTGTAATGACGATCAACGTGTATGTTTGCCCTTTGCTGCCCTTCGTGACGAAGCACTCACCAACCGCTGTCAATGGAACAGTACATTTGCGTCTTCCGCACCGTCGTCCGCAGGTCCGACAATCGCAGCCTACTTCAACAAACCGACGGAGTACGCCTACCTCGTCACCTCGGTCTTCCTCTGCGGCTACGTGATCGGGCCTCTGTTCTGGGGCCCCGGCTCCGAGCTGCTAGGCCGCAAGCCGATCTTTCTGCTCACCCTCGGTGCCTACACCATTCTCCACCTCGGGCAAGCGCTAGCTACCAACGTAGAGACTCTCCTCGCTACACGGTTCCTGGGAGGGTTCTTCGCCGTCGCGCCGCTGACGAACTGCGGCGGGCTCATGTTCGACATCTGGGACCCGATTCGACGAGGCCTTGCCACGGCTTTGTTCGTCGCAGGCGTGTTCATCGGACCCGTTCTCGGGCCTATTGTCGGAGGCTTGTGAGTTAACTAATAATATCTACTTCACGATGCGCTATACTAACGAAAGCGTCAGTTTGACGACGAGTTACCTGGGCTGGAGATGGATCTTCTGGGTTATGATGATTTTCGCTGGCGCCTGTACCATCGTCGCCGCGATTTGGGTCCCGGAAACCTATGCCCCAGTGCTGCTGGCGAAGAAGGTACGAGACATATAGAATCGGGTGTCTGGGCCCATTATTAACGGCTGATTTTGTAGGCTCGTCGCCTGAGGAAGGCGGATCCTGTGAAGAATGCCGACCTGTACGCGGAACACGAGCGGGCGGACTGGACGCTCAAGGGCGTCCTCCACCGTACCCTCTACCGGCCCATCAAGATGCTCGCCATCGAGCCCATCCTGCTGCTCGTCACCCTCTACCTCTCACTTGTGTACGGCGTCCTGTATGCACGTACGTCTCTGCCTTTATTCCTCCGCCTCTAACCCTCACCGCGCTCCTCCCCCGCAGTCTTCGAGGCGGTCCCCATCATCTTCATCAGCACGCGGCACTTCAACGTCGGCGAGTCCGGGCTGATCTTCATCGGCGTCGGGATCGGGACGACGATCGGCGCGGCGTCGTTCCTCCCGCTGAACGCGCACTACCCGCGGCTCATGAAGGAGTGGCGCGGGTTCCCGCCGCCGGAGCAGCGGCTGTTCGGCGCGATGATCGGCGGGACGAGCCTCGTCGTCGGGTGCTTCTGGCTCGGGTGGACGGGCAACTACGCCGGCGTGCCGTGGTACGTGCCCGCGCTGGGGACGATCCCCATCGGCGCGAGCGTCAGCATGGTCTTCATCTCGTTCTTTGTGAGTTCGTCGGCTGCGTGGGGAGGGCGTTGTCTCACGTTTATTTGAATGCAGACCTACCTGGTGGACACATACTTGGGCTACACCGCGTCGGCGCTTGCTGCGAGCACCATGGTGCGCTCCGCCGTCGGCGCCGCCTTCCCGCTCTTCACGACGCAGATGTTTGAGAACGTGAGTGGTCTGAGCTTTTTCGTGCAAATCGTGCGGTCGCTGACGTAGGCGAACCCGCCACGCTCGCAGCTTGGCACCAATTGGGCGTGCACGCTCATCGGCTTGCTCGGCCTTCTCCTCGCGCCGAGCCCTTTCCTGTTCTACAAATACGGCGCCTTCATCAGGTCTAAGAGCAAGTTCTCCCCGTCTCCGGTGAGTTTTCCTGTACCCACGACGATGATCCCTCACGAGACGAACTTACTTCTCGTACCAGGATCTGCTCATCGCCAAAGAGCTGGAAGCAGCGGCTCGAGGAAAGGAGAAGCAGGACGTGTAGATTGGCGCAGCACGGAACGAGACCATCTGGACATTTGTATCGACCACATCACTTGCATGACCATTTCCACGCAGAACGTAATGCATTCCTGGCATGGTAGATAGTATCCTGTAGCATCATCCTCTCGTTCTTTCAAAGATTACTTAGACTGCGCATCTAGACTAGACTCCGCTTTACATCCCTGGTAGTAGAATTGGATCCATACGAGGTTCTCGTAATTCAATGTAGTGCCCGTTGATCTTTCACGTGCATGCCGCGCCATGCTCATCAAATTCTGCCCCTTTGTGGGTCCAGTGGGCAGAGAAATCAGGCGGAGTAGGCGCAGCCCCAGACAGTCGGATGATGGTCCAACCGTGCATTGCTCAGCGCAATGACGAGGGCACATCGGACGACGATGTCGCCATCTCGCCTCGCCGCCTACGCCGGTCCACCGGGCGCCAAGCGCGCTTGTTAATGAGCACACGTGACCGTGTCAGACCCGTCGTCGGACGTCGTCCCACGCGTCTCGTGCGGTCGGCCATAACCTGCGCATGCATCGCCGTACGTCCGCGTTCGAGACGTCGGCGGAAGCGGTCCTGCAGACGAGCTGCGCACCCCAGTCACGCATCGAAGCGCGATGGTGCGATTCTCCCTGCTTACGAGGCAGTCACGGTCTTTCCACGGTCCCAATCAGAGCGTATCGCCCGCCCGTCTGTGGGTGCCCGGGACGAGGACGCAGGCGCGACACAGGGCGATAGCACGAGCGGATTGATTATCTCGCCGCCCAGCTCGTCAGAACCGCAGAACCAGATGGTGCGTCGTATGTTGCCCTGGTGTCGGAAGCCATGACCGCTGCGTGATTGCTTTCTTCCCCAAACCTTGACAGCCCTTTACTAACCTTCGGGACCCATCACATGACCGTACATCGAACGCCTTAAAACGCCCCCTTAGGACCGAGGCAAGTCGCATCACCCTTTCTCATCCATCGCCCGTGCTCAGCCGCCTCGCACCGCACCTCTGCATCACCCGCAATGGCCCCCACGATCAAGGCAGGCGACGCCGTCCCCTCGGGCACGTTCTCGTACATCGCGTACACCCCCGAGCTCGATGACGCCTCCGCCTGTGGTATCCGTGAGTACTCCGTTGTCACGTCGTGCCGTCTTCGACTGCTAAACCGTCCCCCCGCTCACAGCCACCAAGCTCTCGACCGACGACTGGAAGGGCAAGAAGGTCGTGATCTTCTCCGTCCCCGGCGCCTTTACCGTCAGTGCTGTCCCCCGCATCCCCCGCAGTCCCACTGACCGGTCCCACAGCCGACATGCCATGTGAACCACCTCCCGCCCTACCTCGAGAAGTACGACCAGTTCAAGGCGAAGGGCGTCGATGTCATCGCCGTCGTCGCGGCGAACGACCCGTTCGTCATGAGCGGCTGGGCGCGTGCCGTGGGCCTCAAGGACAAGGTACTCACCACCACACCTCCGATCCTCACCTGTGCCGTCTTGGCTGACGTCCGGAACCCAGATCCTTGCCCTCTCGGACGCAGATGCCAAGTGGTCCAAATCGATCGGTCTCGACAAGGATCTCTCGGCCATTGGCTTCGGCATCCGGACTGACCGCTACGCAGTCATCCTCGACGACCTCAAGGTGAAGTACGTCGAGGTGAGTGTCCATTTCGAGTGCTCTGCCTTGCGCGCCGTGGCTGATCCGTTTGCCCCAGGTCGAGCCTGGATCGGAGGTCACCGTCTCCGGTGCCGACGCCGTTCTGGCTGCTCTGTGATGCACGGGTGCCTTGTCAGTGTGAAGCAACAACCGATGTATGAACCATATAAATAAAGGCTTAGACGATAGAATGTTCAATGTATAATACCCTCATCAAACGTTGACTTAGCAGCACCTGCGCGCACGGTGCATTTTTGATCTTCATGTCAAAAGGTTTGTAATGTGGATCTCGTTATGCATACAAAGAGAGATGGGGCTGACTAGGTATTCGATTCATGACGACTGTAGATCACTGGACTCATACGATGCTTGTTCGTGAGCAGGACGGTTAACTGCCTCCAAAACCTACTTCCTATGATGTCACTGCTGGAGGGAATATTAATGTACTTCGATCACCTAGGGTGAGGAATGCCATCTGTACACCGGTACACTACACTGTTCGAACAACTAGGACGGGAATTCGCCTATTGCCCGCCATCTAATGAATAAGGCTGACCTTCCCGGGTATCACCACGGTCTGGAATCAAACTTGCGCATCGCGGGCGAGCCTGTACAACCTGCGTACCCTCGTCCCGTTGCTATTCTGTCCCACCTATCCTTTGCTCTCACCGTGGTCTCATACACATACAAGATGCCCCAGACGCCCAAAGTGCAGCGATTCCTGTCGCACATCCTCAAACCGCTCCCCCAGCTCCTGCGCAAGCGCCGCCGGCACGAATACGACGCGGCGGCCGCTCCGCAGATGCAGGACCTGCCCCTCCCGCGCCCCGCATGCGTGGCCCTGCAGAACGAGGACCAGGAGGAGGACGCGGTGGTCATCACGGCGCTGACCGTCGTGCCCTTCTGCTGCCACGCGGACCTGCTCACCATGGACCGCCTCGAGCTCGCGCTCGTCGCGCACACGCTCAACGCGAAGCTGCCGCGCGCCCTGCAGATCGACATCAGGCCGACGCGCCCGGACGCGTACATCCGCAACGAGATCGAGCGCCTCGTCGGGATCCGCACGGACGACGGCACCCCCGAGACGCCGAAGCCCGTCAAGTCTCTGCCGGCGTACGCCAGAGCTGGGGGGAGGCTGGAGAGCCCGGTCTCGCCGCTGGCTAACAGGGCGGATACGTCTACGACGAACGCGGCGCTGGATGCTCTCCAAGAGGTGGACGAGGACGTCGCCATCGAGCCGCTGCACAAGAAGCGTCGCTTCGACCCCGAGGCGTTCTTCCGCGAGAGCCCTGCACGTCCTCCGGCGCGTGCGATGATGCGCTCCCAGTCCGACAACGTCGTGGCTGCCCGCTCTTATGCACGTGCCAAGCCGAAGGTCCTCAGAGCCCAGAGCCAGAGGATCCCCAAGCCCGTGCTGCAGGGCATCCACCCGAACATTAATATCGCCCGTGGACGTACTGGGTCTCGCACCGTGCTGAGTGGCCGGCCTATAAACGTCTTCACGACGTCGACTCCGAAGAGGCGCAGGCTGATGCACGACTCGGAGGCCGCGGAGGACAGTCTTACAGCCAAGCTGCCCACTCCCGGACCCAAGGCGATCAAACCTGCGGTGGTCGCGCCCGTGCATGGTCGTCACGCCGGTGTGGCTCGGGTGCTGAAGAGGAAACTCAGCGAGCTTTCTATGGATGAGACGGAGGTCACATTCGGCATCGAGGGCATGACAATACCTGCGATGCATTCGCGCATGGAGGTAGATGTGGATGTTTAGGAGGTGTTTCGTGCGGCATCGAACTGTTTTGAGTTTTCAGCCTTCGAGTTACCATGCCAGTGTTACGAACTTGAACCGTACTCTTAGCTGCACAGTCAATAATGCAATGTGGATCCCATGTTATGTATACCATCGTACGCACCAGTGCAATGTATGTAGCCTCCTGGAACTGATGCAGAATTAGAAGGGGAGGCTCGCAGTACATACGTGTACAGGCTGTAGCGATCACGTGCCTTCGAACATACACGCGCGGTGTGGCAAACGGTGAGATCTTGAGATCTTGAGACCTTCGACTCTGTCCAGCTCGTCCTCGTCAACCATCATATATCCACGGAGAACAGGCTCCCTACTGCTATTCGGAAAGGCTTGACGGCGATTTGCACGACGAACGCACAGCATGTCGAATGGCGCTGCAAGACCGTCCACGCCCATGCGTGCCATTACTTCTACCCTCTCAACACGATCCGCTCCGGCAGTACCCCCAGCAACGCAGACTTACGAACCACTTGTAAAAGGCGTGCTACGGCACCGCTTGCTGTACAACATTCTTGCACCCTCTCTATTGTACTCTTGGGCCCTCGCCAACGTCTGGTCAAATTGGAGCCAAGGCGGTTTCGCGCATCTAGGACTCTGGGGATCGCTGGTCGACTGTATATCACCGTTGACGTTGACGCAAGCCGCTTTTATCTGGCTATTGGGGGTGGTGCCGGCTTTGGTCGTTCGGAATAGGTTTCTCACAGGTGAGCCTGAATTTGTTTTCGTGTGGCTCATGTGGCGGGAGGGGAGGATCGTTTCCTCGCGCTTTTCTTCCACCATGAGGGGGGTCATGCACATTCGGGATTTGTCTTGGTGTCCCGACGCCCCAATCCCGGATGTTGCGTGGCCCGACTTCAGCGAGGCGTCATCTTGGTACTCCGTGCGCCGGTGCAAAGCACACTGGGGCTGTCTATGGTTGTGTGCATTACTGTCAAGCCTTCAGGATGCTCCCCAGCCTTGCATTACACGTCTTGAAGCTTTGGTGACCCCGTGTGGCACGCAGGCTTCAGCCGGGGTAAAGAGTAGTGAGCTGGACAGCAACGCCCGCACTTCCATACTTCCTGATTGTGCTTGTGTATGGGCTTCGTATCATGATTGGTGGCATTCTAGAGGTGGCGGCCAACAAGAACGTATCTCTTCTTGCTCGTCCAAGTCAGTATATGCCAAACTCATCATTTCTCAGCAACATCAACACCAGCCTCATCTCCATCCAAAATGCTCAGTGCTGCTCTCACGAAGCGGAGTACAACATACGCTCTGGCAACGTATCTCGTCTCCGGAGTATCGCTCGTCGCCATGCACATGCTTCTTGCGAACTTTTACGAACCGACCCCGAGTGGCCACCCACGATTCTCATTGTTTGTGAAGTCACGGTACGTGCCACAGAAGGGATTGTCAGTGCAACAGCTCACTGGTCAGCTAGAAAACACCCATTTTATGTGAACGGACGCGTCCTCTATATGTTGTTCTCCCAGATCACGTTAGCGTTCACGTACCTCTTGCGCACGGTACTGCTGGATCGATTTGCCGTCCGTTGGACACAGATCCCCGCAGAGGTATGGTCTCCATATCTGCTTATTCTACTTCCATTGCTCAGGTCACTCCGCAGTCAGACGCGCCAGAGAAGTACCCGTTCCGCCTCGCAAGAGTAGTAACCACGCTCATCACCATCGGGCTGTTCGTCGGCCTCTCGACCATCGGATACACCGTCCTCTTCGGGCTTGTGCGATCGATAGCATTGCCTCTCGTCTATGCTCTGCCATACGCTTCCCAGTTTATCCGGCCTTTCACTGCGCACTTCCTGAGAGGGCCGTGGACAATCACGCTACTCGTCCGCAACTGGTCACTCGTGTGGCGGACATTCTTCGTCGGCGTGACCACCGCTGCATGTTGGGAGTTTGCAGAGAGCCCGTTGGACGAGGTATGTCGACCATCTTTCCTTTCGCTTGAGGCTTCTCTTACTGACCTACGACAGACTGTCACCGTGGCGCAGGCCACGGCGGACCCGGCGCTTACGCTCGTCTCGGGCATCACCTCCACAGACGGCTTCTTCAAGCAGTTTGCCTACGCAGAATTGAACCACTTTGCCAGTGAGGACTCACCGGCTGCGGGTGCACGCCGCTCGGCATTATTCGCGGATCAGAAATACAACCCGAATTTGTGGACGTGCCTCTGCCGCGAATCGCTCCTGACGCTTGGAAAGGACTACCAACTCTTCTTGCGGAAAGGAGAGGCGGCGCCTGCAGGTAAGGCGCCACTCTCTCTTTACTCACCGTGACACTGATCCGTCCCATCTTCAGCAGCAGCGGCGCCTGCGCCACCCAAGCCCGCCACACCACTCCCCGCCAAGGCGACCCAGCTCATCCGCGCACCCATCCTCAAAGGCTCGCCCACCTCCCCGCTGCGCGCCGCGCTCGACACGCTCGCGTCCGACGGCCCGCTCTCCACCGCCGTCGCGACGACCGCGGACGACGCCGCTTCACACATCCCCGAGCTCTTCCGCTCCGTCATGCACGCGAGCCCGTCCGCGGAGCGCGCAGTTGAGGCCGTGCAGAAGAGCGAGGAGCGTGTCGTCGGCCTGCTTGAGGAGACGCGGGGCAGGTGGCAGGAGGGCTTGGGCGCCGTCGTGAAGAGCCGTGCGCCGCAGCCGGTGCTCGCGCTCGCGGGGGACGTGGGCCATTGGTGGACGAGGGAGCGGGTGAACCGTAAGGTGGAGATGTCCTTGCCGAACAGGAGGCTGGATGCCCTTGTCATCAGTGGTGAGTATGCGTTCTGTCGTGGCGGGCCTGTGCTGACTCGGGGTTGACTAGTGCTGTGCCATCTCGTCTGTGCATCGTTGACCGAAGACCGGTATGGCGTCGTCCAGCGAGACATTCCGAAGATCCTCGAGGCACTGCTGTCTTTCCTCAGCGCCATCGAGGAGTACCAGGCCGAGGTCAACAAGCTGCACGTTCCCCTCACAGAAGAAGACATTCAACAGCTGCCTGTGAAAGAGCTCGCGCAGAAGGAGCGTCTCGCGACAGAGGTCGCTAGAGCGGGTGAGGTGTTGGGCGAGGTCGGTGATGGTGGGTCATCCGTTCGAAGGCACCCAAGCCGTGATTGCTGATTGTTGCCTCGCAGCTGTCAAGAGCGGTGTCGGTCAGATCGCGAGGACGTTCGGTGACAAGCTTGCTGCGTTCAAGTTCCCGCCACGAATTGCACAGAAGCTACAGGGTTATGTGGACTACGCATGAACATGAATCGTCAATCGGTAGACTAGTAATCGGTCGTGCTCTCTCACTGGGACAAGGACCACTGTGTAATCAAACCTTCGTTGGAGATCGTTGTATAGATCATTATTGGGCAGGGGCAGGAGATATGCTGTCGTGGACGCCAGGACAAATGATAGCAGACAGTTTCATGATTGCTGTAGTGTTTTGAGAGGTACATGATGCTAACTTACGACGAGAACCGAGTCTTCGTCACGCCCCGGCATTCTTACTCTTCTTCTTTTTCCGCTTCCTCCCACCGGCGTCATCGGTGTTTCCTGTGGGAGTGGTTTTTGTCGCAGGAGCGCCCTCGTCGCGGGGTCTCTTGCCATTTTCGTTCTTCGCGGCTGCTTCTGCGCTCTGCTCCGGCGGAGCGATCGCAGGGAGTGTACCGGTGACTGCCACTACTTCTGTCGAGTCGGTCGCCTGCGCAGGTTGGGGCTCGCCCATGCTTGTGCTTGACTGTGTAGGTGGGACGTTCGGGATCACAATTTTAGGCTCGGAGAGGACCGCACGATACGTCCGACGCGTCTCTGTTCGGTCTGTTAGGAGGGGACAGCTGTGGGTATGGTTCGGTATACGTACGTGCGCGCAAAATGAGCGACTGAGGTATCTTTGTCGCCGCATGGTGGGCAGCATCTGGGGTCAACCCCACGACAGTCATGCTGGTGCCCGTCAGCTATGCTCTCAGCCCTGCAGCGGGAAGAACTCGACTCACAGATTGGAAACGTCCCTCGCGCCGCGCAGATCTGCATCGTTCACAACGCCCCCGCTGACGAGCACACCCTTTCCCTTTGTCACCCTAACCACCTCGCGCGCGTTGGCCCACCAGTTCCTCTTCGCGCCTGCCCCGCCCTCGCCCAGCCCGCTGCCAACATCCGCTTCCGCGCCGAGGGCACCTCCATACGATAGCTCGAAGACTGCGCCGTTCTTGAGCGCTGTGCGAATGAGCGTGTGCTTGAGACGGAATGGGAGGCGCGGGAGGGAGAGCGGAAGGGCGATGACGTGCGTGGTAAGGGGCGACGGGAGGGTGTGCGTGAGACAGGCGAGAGAGAGGCTGCCTTGAGTTGTCGGCAGGAGAGAGAGAATGTCGTAGGAGGTTACGAGGGGCGTGTTCTGGGTCGTCTGGATGCGTACAGAGTCAGACAGACGGCAACCAAAGGTTGGCGTATGAACAGACCAGCCCAAAGCCCTTCTCGCTCTCCTCATCAAGCACAATTGTGAGTCGCTTGAGCAGCACCAGGCCAGACCGCTTCCTCAGCTGGGAGAGCAACGGATCCAGGACATTGACATGACTCTTCGGATCGAGTTTCGTCTGTATTGTCTGGTTCAAAGCCAAGACGGTGTATCCTACTGCCCACGACCCATTAGACACTCTTCCGGAGAGATACGTAGTACTGACAATGAACCAGTAGATCAATACGGTTCTCAAGGGCGGATATTTGCCCTGCCGCGAAGGTCACCGTCGCTGGAACTGCGGGTTGTTTCCCCTTCCCCTTCTTCGACTGCGACTGGCCTTGTTGCGGTTGCGAGGAGAATTGAGGGGCTGGCACATTCAGATCAATGAACATGGCTGAATTGTGTTTAGCAGAGTTGCGCGAGAAATCAATGCTCGGACAGCCTGCGCGGATGGGGTGCACCAATGAATCAACAACGGAGCGTTCAAGTTGAAATAATCAATATTCTACCTTTAAATAAGCAAATATCGATTCATTCGTAAGTAAGTACATACTTACAGGTAACAAAGTTTGACATCAGTGTACTGGCTAAGTGGCTTCACGACGTTCACGTCCTCCTCCTCACTGGCATACAACACGATGGCCCGGGATGCTTGATTTCGTGAGTACATTTCCTAGCTACACATTCAGTGCGAAGTGCTCACTGTGCTTATCCGCATAGAACTGGGAGGATTTGGGTCACAGCAATAGTTGACCGACTCGGAATGACCTATGTAACACGAGCCACCCTGGACACAGGCAATAGCTCTTGCTCTCCGCCATTGTCTCGTAAGCCCGTCACTTCGATGATATGTACGGTGTTTCTGATACTCGTTTACTCTGAATTGCAATTGGCACTGTACCAAGCCAGATCCAAGACGCTGAGGGCCGACCCGGCTTATTGTTTCGCTGTCGAAGAAGCGGCGCTAAACATGCCAGGCTGGACGCTCGTACGTATACGTCCTACATGCACAAAAAGCCTCCAACGTTGGCACATCCTCTCCATTCTTGAGCGCCGCTTGGTTCTCATGCTTTTGTCACACCATTGCCTCGCGGACTGTGCCGTACCATGTCGATCGCGACGGAAGCTGTAGGTGTCGCCTCACCCCGGATCCGAACTTCCGTATGCGTCTTTTTGTCCCCAGGGTCTAGCTGTGTATATGATAGCGACAGCGTCGTCAAGCTGCTCGACAGACCCCAGAGGTCCTCCCACTGTCCAGCAACCGCAAAGGGACGCTGCTCACGTCCTACTCTAACGTTACCCTATCACCTGTACCTAATTAATCACAATGTCTCAAGCTGTCGTCCGCTTTCCGCCTCCTCCGCCTACATCCAATAACCTGTCGTCAAAGCAGCGAACACAGCTGATGCGATCCAGCAAGAAACTGGGCCAGGTGCTCGGGAGCACACCGCATGTGCTGGATTGGGCCAGTTCTTCTGGTGAGCGCACAAGTCCTCCGTGGCCTCGTAACCTATTAACTGGGTTAGCGACCTTGCATATCGAGCCTCAACCGCGGACATCCGATGAGCAACCACACTCTGCGCCGCTCAGGCATAGGCGAATCAAGTCCTCGCCACACGCTGCTCGGGGGCACGATGCACGTCAGTCGTCTCGGCCAAGCACAGCCGACTCTTCCCGCTCCCAGATGTCCACCATAAATCCCACTACGTCCTCTTCGACCCGGGGCGAGCAAGCATGGCGGACACCGTACGATCCGCTGCATCGCCCGCCGCTCCTGAAGCTTTCGCCGCCCAGCCGATCCGGCCACAGCGAGAGGAGGCGATCCACCTACAGTGACTGCGACACGGAGGCCAGCGTCCCCGACTCGCCGACCGCCCCGAGCTTCGCCATCCCGTCCGAAGCAGCGATCCGCCGCGCGAAGATGCAGCGGCTGACGCGCAAACTCGGGGACGGCGTCCCACCGGAGCTCGTCTTCCCCTCCGCCGCGAGACTAGAGCCCGACTCCGAGGCAGAGGACGACAGTCCCCTCCTCGAGACGCCAGCCGCGGACAAGAAGCTCCCCTTCTCGCAGGTGCTGCCCACCATACCCGAGAGGCGCCCGACCACCGCGAGCTCCCAGAGCCACGACGAGGTGATCGCGCAGCCCGTGCAGGGGCCGCGCAAGGCGGGAGACCGCCGCTCGTACCGCGATGCAGTCTATGTAATCGACAGCCCGGATGAGCATGGGTTGGACGACGGCTGGGGCGTCGTGTGCATCGGCGACCCGACGAAATACAAGAAGGCAGATCGTCACACGGAACCGTCGTCGAAACGCGAGAAGGCGGGGGACGTGGTCTGTCTCGGTGTCGCAGCGAGTGCAGGGCCGTTTGGAGAGGGCCGTAGTGGCCGTTGGGTGAAGGGCGATGTGGCATTCGATCGCATCGCTGCTCCAGGATGGCATGGAGGCGGCTGGTGATGAACATCGACGGTGGTCGTGTTTTTGGATTGGAAAAGACTAGTTGAAAGAAGCGGCTGGACCGTGTCTCTCCGTGGTATGCTTTCGTGCTATTCGCTTTATGTATCACTTACATCTACAGGCGCATAAACCACCCATGTACTACTTATGCGTCTGCTACCATGTATTGCTAGTCCGTCAGCATTATTTCTGTGCGTCTGCTATTCGGAACGTATACGCGGATTTGCATCAACAAGGTGAGTCATGTGCACCGTTATGAGCTGATAGGTCCCGCGATGATAATACCGATGCGTTGTCTTCCTCAGGTGCGTGATGGGAGGCTCTTGAAGGCCTTGGAATTGCGCATGAGACTGACGGCGTGTGCTGTCTACTGCGAGATTGGGCGCGTCTTAGCTTCCCTCCCCGCCTGGGCAAAGGAGGTACCGGACTCCAAGATCACGATGAGATGCGCGCCCGGACGGTCCATACGACAACGTCGAGCACAACCCCTGCCCCGGAGAACTACGCTACCCTACAGTAAGGCACAACACCACACAGCAGACAAGACCGTGCAACCCAAGTAAGCCGACGTCCCGTCACAACGGTATTTCTGTAGGCGATGGCGTTGCCTGGATCGCCTACCAAGAGCAGCCACCTGCGTGCGTCGTGGAACAACCGCGACAGCTCTTCGCCAAATGGTGGGGCTACCTGGCCGGCCGTGGGCGGGGGTCCGGGATGGTGGAGAGGAAGAGAAGTGCGACAACGGCTCTAGGCAAGCAAGCAGGCTTCTTATACGAGCGAGGCTGACCACGCAGGATACACCAGCCCCCGGATTTCGCCCTAGCTTGAACTCGAACCATGTCAGCCTCGCTGTCCGGACTGTCGCGGCGTGGCCTTCGCGATCGACCATGGCGCTCTCGATCACGCCGGACGAATGGTTTGATTCCCTTCAACACTGTCTTTCGGCTGGGTACCCACTCTAGAGTCGAACACAGGACTTCTCTGTGGGCGTAGACTGCCTAATGGTCCTCCATGGACAAGCTTCTGCAGGCAAACCAGAACCCTCATGTGATGTTGGGTTACATACCGGTCAAAAAGGAGAACTTCGCTTATGCGCTCACCTTCCCGCGCAGATGACACGGCTTACATGCTTGACTCGCGCTTCGAAAGGAGGATACCCCCATTGTCCCGCCTGAATGCCTTGCCGAGTGTATGTTTCGTTGTGCGTTATTTTTACTGACGTCATCGCTGAAGTACTGATCACTGATGTGCGTAAAGACTTGCCGGATGATGCTTCTTGGTCTACAATATGTACTTATTCGAAGCCCAACAGGTACTTTGAGCGTCCGCGTCTATGCACACATGCCACCTCCCCCCTTAGTGGATGCGTTTCCGTAAGGATTTGGACGCGGTTTGATGGCCTTAAACCTCAAATGAGCGTGAAGAAGCGCCCGTGAGACCCGCCGTAAACAGGTTGAGCATGAATATCCTGAAGTCCGACAACTACAATAGGAAGGCGGCCGTGGTGCCGGCAGTGGCGTTAAGATCGAGATGACGGGAAATATATTTTGCCGCAGGCGCGCAAATGTCTAGCTCTGAAACGTCGAGAACGCTGCTCTAACCACGACGATCAAGCAAGGGGGTTGGGACCCCCCTGCTTGATGGGACATTTAGAGTCGGTTCTAGGAGGCTTCACTGTGTGTCGGCATTTGCCGGATTACCTTTTCCGGCGTTGCTGGGTGGTCATGGCGGATGGTTCGTACTGTACTAGGCTCGTTTTCTCGTATGTGTGTCAGAATATCAATCGAAAATTGTCTGATTTAGTGAGTTATATCGAGTGATCATTACAAATGGCTCATCTTTTGGGTAGCTAGCAAGCCGAGTGAGGGCCTACAAAGGCCTGACCTCACGATATCTACGCCGAGCAGTACCAACTTGTGGCATAACACTACCAAGACTGAACGTGTAGTTAGCTTCCGTTAAGTATGTACAACACGAAGTGTGAGTAGCTCTGAAATACCTTGATGATACACGAAGAGCACCACATTGACCTTGCTCGAATATATCAGCGCTCTTGGTAGCTCGTAACCGCCCGTCCGCCCTCACCTGCGTGGCCACTCTCACCTGTACGGCCGCTACCACCTGCCCACCCGTTCGCCCTTGCTCTCTGGCTACTCAGCTCGCCTGCCTGCCTGCTCGCCCACTCGTTCGATGGCCTGGCCTTCTCACCCACTTGCCTTCTCGCCCGCTCGCCCTGGCGCTCTCGCCTACCGCTTGCCCGCCCACACGCTCGCATGCCCTCTTGCCCGCGGCCCCTCTCAGATACCGCTCTCGCCCGTGCTCCCATCCATCCGCTTGGCCGGCCGCCTACCTCACCCGTCACCCACGCGATCGCCTACCTGCCCGCGTACCTGCTTGCCCGGGCTCATACTCTCCCACTTGCCTGTGGGCCCGCGGACCTGCCTTCACGCGCGCGGAACCCATACCCTCGCTGGCCGATGTGCATCCGGGCAGGTAAGGGTGCAGGTCGAGCTCGGGATACCTCCTAGCCCGGTGCCTGGCAGAGTGCAAACAGCTCAAAAACAGCTAAGCAGAGCTTTCACCCCTACCATCGATCCCGCGGATTCCCGCCACAGGTCATGCAACAGGCGCTCAAAACCTTGAGTAATGCTTACGGTGCTAGAGCTCGGAGCGGGGCCTGGCGGAGGCCTTCCGGGAGGCGTATAAGGGGAGCTGGACCTTCATGCATCGTAGAGTAGCCGCCTGGTAGATTACGTAAGCTATATTCCTGCTCGCACGTAACGGTACCGTACTTCGAATCGATGTATACCAGGTCTTTCATCTGCACATTCGTCTCCGTTCTTCTCTCTCTCTTGCGTCCTCCACGGTCCACGGCTGGCTTCGCCACCCCCGGGCTCGTATATAGAGGCACATTTGATCTTCTCTGTTTCTCGCTGATGCCTCCGACGGTCGCCGTAGGCTCCCTTTAGGGACACGTCGACCTCCACCGCAGTCACTGGGCTTGCCCGCTGACTGCGACGCCCTCTCCTCCTCGCGCCTTTCCAGTCCGATCGACGACGTTCCCCGTTCAAAGACGGGAATCGCCCCTCTGTACGCGCGCGAGATTCGCGCTGCTCGACGGGCACCTCGGCAGACCTCTCGTGAGCCATCGAGGCCTCACATGCACACACGGACGTTAGAGTCTGTGCACTGGTTGACCTGTGCAGAGGCAGCGGCGACAACTTGAAGACTTCAAAATGACATCACTCTGATTCAATCGTTGTCAGTCGAGTACCGGTCATTCCTCGTGCGATGAATAATTATATAGGCACAGCACTTACATGCAGTGATTGTGACGTGCGTCCATGCTCTACGCGACAGTTGGCGAAGTCCTCGATGGCTCGAAGTGACTGTATAAGTATTCACAGGTCCTTGTATCATTGCGCACATAGCCTCCCTCTCTTCGTAGTGCGCGGCATACCAGTACGCAAGGGAAGCCACATTAGCAGGTGCAGAATACTTCTAAACGTGCGTTACGGATCTGGAGGAAGGCTCTTAACCATATTCAGGCTCCGCCTGAAGCCGATTAGAGTCAATCAAACGTCCGTAAATCCTTACGGAAACGCATCCAGTTACCCCGAAAAGATCATATCATCCATGGACCCCACAGGTCCTCACTGGCAGGTACATCCCAAAACCACCACCGCCCTGCCTTCCGATCCTCCGCCTCCCCGTCGACCCGGATTTAGCGGTTACGGTCGTAGTCAAAGGGATACCGGAAAGGCAAGGACGTTGCCTAACGTGGTCGGTCGACGAACGCCCATCGAGACAAATAGGAAGTGGCCAGCTCGTAACGCTCTCCCGGGCCGCCGACTCGGGGAAATCGCGCTCCGGGGTCGGCAGAATTGCGACCATCCTGACCCTCCACCGGCACTGGATCACTTGGGCAGTTGAAGGCGGACCCGGGGACTGCGGCACCAATGTGCCAACGTCGTGATCGCTCCTCAGCAATGAAGAGGGTTTAGAGCACACCCGACTTTATCGTTTCCTCCCGGACGCGCCTGCGCCACACCCGTCACTCCGGAACAACCCCATGATTATGGGCAGTGTTGACAGCCCCTACGACTTTGCCCCAGACGACGAAGAAACCTAAAAGTATCCTCCGCAGCGCACGGTATAGTTCGCACCGGGAGTCACGAAGCCAGTCAGGGCGGACTGAATAGGTGATGCAATAAACGGAGCCTCCCACTCCCGACTCATGTAGCCCGCTTCTAATTGAATACACTGCATCCATCCAGCTTCCCTGAACCCTAACTGATGCTTGTACAGGAGGTTCTCCTCACTTCGCTGTCTCTGGAGTAGGTTTGTTCATCCTGTGCACGACAGTTTGTCCCCCGTATGATACACGTGTATGCGCCCGTCTACCTCTTATTCCACGGTAGCCACTGAGGTGAGGATCATCTGCAATCGCCTGTTCAAGTTGCTATTAGATGAATCCGGTGAGTCGACCACTGTTATTACTCCCGCTGATGCCCACACTACAGAACCGCTCACTCCACCCCAGGTCCATTCAGGCCGACAGACAGGCTCACTATTCATATTCAGGTTCTGGCTCCGATATTGAATGTGCTGTCTATTCATGACAATTGATGAACTCTGACTTGAAGTTTGAATAGCTCTAGTGTATCAAGCAGTTCTTGTCTGAACCACCGAATCTGATCCGACCACCCTGGCCCTCCCAGCTCCACATACTGCGGTCGTACCCTCGACGCAAGGTGGTCAGGACGCAATGTCAACAATGATTCCTCAAGCTGCTTGGCAATGTCCACCGCCACCATCTGCCATCCGTGACTATAACATGAGCCCGCGTGGGGCTCGTTCGAGATAACTTTTGGAGTTGACTCGCTACCATGTCAGTCTCGATGAGCGACCGTACCGTGCGTTTGCTGTATGTATCACACTTGTCCCTTTGCAACTTCACTGATCAGTGACGACAACATCCAGCGCTGGGCCTGAGGTGAGAGCGTTCGACGGGCTTGATGTGAAGGACTGCACGTCGAGACTCGCCCATCATGCAGCTCCTCGGATATTTCTTTAATTGGTCACTCCTTGGAGTCCTCAACGTTCAAGTCTGTGAGTAGAACAACGGCGTCTGCGCACACATGCAGCTGAATCCCGTCTTACGCAGATTTATACCACGTCACCTTTCCTCGTGATCCAATTTTCCTGCAATGCCTCGGTACGTCTACGCTATGCGCTGACCGAGCCTGCCCGTGCTGACACCGGTCAGCATTCAGTCTACGGTGTCCTCATATTTGAATGGATCCAAACCGGGCTACTCACCGCAGGGTCCTTCGAGATCTTCGTATACCAATACGGGGACTTCGAGGCGTTGACCAAGATCTATAACGGGTGGTTCTGTCTGCCCGTTATGTGCGCGATGGTGTCGATGGTGGTGCAGTGGTTCTTCGCGTGGCGGATATATCTGTTGTCTAAGATTCGCGTCTTGGTTGGCGTGATCGTCACGGTAAGTGTACTGCGCTAATGTATGTGTACACCTGCAGGCCTGGACTCACCTGTGTTGCAGCTCTCGTTGCTGCAGGGCATATGCGGAATTGTGACCGGAGTGCAGGTTGGTTGATTAGGCTCGTCCGGTGTCCTAGTTGTGAAGTTAACTCCGCTGGCTTTGAAGCTGAAGAACTTAGCGTCTACGGCAGACGTGTTCTCAGACAGCTCCGTCCTCACTGTCATCATCGTGAGCCAGCCTCGTCCTTTGCTAGCCTACAGTGATGCTGAGCATGTCGCAGATCTGGCTTGCAGGTGGTTCATTAGTGGACATCACGATTGCCGTGACAATGACAATATTGGTAGGCCACCTATGCGCCGTGCTCATCGACAGTTATCTGACTCCTAGACGGGCTTCCGACCTAGTAGATGGTCAAGAGGAAGACGGGTATACGAAAGACGGACATGGTGGTCAATAAGATCATTCGCTTGGTAGTCGAGACGGGCACTTTGACAGGTACGGCTCTATTGTGTGTGATAGGATGTATTGACGGCTGTTGCAGCGAGCTTCGCAATATTTGCGATAATCCTGGCTCTGGCGTTTCCGGTATGTCCTTCCTATGAGCGTACTGTGGTCATCGGACTCATATCTCACGTCCCAGGGAACCCTCTATTATGAGCCGGCGTAAGTGTGGATATCACCGCGTATAGTTGGAACTGAGCGATATTTACCGGCGAGAAATACAGTATCCACAGCCTTGCCAAACTGCAAGTCCCCGTGCACTTGCTTGTCAAGCAATGATCTAAGACTCCATTGTTTCGCAGGTATTCGAACACCTTTGTCACAAATCTTCTCAACCGCGCCTTCTTGAATGGCGTCCACCATCCGAATGGAAGCTCGACCCTCGGCCACATCAGTCTAGCACTCACTCCTGCGGCCCCCGACGCGGAGGGTGCCCAAGAAAGCGGCAGTGTCAGCGGGGAACTCGGCGGCGATAGATCGGTGGTGTATCCCATTCAAAAACTTGGAGGCTTCGTGCTGGACAAGCCTTCTGTTTGACGAATGGTGCGTGCCAAGACTCGCTGGATGCATCCTCTGGATACGAGCGGACTTACATATACAGTACTTCCCCTTCAATGACACGTCGCCCAGCCGACTTATCCGTAATATGTATGAGAGGTCTGCGACAATACTGTACTTGCGCCGTACGTACGGGATCATGACTTGAAGTAACCTCAGTGACTGGATATTGGGCCGTTACTGGACGTATACATGCCTTTATGTCTCTACCAGCTGCGACACTGAGGATGCTGAGTACTCCCTGTCCCCCAACTTGGCAACTGGGAAGTTTATGAAGTTAGGCGGAACCAACGTTTTAACCAAGTTTCATTTTTCACACCGAGCAGTGCAAGCGGACTCCGAGTCGGCCGAGTGAGCGGAAATATGAAGGCGCTTATGACTGTAACGCTATCTCTTGGAGCAGCCGGTCTCCTGACTGACTCGGAGGGACTCTCCTCTTCTCCGCCACACACCCACTCTCCCAGCACCGCCTCTAGGTATGGTATATCAATAGGACAAGTTTTAACGGAAGACTACACTTCAGCAAGCACAACCCGCAGCCGCTCGCACGACTGTGCACACCTCTGAAAGCTTGTCGCAAACGACCAATTATCAGACCACAGTACCATCCAATCGCCACGGCTGCTAATTGACTACCAGTACACCCAAATCTACGTATCCAGCATGTTCCGGACGGCAGCAAAGAAGATCGCGCACAACTCGACGCTGCCTGTGCTCGGAGGAAACAAGGACCTCCGTGCGTTACAGGAACTGATCACAGCTGAGAAAGCTGTGCTCAACTCGTATGTTACCTACAGCGATTCCCGACGGTCGTTAATGTAGGGAAACCGCTCACAGACTGCAGAGGCTGAGCGCTGATATTGCGAGAGCGTCGGAGGCGCTGAAGGCATGGGGAATGGGTGAAGGCGACGACTTAGGGGTGAGTCTACAACTCGTCGTGGCAGGTCGTCGTATTGAGGAGCGCGAAGGACACGCTCTCCGCGTCTTGTGCACTCTATTTGCACTTCTCCGATGCGCTGCAAGTCTTCGCAAATCACCACGGTTCTGTACGTGAACAAATGAAGTCAGTGCGCACGCGAGAGGAACGCCTGGACGAGCTTCGACGCCGACGCAAGTCTCTCGCCGCTGAAGCCGAATCCGCCGAGAAGAAGCTCAGCAAGATGGGCCCGGACAGCAAGAACCTGCAGACACAAATGGATCACCTCAACAAGTTGCGAGAAGAGATCCGGATTATGGACACGGACATCATGGCAGAGGAGGCCAGTCTCAGCGATTACAAGCGGTCCACGTCGAAGGCGTGGCTGGGTTACAAGTTCGGAGGGCTCGTGGAATGCTGCGAGAAGGGCATCGTGCGTAGTGTCTCAGTGCCGATAGACGTATTCTGACGCTCTTCAAAGATCATTGCCGATCACGGTAGATTGGTTATTGCAGTATGTCCTGTGTTCATGTTTGAGCTCCTCCGCATCTCATCTCCCTCAGGAAATACCTCTTGACAGGACGGAGCCTGGACTCCCTCGAGCATACTACAACGGCTACAGTAACACGGAGAACCTCGTTACCGATGCGCGTCGTGCGCTCTCGACTGTTAGCTTCTCCCAAGAGCCTAATCTCGGCGGCCTCGTTCGTTCTGCCGATCCATACGACAACTCGGACATAGCATCCCTCCCACCAACACAATATGGATTTGCGCCCACTTCTCAAGCGGGCGACACCAGCCGGCGCACCTCTGTAGTCATGCCCGCTCCCACTGGCGACGCCAGCCTCTCCGACACAGCGTCCACCAACGGCCAAATGCCGCGCTCACCCCTCGCCGGCGGGTATGGCGCTCTCTCGCTCGCGCCCTCCAGCCCGTTCATGGCCCCCAGCAACCAGTCGCTCTCGTATGTTGACATCGCCGCTCCCATGCCGCCCCCCGCAGACACCGGGGAATTCGGGGCCCTCCCGCAGGAGCCGTACTCGCCGCGTATGAGCTCGATGCGTTCGCCTGAGGATCGCGACCGCCTCACGGGTGCGCGGGTCTCGCGCTTCTCCACCGTCCCCGCGCTCGGCGGCCCGCGCCCCCCACGCGACTCGCGGGTGTACGCGTCGTCCCACGCGAACGAACGCCCGCCATCACTCGACGTCCAGCGGCCCCAAGACGACTTCTCGTCGAGCATCGCCCAGGCACTTGAGGACAAATTCAACCCCAAGTCGGGCGCGAATGGCGGTGAGAAGGGGGGCACCCAGGAGAGTAGGCACACGTCGCACTCGTCGCCGCCGCCAATGTACACGTCTGTTGTGGGGCATGCCGGCGAGGACGACGTGCAGCTGGCGTACATGTCTCCGGAGGACGAGGCGGAGACGTCGCCTGAACGGCGGAGCAGGGAGGACAGGAAGGTCAAGTTTGAGCCCTCGGGTGGCTTTGCGGACGACGTGCTGAGTTCCAGCCAGGTGGCGGAGCAGACGGCCCAGGGTGACGGGCGTCGGAGCTTTGAGCAGTCCGAGCGATTGTCATCAAATGCAGGTATGCGAGTACCATCTACAACATCTACAGGCTCTGATCTGGAGACTGCAGCAGTACCTCCAACAAGCAATACCCAGGCACCGGCCTCTTACGTTCTGTCTCCGCCGTCTGCACAAGTGCCGGCACCACCCGTTGATCAGCGAACCCAAGACGCCGACGCAGCGCGGGAGGTCTCGCGGGAGATCGACGCGCTCATGTCAAGCTCCGCTCTGACAAGTACCATCCCGGAGCCGAGCCAACGGACGCCCTCTCCGCTTATTCCGCCTCAGGCACCGTTTGCTCGCCGCACTGTCTCCCCTCGACCTCCGATGGACGCCGCCATTCCGCCTCCCGGCAGCCCACGCGTCAGCACGGGAGGTGGCTCGCAGTTTAGCGGATACACACGCGAACGGGATCGCTCGCTTGCATCGCCAACGAGCTCGCTCGCACAGTCGTCTGCTGAGGATCGGGAGCCCGCGTCCCCAGTGTCGTCTCGATCCCGAGTGAGCGGCGACGGGCCTCCGACAGCCGTACCCGCCATTGCTCTTCAACGTCCATCGCCCTCTCCCTCGTCATTCTCCGTAAACACCAACATGACAGCATACAGGTCGACGCCCCAGTCGGAGTACGCCTCGCCGCTCTCTTCGCCGCTCCCCACGCCGACTGCCCCAGGGTCGTTCTACTCGCTGCCCGCAGCGTCCGCATCAGGCAAGATTTCCGCGGCTGCCTTCAGGAGGCAGGCTCGTAGCCCTAGTATACCCGCAGTGCCCGGTTCCGATGCGCCAAATGTGGACACAGGCCCGCTGATGGTGAAGAAGCGACCGCTGCCCTCGTCGCCGTCAGGAAACACTGCGCCCGGTGCCGTCAGGCAGTCTATACCGCGCGTGCCCTCGGCACCCCTCTCCAGCCGTGACTCGCTCGATGCTGGGGATGGGAGTGGACGCTTCCGTTCGACGTCTGCGGCGCAGGCTTTTGGGGATCGATCGTCGCGTGGTGGTCAAGAAGTCGCGGGGAGTGACGACGATTATGATTACATCTCGGCGTATACTGGGCCGGAGGGACGTGAGTCTGGAGGGTATGAACATGGGAAGTTCGCGACCAATCTCGAAGATGGGAGAATGAGTCTGCGGTAGCGCAGAAGCATAACAAGTGTTCTTTTTAGCAGTGTATCGGCTGCTGCTCGACTGGGCCGGTGTTTCATTCGGTCCACAAATTATTTATGTCCCCATCACTGGAGCCGTTGTCGGACTCCCCAGTTGAGAGTCTGCACATGCCGAAATTGAAGATCGGCTCTCCGTGGCCACAACTTCTGCTTAGCGGCCGGGGACAGCAGCTGGCTGTGCATCATTACGCCCAGCTACAATCATTACACAATCCACATTGTATGGTAAGTACATGCGCGACGATTAAATAGGGCATCACAACAAGAACCACGAAATCCACTCGAGCAACGAGCGACCTCTGTATATGACTGATGAAGGAGTCCTTGCTTGCTGCCGGTCCCGGCGCAGGCATGTCAAGCGAATAAATATGTCGTAACAATCATCGTGCACACCATATGTCCAAGTCGTTCAACGGGGCCGACACCATTGTGCAGCACTCGCCGTCGTACCCGACAAAAGATATGACTGTCAATGATGCGCATGTCAGTTGAGGATGACGAGAACACGGCTGATGTCAACGAGCAGTCTTGCCCGGAGGGATACCTGTGGTTATCATCAGATCATCAGAGAACTACCACACGGGAGCGCGAACCGGGCACGCACCATTGCCAGCCATCTCGACGTCTATTTGCATTGTATCCCGGGCCCAGCTGGTATTGCGGATCGCGCTGCCGGAATTCGTGCGGTCCATGGTACGGTTGAGAAGGTTGGTGATGAACGTGTTGGCGTACCTGCTCACCGCGTCAGTGACTCACAACACACTCACGCTCATTGAGGCACTGGAGTACTCACAACTTGCTCAGGATGTATATGCTGCACAAGAGACCAGACATAATAAGTGATTGTTAAGAGACGCTGCTCTGGGGACTTACACAGGCTCGTAGTACAGCTTTCCCTACAAAGACCATAAGCCATCGTGATTAGATGTGCACGAATATGACACACCGGACATCCCATCGCCAACACGAGGCCGATTATTGCGACGCTGGCTGTGTTTTGGCGTTAGTTACATCCCGCACTAACAGTGTAACGATGCTACCCGTGAGAATGCCGCTTTCGACACCGAAACGGATGACCTTGTTGATCATCATATCCGTCTTCAGCATGCCATTCTTGAGTCTCAACAGCTGTAGATCTGAGGATCAGCCAGCAATCGACGTAACGAACGCCAACAATGAACTGACCAAGATGGTCATTGCCACGGCAATGATAGCGTCAACGAGGGCACTTCCGCCCAAAAAGATCTGCAGTCGGGTAGTGATGAGTATGCTACGCAACCGGATGCCAACCGAACTCACGCAGTCGACTGCCAGTGCCGTTCTCGACAATCCTATCTCACTGGTAGTAGACACATCTCTGAGCTGATGAGTGTCTGACCTCAGCCCTGGCACACCCGGTGATACAGATGGAATGCACTGGCCTGGACACCTGTTACGGTGATGATACCAAAAATAAGCTGGACTATGGAAAACTAGAGCGGTCCACCGTAAATCTCGATTCAGTCGGCGTCAGTCGAGTTGAGCCTGACTTACGAACACGAGAATGCCGCAAAGAATGACAGTCCTGAACAGCTTCCAGATCCGCCACGCAAAGTAGCATTGCACCGGCGTCGAAACCAGCCCACAAAGAAGGGGGAGCGAGAACCATCCGGGGCGATTTGTGCTTGTCAATGCGGCCGGATCGCCATAGTGGTAAACAAAGGAATCAAATGCGTCGACGGTGAGCAGTATTGTCTGAATCCATTCTAAGGCAAGAATGGCGTAGACTGTCGGCAGTGTGTTCAGCGAGGACCTCAGGCCTGACCCAAGGGCAACGCGTCTTACCTAGGACCTGCAAGAAAGTATGATCCTTTTGAAACTTGACATAATACAGATCTATTTGATATTCAAACGACAAGTTCGGGACAATCGTTTGAAGTAGTACTCACAAATCTGAACATTAAGTACGCCGAGAAGTGCCCAGCTGAAGAAATATCCAACCAGCTTGAGACCGAATGGGTCAGAACCTGGTCCCTAGAGCAAGCTTTTCTGTACACATACAGGCGGTCCAGCGCTAGAGATACAAGGCAGTTAGTAGTTGCTTCCGAGGAAAATTGAGGGAAACGCACAGGCCGTCAAGGGAGTGAGCAGCGGGCAATACGCTGGATGCCATCCGGGAGGACGAGAAATAGGCTTGCGTACGCAACGCGAGCGAGGTTGCTTCGCAGTAGCGTTCAACTTATCGCACTCCACGCGCCGCCATCAACAAGGTACCCGAGAAGCTGTGTGGTCGACTTGACCTAAGATTTGTGGACCGGCCGATGCAATTGGTCATAGCCCGGCGTCTCGACCTACTTAGTACGTTATGAAACGCGATCAAACGGATCTGTAGACTCGGATAGGAGCATGCGAGGAGATCGGCGTGGGCATTAGCGCAGCGGACTGCATGGATTGGTCACAATCTCATGAGTGCGCAGCTGCTCTCCCAGGGCATCAAGCAACCTCAACTTGAGGGCGATGATTGCTTCATCGCATCAGTCGCGATTGAGTCGACCGGGATGCATCCTGTAATGCGAAGCTAATCAGCGATTGTTCAACTTTCAATGACGCTATCAGGCTGCATCAGGCTGCATGTGCCAAGTACGGTCAATCAACTTGGGACTTGCCGGTGCTCACATATAAATCAAACCAACGATTGCAACGCGTTGCGCACGACGACAAACCCTCAAAGTAGCCTCCTAGATCGACGTAGCGCAAAGTATCGAATCAGCACCGACGGATGCAAAATGATGCGGTGTTCATGACGGACTCTGCGTTCCTTACTGGACCGAGGCGGAAGCATTTGAAAGCAGGGCAGATCTACATAGAGCAAATGATGGCCCGAGCGCTCAGATCGTCGAGGGCTGTGTAAGACAGGTTCACGGCCCATCAGTATCGTACATAGGTGTTGGGGACAGAACACACTACGTGCCTGATGCATTCCACGGCAAACACCGTTAGTTTGAGATGCAAGTTTGAGCAATACCAAGGCAATTGTCCGCATCGAGTTCTGCGTTCAATGCGCAGCATTCTGGCTAGGACGTCGACACAGTCTCGGTATCGTGGTTGTGTATCACGCAAATCTCACGTTACGCGACAATCTCCTCACTGGGCAACGTGCACTGCAAGGTCAATTCAGACATGCGTGAGAAGCTTAACGATGTCGTACCGACCCCAAGATTTGCAGCATGAACTGCATTGTGTTACCGTCCGAGGTGTAGTGTGGCTTCAATATGAGGCTGCAGGCAGTGAGAGCACATCAGGCATTGACGGGAGGAATCGCCTATATCAACAGCTCAAAAATCACTGAAGACGACACATATCGTGTGTATTAAGTCTTCTCTTGGCAGCACGCGGAGTCTAGTAGGTTATTGAGGCGCCCGCAAACGAGCACAGGAGTAAGTACTAGTGACAGGAACGTAAGGCTCGAGCTTACTGGTCAC